GAGCATCGTGGGCCAGCTGCCTCCTGGCCTGGGAGATGGAGGGGTGGGAGGACCACCTCGGGGCCCAGAGGGCCTTTCTGACACACCAGGCAGTTTGCAGGCTGCTGGGATGGCCACAGCCCTCGTCTGGGGCCAGTGGAGAGAGAGTCCGACGCATCTGTAAGAGCTAACAAGACCCTGGGCTCCCCTCTCCGCTGCCCGGGGGAATAGCATGTTGCAGAGCGAGGTTACAAAGTCACAATCACGCAGTTAACGTTGACACAGTCATCTCAGGATTTGGGTTCCCTGCGCTGGGGTGGGGTGGGGTGGGGCGTGTGTGTTTAATTCTCTGTAGTTCCATTGCCTGTGAAAATCCACGTGACCACCACACTCCCCTTACCGTGACCTGCCCTCCTCTCTGTCATTCCGTCACTGCATGCCTGCTCTAGAGTGGGTTCACACAGCTGTAACCTTTTTAAAAAAAAATCTGTCTTTATTGTGGAACGCATTCCAGTGTTCCCTTTCCCCACCTTGACCGACCCCCCCCCCCACCCCCACCCCCTGTGTCCGTGGCGAGGCATCCGTGCAGACAAGGTCTGTGGCTAATCTCTTCCCACCCCCTCTGGCTCCGTCCGAGCCTCCGAGCCTCCTCAGTCCGTTCCTGTCTCTGCATCCGTGTTTGCTGTCAGTGTTCTGTGTTTGCGGGATTCCCCAGGGAAGCGCGGTCCGGGGTGTGTGTCTTTCTGGGACTGGCTTCCTTCCCTCCGCACGACCCTCCCCGGGTCCCCGCCTCCTCACTCCGGCTTTTCGCCAGCTGGGCCTTCCTGAAGCCGGGGCTGGTGGGTTCTCCCCACGGACGAGGGAAGCGAGGCCGAGGCCGAGGCCGAGGCCGTGGCCAGGCAGGGAGCCCGGAGGCGCCCTCCTCCCTCTGGCTGCCTTTGGCTCAGCCGTGACCTTGCGTCCGGGCCTGGGACTCACAGTGTGTTCCTGCGTGGGCACAGCTCTCCGCTCCTCAGAGCAGGGACTGAGAGAACTGCGGACTCAAAACAAGGTTTTCCCTTTTTAAAGTAAAGCGTGACTCCGGAGGAAGGAGGCTGGGAGGCAGGGACGGCGTGTTCCCCCTCCGGCTCTGCTCTGGGCTCGTTCCCAGGACAGAGCTCTGTGCTGAGCTCTTAGCTCCTGGACACCAGGCCGCCCCGATGCTCAGGGCGGTCACAGGGCGGGGGTCCAGGTAGTGGACCCACCGTTGCTAAGTCCACGCATAGAATCTTTTTTATTTTATTATTTTGATTATTTTAAACATATATTTTTATTGTTTTCAGAAAGGAAGGGAGAGGAGAGAAACATCAATGATGAGACTCATTGATCAGCTGCCTCCTGCATACCCCCTACTGGGGATCGAGCCCACAATCCAGGCCTGTGTCCTTGGTGGTGGGGAGAGGATGTTCCGTGTGTCTCTGCGTCGCCTGCTGAGGGGCAGCTGCCTGTGTCTGAGCCTTCCTGGGGCAGGAAGTGGAAGGACAGGGCCGCCGAGGGAGGAACCCAGCTCCGTGCGGGTTGTCACCCACCAGGCGGTTTCACTGGGCCCCTTTGGGGGGCGGTCATGGGCACCTGGAACCAGGCAGACCCCAGGGAGGCCTGGCTCAGCCTGTCCCAGCTGTGTGGCCTCCAGCACAGATCACGCTTTCAAGTGTCAGCTTCCTGGTCTGTACACGGTTGGGAGGACTGAGGTGGAGGCTGCCCTGAGGGGCTGTTTGGGAATCAGATAAGATAACCTTACAACTTGTATACATGCATATAAGTACAACCAATGGACATAAAGCTCTGGGGAGGGAGGGGATGTGTGGGAGGGAGGGAGGGGGAAAAAATCAATAAAATATGTAAAAATAAATAAATAAATAATTAAAAAAAAAAAGATAACCTTACAAACCTGTTGTGGGGGGGCGGGCTGACTCTTGACCCCTGTTTGTGGTGCCACCTTTGACCTCTGTGGGAGAGACATGGCGTGCGTGTTCTGCCGTCTAGCCCAGTGGTTCTCCACCTTCCTAATGTGGCGACCCTTCAATACAGCTCCTCATGGTGTGATGACCCCCAACTGTAAAACTATTTTCGTTGCTGCTTCATAGATGTAATTTTGCTACTGGTTTGAATCGTAATGTAAATATCCGTGTTTTCCGATGGTCTTAGGTGACCCCTGTGAAAGGGTCGTTCGACCCCCAAAGGAATCGAGACCCACAGGTTGAGAACCGCTGCTGTGGAGCCTAATGGGAAGGCCTGGGGGAGGCCTCGGCGCCCTCCCCTTTCCCTCCCTCTCATGGCGGCTCAGCGCCTTAGAGACCATCTGAGTGGCCGACGCGGGACGCCGGCTCCATGTTCCAGAGCCTTCTGTTTCTTTTCACCTTCTTTAGCCACATTTTTCTTTTTCTTTTTTTCACACCCATGGAATTTGTTCTGCTCCTCAGGAGCTCTCATGGACTTGAAGTACACCGAGGCCTGAATTAGAGCCAGAAAATGTCTCCTTATCATTCGGTTTCCTTTTCCTTTTTTTTTTTTTTTTTTTTTTTTTTTGAGGCATGTTTTTGGTAGATTTCATTTGGAGGCTATAAATAAAACCGCAGTGACCAGAAGCAAACGGCACATTCGATTGACCTCTGTCGGGACGGGGAAGTCCCCTCCCCTCCCCGGAGCTCGTGCTGGACGGACAGCACACTTGACACGAGACGGATTAGCAGGAGAAAAGCCAGGGTAACTGGTGCGCGGGGATCACACATTGGTGCTCAGAGAGTGGCTCAGTGGTGAGCGATCACCTAGGACCCAGAAGGTCATGGTTCAATTCCCGGTCTGGCACGTGCTCCATCCCCAGTGAGGGGGGCGTGCAGGAGGCAGATGATCCATGATTCTCTCTCATCATGTTTCTATCTCTCCTCCCTTCCTCTCTGAAATCAATAAAAACTTTTTATTTATTTTATTTTTATTTTATTTTATTTTTAAAGAAAGTGACTCCAAATGTGCTCTTTTTATGGGAAGAATCAAGACATTTGTGAGGATTTGAGAGAAGAAACGAGTTTCAGGTGCTCATTACTGAGGAGTGTAAGCAGAGTTTGGGCTTGCGTAGTAAATGAGAAAAAGAAAGAGCAGGCCGAAATCGGTTTGGCTCAGTGGATAGAGAGTCGGCCTGCGGACTGAAGGGTCCCGGGTTCGATTCTTGGTTGCGAGCATGTCCCCAGTATGGGGCATGCAGGAGGCAGCTGATCGATGTTTCTCTCTCATCGATGTTTTTAACTCTATTCCTCTCTCTTCCTCTCTGTGAAAAATCAATAAAATATATTAAAAAAAAGAAAGAGCAGGTTTGTGTACATATCTGTCGGTCCCGAATTCCCTGACTCTTCCTCCTTGGGCCCTGGGTGCAGGGTGGCTTGGGGCACAGAGAGGCCCCAGTGTTCTTGCATGAGCAGTCGCTTAAGTAACTTTACTTCACGGGGATCAAAACACCCCCAAGTGGCATCTTTCAGGGTGGCCTGCCCCGGCCCTGGCACTTGTAAATACTTTTAGCTACGTAAGTCTTACACGTGGTTTATGAGACATGTTCTATGGGGGACAGTCGGTAAGATGTGGGCAGCACCCTCCTCCTGTAAAGGGCCTGGTAGCAAGTGTGAGGCCCACAGGCCAAGCCAGGTCTCTGCTCCCACGACTCCACCACCTCTGACAAATGAATGGACGTGGCTGTTTTGCAATAAAATTTTATTTTATTACAATATATTTTTATTGATTTCAGAGAGGAAGGGAGAGAGAGAGGGAAACATCAATGATGACAGAGGATCATGGATGGGCTGCCTCCTGCACGCCCCCTACCGGGGATCAAACCTGCATTCTGCCTATGTGCCCTTGACTGGAAACGAACCCAGGACCCTTCAGTCCGTAGGCCGATGCTCTATCCACGGAGCCAAACAGGCTAGGCCCGTATTTTCCCTGTGTGTATAGACTGACTCGCTGGGGCAGGAACAGGAAGTTCTGAAGCCCTCCTAGTCAGTAAATGTCAGCCTCTGTCATTCCCATGTGCTCTGGAAGGATGGAGAGGGAGCCACAGCCAGGGGGGAAGCAGCTCACAAGGAAAATAAAAAGTAAAAAGTAGCCCTCACCGATGTGGATCAGTGGATAGAGCGTCCACCCTCGACTGAAGGGTCCTGGGTTCGAGAACGGTCAAGGGCACGGACCTCGGTTGCAGGTTCCTCCCCGGCCCGGCCCTGGTCGGGTGCGTGCGTGCGGGCGGCCACCCATCCATGTTTCTCTGTGTTTCCCTGAAAACCAACGGGAAACTACCCTCAGGTGACCATTAGCAAAAGCTGCTCCCGCCTGGAGAGTGAGCCCACGTGAGCACTGGGTGTCCCCTGCTCCTGCCCGGCCCTGTGGGAGGCCCCCGCTACAGCCCAGGGCGGTGCCGGGGGGACGTGGCCGCAGGGGGGGGGGGGAGGGGGAAAGGGGTGGGGTGGGGGAAGGGGAGGGGATGGGTGGGGTGGGTGAGGGGAGCCGCCATTGCTCTCAGTGGGATGCTCTGAGCTGAGGCCGCGGGGCCGAAGGAGGTGCGGTTAGGACGTGCCTGGGGGCCTGGCCGCTGAGCCATCGCGGCCCCGGCGTGGCTGAGGCTTCAGTTCGCGTTTTGTTCGCGTCTCTGTCCGTCGCTGCGGGTGGAGTCCCGTCCAGGAGGCACTGGTCCTCCTGCGATGGCGGCGTAAATGACGTAAACGGCGGCGTTAATGACGTAACGGCGGCGTAAATGACGCAAAGGCGTGCAGCTGTCACGTGGGGCGCAGAGGATGCTGGGAAACCGGCGGCGCAGGCCGGGGCGGAGGAACATGGGGGACGCAGCGTCGGTGGAGAGCGGAGGGGGCGGGGACGCGGAGGGACACGGAGCAGGTGGACCGGAGGACAGACGGCCGGCGGCCCCGCGGACAGACGGCCGGCGGCCCCGGAGGCCTGGCCGCTCCGGGGTCAGCCAGCAGCACTGACCCCGCTCTCCTCAGGTGCTGACGGCCTGCCGGGCCTTCCTGCTCGCAGCGCGGATCCCCTCCAAGGTGAGTGCCGGCGCCCCGCTTCCTCCTGCCGACGCACGCACCATGCACACCCGTGCACGCACACACACACACACCATACACACGTGCACACATGCATGACACGTGCACACACTCTAACAAATGCACCACGTGCACTACGCACACACATGCGTACACGAACAAACGCACCACACACACGTGCACACCCTCTAACACACATGTATGAAAGTGCACCGTACATGGGACGGTACAGCCCACCTCCCACGTATACACGTGCACACATACACCACACGTGATAGTCCTACCCACAGAGCAGAGGGTCCTATTACGTTTCCAGGTGGAAGGAGAGGACAGATTAAAGGGCCGGACTCCATCTTGTCTGCAGGAGGGTGAGAGGCTGTAGAGCCAGGGAGGTCAGTGGCCACTGTCCAGGAAAAAGGCAGGGAGGGGAGACTGGACCTACTGTTTCTTTAAATCCTCACTGAGGATGATTCCTTTGATTTTAGAGAGAGAGGAAGGGAGTGAGAGAGTGACATCCATGTGAGAGAGAGACATCAATCGCTGCCTCTCCTACCCACCCTGACGGTGAATCGAACCCACAACCTCCAGACTGAGTCACCGGCCAAGTGCTGATCCCAGGAGAAGAGTGGAAGACACCCTTATTGCTAAACAAGAGGAAATAATCTACTTACCTACCTGCAGGGGGAGAGGGCTTTTGTTTATGTTTCCTTTAAGCCTGGTTTAAAATTCCTAAATACCGTGTTTCTCTAAATCCATTCGAAATGTGAATCTCTGGGAGATGGCGGGGGAATGACGGCCCCTGACTGGTCCGTGACCCCCGAAGAGCTCAGGGTTTGGGAAGGAGGACAGCGACTCTCCGAAGCAAACATTGAAATAAAGAGAAAAAAAAAAAAGGGTTTAGAGGCCTCACTTCACATCTTCATTTCCAAACGAATGGAAACCCAGAGGAGAAATACTAACACTTCCCAGTGGGTTTGTGCCAGGAGGAAACTTAAATCCATGTGCACCTTCCCGTGAGGACGCACAATGTGCTCTTCTGAAATACGCTCCATGGGGGGCCATCTCAGGGATGGACGGACACACGCCAGCCCACTTCCAGCTGCTGGTGCATCACTGGCTGCAGCATTTTCACCTTGAACTGTGCTCTCAGCCCTGATCACAGGTCTGTGTCCCCCTGTCCCCTCATTGCAGCTCGAGCTGACCTTCAGCTACTTGGACATTCAGGGCGTCACGTGCAGCAAGCCCGCGCAGGTGAGTGTGCGCCATGGAGACCGGGGGCGAGACCGGGGGCGAGACCGGGGACAAGACCTCGGGGTCATCCCCTCCCCTGAGGGTCTGAGACTGTGAAACGCCCTCTGGTTGGTCTCACTGTTGAACGTTTCTTGAGAGAATGTGGAAAAGCAAGATGAGGGACCCGGGAGCTTCCGAAGAGAAGCTGAAGGGGCTTTGTGGGCAGGGTTCCAGTGAGGAAAACCTCCGTAATTGTGTGGGAACAACTAGTTAACGCCCAATTGGTGCAGTGCAGCGGGTAGACGTTGACCTATGAACCAGGAGGTCATGGTTGGATTCCTGGTCAGGGCATGTTCCCGGGTTGCAGGCTTGATCCCTAGTGTGGGGTGTGCAGAAGGCAGCTGATAAATGACTCTCTGTCATCATTGATGTTTCTCTCGCTTCCTTTCTGAAATCAATCTTCAAATAGTATGCAAATTAACTCTCATACCCTCACAAGATGGTGGCACCCACTGGGGTAGGGGGAGGCGAGGCCGGCTGCTGCACGTGCCTGCCTCTGAAGTCCCCTCAGCCCTGCAGGGGGCCTCTGGTCCTCCTGCAGGCCCCCCCCTCCGACAGAATTAGGCAAGTCTCAGATGGTGGCTACACAGCCGCCCAGGGCCAGGCCTGAGGCTCAGGTAACTAGGGCTGGCTGAGGCTTGCGCTGCTGGCAGTGGCAACAGCAGAGGTGTGGTGGGGGTGTCATCTTCCCCTGATCGCTGGGTTGCCTCCTGCCCCTGAGGGCTGCCGGACTGTGAGAGGAGGCAGGCCTGGCTGAGGGACTCCCCTTCCCTTCCCTCCACTGCATGAATTTCCATATATATGTATATTCACACACACACACACACACACACACACACACACACACAGGAGTACAAATTCTACCACGTATTCACAAGCGACTTTCTAGAGCAGGTCGGGAAGTGAGGTAGAAAGGGACTCAGCAGTTTTCTCAGGGTCTGGGTAACCGAGCATATTCCAGACAGGACTCTTTTCCAGAACTGGGGCTGAGAAGCAGCTTCCAGATGCCACTGTGTTGCCAGCAGCCCTGAGGGGGTCAGGAGCCTGGGTCCCAGCGCCGTGCCTGTTGCTGCCTGGCATGGGACCTCCTGCCCATCCTCCACCCTCAGGGCCTCATTCTTTTTAAAAAAATTTTTTAAAGTTGATTTCAGAGAGGAAATGAGGGATAGAGAGAGATAAGTGATGAGAGAGAATCACAGATTGGCTGCCTCTTGCACACCCCTCACTGGGGATGGAGCCTGTAACCCGGGCATATGCCCTGACTGCGAATTGAACCGTGATCTGGTTTGTAGGTTGACGATCAAGCGCTAAGCCAAGCAGGGCCTTCTTTTCTGTTACTTACACTCACACATGCAAGGCACTGAGTGGTGATTAGCGGTCCCCGCCCTTCCCCCTGCAGATGGCCGTGGAAACCGAGAAGTACAGCTTGTCCCTGAGGATGGCCGCGCCCGAGGACGTGAGCGAGGTGCTGGCCCACGTGGGCTCCTGCCTGCGGAGGATCTTTCCCGGCCTGTCTCCTGTGTGAGTCTGGGGGGAGGGGGCGGGGGGCAAGGCTGGCCGCCTCCCACTGGCCCCTGTTTCACGGCTGAGGTTTCCTGTGACGAGGTCCCTGGACAGAAAGGGTCCTGACGGAGTCCCAGGTGTAGAGGTCGAGTTGAGGAGAAGAGTGCAGAGCGAGGTGGGTGAGATTCCCGGGAGCCCAGAGCCCAGAGGGCTTGGCGCAGTGACCCGGCATCGGGCACACTTGGGCAGAGCTGTCCACAGTGGTCAGCATCGGGCACGCTCAGGCAGAGCTGTCCACAGTGGTCAGCATCGGGCACGCTCGGGCAGAGCTGTCCACAGTGGTCAGCATCGGGCACACGGGCAGAGCTGTCCACTGTGGGTCGGCATCGGGCACGCTTGTGGCAGAACAATGGGCACATTCGGGGGAGAGCTGTCTGGTGGGTTGGCACCGTGAGAGGCAGAGGTGGTTTTGACCTGCATGGCACCAGGTTCGGGAGGGAGCGGTGGATGCCCGGTTGTGAAGTGATGAGGAGGACATGGTTGGTGCAGAAAACTCAGACACGTGTAGCGCCCTAGCAGGTGTGGCTCAGTGGATAGAGCGTCGGCTTGCGGACTGAAGGGTTCCAGGTTTAATCCTGGTCAAGGGCACATGCCCAGTTGTAGGGTCGATCCCCAGTGAGGGGTGTGAGGAGGCAGCCGATCGATGATTCTCTCTCATCACTGATGTTTCTATCTCTCTCTCCCTTCCTCCTTGAAATCAATGAAAATACGTTGAAAAATAAAATATAAAGGCTTCTCAGAAAATAGATTTCTGCGTGCAGTCTGTCCAAAACACCCGCACTCTGACGTTTCTCATTGTTGTGGTCCTCAGGAAAATCATGAAGAGGGTGTCCATGGAGCCGTCGGAGCGGCTGGCCAGCCTGCAGGCCGAGTGGGACAGCCAGCCGGCAGCCGAGCAGGGCCCCTGTGGTGAGCACATTCCCAGCGGCGCTCAGGCTGTGGGGAGGCCCCGCCAGGCCATGGGAGGCCCTGCCAGGCCATGAGGTGTAGCCCAGGGTGCATGCGGGTGTGGTCAGCGGGAACTGTAATCAGCGGGCGGTGGTACGGCATCCTGGTTCCCAAGCAGGGAAGGAGCGTCGGTCGTGTGGGAGCTTTTAAGTTTCAACTTCACAGTCGCTTCTCCGAAAACTTGTCGGTTTCTGTTCTGTTCTAGGCGGGTTTTCGCAGATGTACGCCTGTGTCTGCGACTGGCTCGGCTTCCCATACAGGGAGGAAGTGCAGTGGGTGAGTGTACCTGTGTGCAGTGTGCACACTCACATGCACACACAGACACAGATGCACAACACACACCTGTTCACACTTAAACAATCACTCACAGGCATACAACACACTCATACCAGCAGACATACAGACACACCACACCACACCACACACACACACACACACACACACACAGTATTTCAGTGTCTATGTGCTTGTTTCTCTGTTTCTCCACCCTTTGTTGTTGCTCAGTCTTCTTTGCTCAGATCACAAACGAATCCACCCGCGCCCTTGTCTGCCTCTGCGTCTCTCTTGCTCCCCCGCCACCGACGCGGCCTGTTCACACGACTGCGCTGTGTTTCCAACAGGATGTGGACACGATCTACCTGACGCAGGACACTCGGGAGCTGAACCTGCAGGACTTCAGTCACCTGGACCACAGGTGAGGGCCTCCCTCCCGCCTCCCGCCTCCTGCCAGCTCAGAGCCGGGGGCGCTGATGGCGTGGCTCTTGCTGTTGTAAGAGCACGGGCTTTGTGACTTCTGCTCCCAGGGACCTGATCCCCATCATCGCTGCCCTGGAGTACAACCAGTGGTTCTCCAAGCTGTCCTCCAAGGACCTTAGGCTGGTGAGTGGGGGTGAGCGCGTGGCGCACGGGAGCCTGGGTTTCGAACACCTGCCGATATGCTGGCGCGCTGCTGACATGTTTATTTCTCGGGGAGCTTTTCCCCAGAAGTGTTCCGTGGAACATCTTCTCGTTTGTGAGATGCTTTAGACAAGTTCTTCCTCTCACTTTGAGCTGCTTCGGGCAGTTTGGACGAATCGAGCAAGAAAGACGCAGGCGTGTGGCCTTGGGTGCCCACTCCTGCTGGCAGAAACGACTCGGGTTCCGCCTGCACAGAGAGCAGATGAGCATCACCACCATCATCACTGCCCCTTGGCTTTTATTCTCCCCTCTGCATGTCATTTTCTTGGGGAACTCTTTTTGCTCCCCCAGGACGGGTTGAGATGTACCTCTGTGCCCAGACCGTGACCAAAAAGGCCAGTTCATTGTTCTACCACATTGTGTGTTCTCTTGTCCTGTTCCCCGCTGCGGGTCCGCTCTTGATGGCGGGGACGTTGTGCTTTATGTCACTGTCTCCCAGGACCTTCCTCGTGATGGGGCTCCGTTAGGCTTTCAGGGTGAACGACTGTGTGCACGGACGGTTGACGCCATACGGTGTTGCGGAGGCTGTAACAGTGACACGAGCTTGGTGGCAGGTGTGCGGCGCGGCTAACGCGTGTGTTGTGTTGCAGTCCTCCGACGTGTGTGAGCAGATCCTGAGGGTGGTGAGCAGGTCCAGTCGGCTGGAGGAGCTGGTGCTGGAAAACGCTGGGCTGAGGATGTGAGTATTTCCCTGCACACGGGACTCTGTGGCTTTGGAACATCTTGCCATTTCCTCTAAAGTTAAGATACAGTTAAAACGAAAAGGTGGGCCGCTCACATAGAGAACATGCTGTTTTCCCTTCTTGAAAAAGTTCCCAGAATCCCCAGCATTGCCACAGAGGTCACGGATTTCATGACGTCATTTGCTGTTGTGTCACAGGGTGTGTTTGGTGGTGCCTGTGTGTGGGCCCTTGAGCCAGACAGACACCTTGTGGCCTTGGGCAGTTTGTTTGGGCTCTGTGCCTCAGTCTCTGCCTCTTTGAAATGGACGTACTGTTAGCTCCTTCCTTATGAAATTACCGCTCTGGGTCAGTGAGGTGGTATGGGAAGTGCTTAGAAAGCATCTTCCGTGCTCTGGGGCCGTGGTGACCGTGTCACTGACGGTAGCTGTAGGAACAGCCGCCTGCAGGCCGCTTTACACTCTGCTTTGGTTGGGTTGGCCATTGGCCTCCCTTCTCTGATTCACACTACGTCGTCTGCACCTCGTGGTTCCGAGATCTGTGTGGGGCGTGTGGGAGCTGGAATCTGCTAGACACGGACTCCACTGCTAAGTGGGGAGGGGTGGCAGTTTCAGAATCACAGCCCTCGGTGCATTCTTTTAAGCGGAACACATCTAAAATAGCGATTTTAATTTTCATTAAAGGAAGGTGCTGACAATTGCAGTCTTTAAACTCCACAATGAGAGCAGCTGGGTCTGCATTCGTGGGCGCTGCTCCACGTTATGGAGGGGCCGACGCATGCTATCAACAGCATCCTGAAATGTCTGTCTTACGTATATACTAAAGCCTGGTGCACGAAATTCGTGCGTGGGTAGGGTTCCTAGGCCTGGCCTGCGATCAGGGCTGATTGGGGTCTTCCGGCTGCAGGCTGGGGCCTTCCTTCATTCCGTGCTGCCTCCTGGTGGTCAGTGCACATCATAGCAGGCGATCAAACTCCCACTGGGACACTTGGCATAAATTTTATATATAGAGTATATTTTCATTGATTTCAGAAAGGAAGGAAGAGGGAGAGAGAGACAGAAACATCAATGATGCAAGAGAATCATTGATCCAGCACATCCCACACTGGGGATCGAGCCTACAACCCGGGCATGTGTCCTGAGCGGGAGTCAGACTGTGATCTCCTGGTCCCCAGCTTGATGCTCAGCCACTGAGCCAGCCGGCCAGGCCTGAAACGTGTCTTCAGTGGGCAATGACAGAGTTTTCTCTTTGCTTCGGAATGAGGCTTCGGCCATCAAAATGAGCCACGTTGGATGTGCCTGCAGGTTCTCTGAGGAGGATTTACCTCGTGGGAAACAGATTGGGCGCTGAGAAATAAGCAGCACGTGGGTTCCTCTGGGAAGAAGGCGTCTGTCGCTTTGCCTCCAGCTGTTCCTCCAGCTGCTCCAGCCGTGAGGGTGTGAGCCGTTCTGCATACTGGTCGTCCCTCTCACTGTTGTGTTTGTTTGCAGAGAGTTTGCACAGAAACTGGCCAGTGCGCTCGCACACAACCCCAGCTCAGGACTGCACACCATCAACCTTGCTGGCAACGCACTGGAGGACCGAGGTACCTGGAGACTCAGACCTGTGCTGCCGGCCGTGAGCGGGGTGGGGAGGTCACTGCAGCCAGGCCCGGGGAACGGGGAGCAGACTTGGCTGAGCTGTGATTGCGGTCTTTTTTTAAAAAAAAAATTTATTTTTGTTGATTTCAGAGAGGACGGGAGAGGGAGAGAGATAGGAACATCAGTGAGGAGAGAACATCATGGATCGGCTGCCTCCTGCACGCCCCATACTGGGGATTGAGCCTGCGACCCGGGCCTGTGCCCTGACCAGGGATTGAACCCTGACCTCCTGGTTCAAAGGTCGATGCTCAACCCCTGAGCCGTGCGGGTGGGCTGTGTTGCGTTCTAAGGGCTGCTTTGCTCTCGTTGGCTCCTCGGTGGAAATATCATTGCTGGCCGCCCCTGAGAATTCCACAGGGAATCCAACGGAGTGGAAACTACTTACAGAACTGCCCATCGAGGGGACGTGTTGAGGATTTATTGAAAAACTCAGAGGCACGTTTGCACACATGTGCCATTTCGAGCACTGGGAAGCCTCATAATGCCCTTCTCTGTTTCCTTTCTCAGGTGTGGCCTCTTTAAGTGTTCAATTTGCCAAACTCCCAAAGGGATTAAAGCATTTAAATTTATCTAAAACCTCATTGTCACCTAAAGGTACTGTATATCGTATTAACTCTATGTCTGTGACGTTCTCTACCTTAGGTAGTTAGGATTATTACTCACTCCTACGTCTACACTTAAGTATACGTATCAACACCTGGCCGGTGGCTCGGTTGGAGCGCCGTCCCGTACACCACAAGGTTGCGGGTTCAATTCCCAGTCAGGGCACACACCTGGGTTTGGGGTTCAGTCCCTGGGGTTCAGTCAGGGCACATACGGGAGGCAGCCAATCCATGTTTCTCTCTCTCTCCCTCCCCTTCCTTCCTCACTCTCTAAGAATCAATTAAAACATATCCTCGGGTGAGGATTAAAAGACTAATAAAATAGTCAAAATACAGGTGTGTACACACTTGGACTAACGATAGAGGCAGTGTTTATGGAAATCCATCTCGTTTTCAAAAACGTCGTAGACCAGATGTTGATGTGCGTATGCATTTTTCCAACTCCCATTTCCTTCCCCAGTGACTCTGACCACTCCTCCAAAGCTTCAGCGCGGCTGCCCTATCCGCAGCAGTCTCCCTGTTAATGTGATTTTAAAGATAGTTTTTTATTGATTTCAGAGCGGAAGGGAGAGGGAGAGAGGGATAGAAACATCAGCAATCAGAGAGCATCATGGATCGGCTGCCTCCTGCACGTCCCCCACTGGGGATGGAGCCCGAAACCTGGGCCTGTGCCCTGACCGGGAATCGAACCCTGACCTCCTGGTTCATAGGTAGACATTCAACCATTGAGTCATGCCAGCCTGACAAAACAGTTTTTAAAGGCGTTCCTTGTTCTTGCAGCTTCAAAGTAACTCCGATGAAGCGGTCCTCGTAAGCTTTTTGTGCAATTTGATCAGCATTTATATTTCAATTCCCGGAAAAGACGGGGAGCCAGAGCTCCCAAATTCAAGAAAGATTGTTTTCCCCTCCCCGGGCCGCCCCTCAGATGTTGGCGGGAGGACTGTTCTCAGGCTCCTGCTGCCTGTCCCGCCGGCCGCCAGGCGTCGGCACGGGCCGTCTGCCGCCCTCGCTCCAGCTGCAGAGCCTCCAGCGCTGACTCAGGAGCCCGGCCCCTGGGCGCCGCATCCAGCGCGGCGATCTGCTCAGTGCGGGCTGGGAGCGGCCTGGCTTCTTCCATCCTGGTTTTTGGGTTTCCTGCTGCTCCTGTGCCCAGGAACCCGCCTCCTGTGGAGGGCGGCAGGAGGGGCGGGGAGCCTCGTTCCGGCCAGCGGCTTGACACTGGGCACGAGGCTCCGGAGTCGGGGCAGACGTTGGCCGCCCGCCAAGCGCCGGCGCCTGCCAAGGGGGCGTTGTGCGGTGGAGACCAATCCGACCTGTTCCTTTTGGAGTTTGTTAAGGTTTGTCAGGCTCACTGAGGACATAGTTTTGCATGATTTTCTTGAGAGTCTGGGGTGCTCTGCATGTTTGGACTCAGTTGTTCTGTTACAGAACATACATGAACAGTCCCGGCACAGGGCGGGCTGCAGAGGCTGGCCATTTCCACAGGCAGGACCTTCTGAATGCCAGGGGCCATGTGGATATTTACTTCTTTATTTTCATTGATTATCGAGGAGAAAGGAGAGGGAGAGAGAATTAGAAACATCAGTGATGAGAGAGAATCACGGATCAGCTGCCTCCTGCATGCCTCACGCTGGGGATCGAGCCTGCAACCTGGGCCTGTGCCCTGACTGGGAATTGAATCGTGACCTCCTGGTTCATGGGTTGATGCTCAACCTTTGAGCCAAGCCAACTGGGCCCATTTGGATGTTTGTAACATAATTCTCGGGCCATACCTAAAAAGTAGCTGCACTGTTTGGCCAAGTTATTTAATTAACTCGGCCCTGATGCCTGGGCAGAGCCAGGGCAATGGTTTCTCGGGACTTCTACGGCCCGCGGCCGGACGTTCCCCACCCGTTTAAACCTCGCAGGTGTTGCCCCCGGACAGCGAGCTCTCGTTCGGCCTTCCAGGTTTCCTTATCTGACGGACTGGTCAGATCCGCGCCTCTCACACCAGGCTCTCGTCTGGCATCGCTGCTCGTCCTGCCTCACCACCTCTTGCTGGCCCGGCTGCGGAGGCTGAGACGGTGCCCGGGGTCCCGGAGCCCATGCCGTACGCGGGGCTGTCCTTCAGGATCTGAGGGTCTGTCAGATAAGGAAACCTCTTATCTGACCTCATCCTGGACTTGAGCTTCTGGGCCTGCTGAGGGCACAGGGTGGGTCTGTGACATGGACCCGACCCGGCCTTGTGGGAGCATCTTGTGCGCACTTCGTGAGTGTGGCCGCGGCTTCCTCCCTGAACTCCCCTCAAGTGTTTCTCTGTCTCCGTCTCCTCTCTGCGCCCCAAGGCGGACTCCCCTGAGCAGTGGCTGCGGGACTCAATGGACACATCCCGAGTCCTTGCTCGTAACTCCCAGCTCTTCTCTGAGCGGAGCGAGCGTCTCCTGGCTCCGGCGGCCTGGCCCCGACCTTATCCTGGCCGAGGCGGAGCATAAAGCCCCTTTGTCTCCAGGGACAGCCTGGGATAGTCAAGCATTTTACTGCAAAATTAGAAACACAACTTAATCTATAAAAGTACATTCAATTTAGCCCAGCAGGCGTGGCTCCGAGGTTGAGCGTTGACCTACGAACCAGGAGGTCACGGTTCGATTCCTGTCAGGGTACATGCCCGGGTTACCGGCTCCATCCCCAGTCCCTGGGCTCGATCCCCAGTGTGGGGTGTGCAGAAGGCAGCCGATCAAATATGTGCACTTTTTGAAAAATATACTCAATTTAGAAATAGCCGTATTTTCAAATTACACAATAGAACCTTGGAATTTTAGTAAAAACACAAAATGCTTCCTAGTAACGCATGTCCTGTGATCTGAAGAACGATCACGATTCTCTGTCTGACCTCTACTGACCCCAGCGAGTGAGCAGAATGTTCTGGCTCCCATTGGTGTGACCCCTCCCAGCCCCGGTCCCGTGACAGGGAGGGCATGTTAAAGCCCCCGCCCTACCCGGCTCGCAGGCCTGCTCCCCGATCGGCTCTCCCCTCACGTGGCCCTCTGCCCCTGGGCCCCCTCGGTTTCCTTTCCTTCCTTTCTTTTTTAATGTGTTTATTGACTTCAGAGAGGAAGGGGGTGCCCACTGGGGATGGAGCCCGCTACCGAGCGTGTGCCCTGACCGGGACTCAGACCCTGACCTCCTGGTTCATAGGTCAACGCTCGACCACCGAGCCAGGCGGGCGGGCCTAGATCTCATTTTGTTTCCTGGACACTAAGCTGAATCTTCTCGCCGTTTCAGGGGTGAACTGCCTCTCTCAGTCTCTCAGTGCCAACCCGCAGACCGCCACCGCCCTCACGCACCTGGACCTCTCAGGGAACAGCCTTCGCGGAGATGACCTCTCGGTGGGTGCGCGCCCGCCCAGCGCTGTGCCCCGTGAGCCTGGGGCGAGTCTGACGGGCTTCCAGCTCGTGCCCACGCCGCCTTGAGGGGCGCCTTCGCCTCGTCTCATCCTGAGCTGGGGAGGCGCTCTGTAGGGGGTTTCAGGGCCTGCCCTCCCTAAAGTCACGACCCCCGAAACCCGCCGTGTCTCAGCTGCCCAGGGCTGTGGGTGGCTCTCGTTGGGTGGGGCGGCCACCAGGGAGGGAAAGGTCATTGCGTTGGACAGAGGGAGGGGAGCCCTAGGCCGTCCTGGGGTTCAGATTCACGTTCTCGGCCCTGACCTGCTCCCGGGAGGGACTCCCGTTTGTGAGGCGACGGCCACCAGGTGGCTCTCCGCCGCCCAGCGAAGGTGGTCAGCCGCTCCGGAGCGACAAACAGTAACCAGGCAGCGAGGCCACGTGCAGCGTCCGGCCTTGGTTTTACTGACACATCATTTTAACTACTCTCTGGGTTTTTATTTGTTTACTTGTTTTTCCCTCAAGGAAGATAATATAATGACATAAAATTCTGCTAATTCTCTTGGGAAAACTGGAGGAGGGTTCTGGGATATTTGGGCTAATTGGGGTATTTCAGAGTGTGTGTGTGTGTGTGTTTGTGTTTCTAGATCCTAATATGTTTGCTGCTTGTTTTTATTTCAAGCCCATGTACAGCTTTCTGGCCCAGCCCAACGCCCTCACGCACCTGGATCTCTCCAGCACCGAGTGCGCCCTGGACATGGTAATGGCTTCTATGGCCGGGGCGGTTCCGAGGGCTTTCCCGCTGACACGCCCCTCAGCCCGGCCCGGAGACACCTGCCCTCGTCCCCCAGGTCTGCGCGGCGCTGCTCCGAGGCTGCCTGCAGTACCTGGCCGTGCTCAACCTCTCCCGGACCGTCTTCTCTCACCGGTAGGACCGCGTGCCGCGGGCCTCTCTTCCGGGCAGCGGTCACGTTGTGGCCACAGAGGGAACGGGCCGATGTTTCTCGGGAGGACGGGGGCGGCCTGTGACCGCCTGGTTCATAGGCCGATGCTCAACCCACTGAGCCACGCCGGCTGGGTCATTCTGTTTATTTTATCTTCAAATTCCTACTGAAGAGATCACTGACTTGTGGGTTATTTCAGAGCCTGTGGATACGTGTTTGCCCTTTCGGGAGTCGGGTGCTGACTTGCAGGGGTGGCCCCCGGTGACCGTGTCTGTCTTTCAGGAAAGGGAAGGAGGTGCCGCCCTCCTTCCGGCAGTTTTTCAGCAGCTCCCTGGCGCTGACGCACATCAACCTCTCGGGCACCAAGCTGGCGCCCGAGCCCTTAAAGTGAGTGGTTCTCGCGTTTTTCCGCAGCTTTTCCAGTCCCGCTGGGGGTGTCAGCGTGCTGGGGGGGGCGGCCGCAGGACCCCAGGGCCCACGAGGCCGACGGGCTGTCTTTTCACTTCAGGGCACAGAGGGAAAGTTTCTTTTTTAACCATCTTGGTTTCAGAGAGGAAGGGAGAGGGGGAGAGAGAAACATCAGTGATGAGAGAGAACCATTGACCAGCTGCCTCCTGCACGCCCCCCACTGGGGATCAAGCCTGCAACCTGGGCCTGTGCCCCAACGGCTAATCGAACACGGGACCTCCTGGTTCATAGGTCGACACTCAACCATTGAGCCACACCGGCCGGGCCCATTGAGTGGAAGGGAGGGAGACAGGGAGTGACGGAGAGAGAGAGAAAGAAAAAGATTGAACATCAGTTTGTTGCCTCTCTTACATGCCCTGACCAGGGATTGAACCTGGAATCCGGGCAGGTGCCCAGGGAATCCAACCCATCACCTTTGGGAGTGTCGGGTGACCCTCCAACCACTGAGCAGCAGTGTCATTGTCAGCAGGGAGGTGGTGCTGGTGCTGGCCGGGTGCCCGCGCCCTCCTCTGGGCTCCATTCAGGGTGCGTCTGGGCTCCATTTGGGGTGCACAGACCTGCCCAGCGACGCGTGGCCTGGCCCGTTCCCTCCGCAGGGCGCTGCTGCTCAGCCTGAACAGCAACCGCAACCTGAAGGCGGTCTCCCTCGACCTCAGCAGCTGCGAGGTAAGGACGCCGGCGGCTGCCGTTCACCTGTTTTCCTGGGAAGAGCTGAGGCTGTGGCTCCAGCATCACCAGAGCAGGGAAGGGCGTCTGGGAAGGTCCGGGCTCCGTTTGTGGGTTTGATCCAAACACCATGGGTCCCCATCATCACGCATCCAAGTGCGCTTTTCATGATTAAAAAAAATCCCCATTTTTGCCCAGTGGCTTACGTATGCTAGGAGACACAGTGGACACGCAGCCTTCCTGCAGGGGCCCACGGGGCACCACGCGCTTGAACCTGGCGCACGAGGGAGAGAGGCACATGCATTGTGCATTTAAAGGGCTTTCCCTCGCAGCCCCTGCAGCCCGGGGCATCCCGGCCTCCGTACCCGGAGCGAGGCCCCGCCCTGGCTCCTGAGAGGCGCAGCTTTCCGTTCACGCGTCTGAGTTTTGTCTCGGGAACGTATCCGAGTTGCAGTGTCTGTTCCCGACTCTTCGCCGTTTAAATTGTGTATCGATAGAGACTGAGCTCCTTGATTCTCAGTCGCCTCACAGCGATAACCGTTCTGTTTTCTCTCCTCGGCTGCCGGTAGCTGGGCCTCTGTGTAAGTACTCCGGGGGCCGCTCGCTGGCCTGGCCGATAGCTCGAATTCTGTCTGGCAATTGGAAAAATGTCACTTCCATGGGGAAAGGCCACAGGTGGCATCTAGTTAAGGGTTTTTATAAAACAAATGGCATCGAGTGCTCACATGTCACCTGGAGGTCCCATGTTTGTAAATGAAATGTTTCCGTTGCTCTTTATAGAAAGTAGAGGTTTTCTTGTAATAACTTAAACCTGTGTGTTGTGAAGAACCTGCTGTTTTCTAGGTTCCAGTCTAGCGTAAATCAGCGTTTTTGCACAAATTTAAAGACACTAGAAAATACTTATTTTGTTTTTTTATTCTTTTTAAAAAATATATATGTTTTATCGATTTTTTTTTTTTTTTTTTTTTTTTTTTTTTTTTTTTTTAATAGAGAGGAAGGGAAAAGAATAGAGAGTTAGAAACATCGATGAGAGAGAAACATCCATCAGCTGCCTCCTGCACACCCCACACTGGGGATATGCCCGTAACCAAATACATGCCTTGACTGGAATTGAATCAGGGACCCTTCAGTCTACAGGCCGATGCTCTATCCACTGAGCCAAACCAGTTAGGGCTTTTTTTATTCTTAAATATAATTTTTATTGATTTCAGAGAGGAAGGGAGGGGGAGAGCGAGATAGAAACATCAGTGATGAGAGAGAACCATTGATCAGCTGCCTCCTGCACGCCATATGCTGGGATTGAATCCGCCACCAGGCATAGGACCGGAATCAAACCCAGGACCCTTCAGTTCGCAGCCGACGCTCTGTCCACTGAGCCCCCAGGGCTGCGTGGCTGCTTTTCTGAAGGCTGTGGCTGGTGTGACGTGGGAGGGCGATGGCGGCAGAGGAGAGTGCTGCCCCTCACCGGGTCGCTTCGGTGACGTTTCCAAGTTGGACCTGTCCTTGGTGCTGAGTTTAAGACGCATCGCGGTTTTGGCTACGCCTCCCGGGTGACTGTGCCTTGTGTCCGTCTGTCTGTCCAGCTGAGGTCAGGGGGCGCACAGGTGTTGGAGGGCTGCATCGCCGAGATCCACAACATCACCAGCTTGGACATCTCCGACAATGGTGAGCGGCCTCGGGGTGGGGGGATTAAGAGGGTTCTCAGGGCCACACCTTCTAGCCGCCTGGCCGACATCATAGAGATGAGACCCCTGCCTGGTCTGGTGGACTTTTACGTTTGCCAATAGAGCTTATTTATGGAACAAACCTGTGCCCACAAACCTGTCTCCCTGAGCTGGCCTAGAGCCCACAGTGCAAAGTCAGGGCAGGAAAGAAAATATCAGCTCAGCCCTGGCCGGTGTGCTCAGTGGGTAGTGCACCTGCTCTCGGATTGAGGGTCCTGGGTTTGATTCCAGTCAAGGGCAGGTACCTGAGTTGCCGACTCGATCTCTGGTCAGGTGACGCTTACAGGAGGCAACCAATCGATAAAGTCTTTCTCACATCGATGTCTCCCTCTCTGGCTCTCCCACCCATTCTCTCAAAATCAATGGAAAAATATCCTCGGGGAAGGATTAATAACAACACCACACACACACACACACACACACACACACACACCAGACACAAATGCCAGTTAAGGCCTCAGGCCCATCAGAGGAAGAGCTGAGGCCAGCCTCTGGGGCTCTTGGTGGAGGGGGACCAGGTTGAGCCCTGACGTGTGCATCCGGAGCGTGTTCCCGGCGTGTTCCCACGGAGGTTCGCAGCCTGTGCGTGGGCACCTGTTCGGTTGGCGCAGACACCGTTCTGACGTCTGTGTCTCACCAAGGTGGGGGCGTGGGAGCCCCCGGCCGCTCTCCACTCCCACCCGCTGACCTCATTCCCCCACGGACTGAGCAGGGGACTGGAGAACAAGTTTGTTTTTAATAAATCTTTATTGTTGAAAGTATTACACGTCTCCCCTCCTCCATTAACCCCTCTAACCCGGCCCGACCAGGCCCTCACCACCCCCATTGTCTGTGTCCATATTTTTATTACTTTCAGAGAGGAAGGGAGAGGCAGAAAGAGAAACATCAATGATGAGAATCATTGATCTGCTGCCTCCTGCACGCCCCACACTGGGGATCGAGCCCGCAACCCAGGAATGAGCCCCGACCGGGAATCGAACCCTGACCTCCTGATTTATAGTCCGTTGCTCAACCCCTGCGCCATGCTGGCCGGGCTGGAGAACGAGTGTAGGGTTTCTCCCAGGGAAACAGGTCAGGGGGAGAGCGCAGCGTTCCCTGGAGGCGAGGACCCGGGCCCTCAGGGAGCCGCCCTTGCGGGATCGAGTTCCACCGAGCGTCCGGCGGCCGCGTCCTGACCCTCCCCCCTCCCCCCAGGCTTGGAGTCCGACCTCTCCACCTTGATCGTGTGGCTCAGCAGGAACAGGTCCATCCAGCACCTGGCCTTGGGCAAGAACTTCACCAACATGAAACCCAAGTAAGTTCTGAGTTGTGCATGCGACGAGGCGCGCCCAGCCTCCTGGGATCTCGGGCTGACCCTCCGCCGCCTCTCCCGTCTCCGCAGGAACCTGACGCCCGTGCTGGACAGCCTGGTGCAGATGATCCAGGACGAGGAGTCGGTGAGCTGTCTAACGTCTGCCCGCGTCTTGTGCCCTTCTCACTCTTCCCGCCGGTTAGCGGTCAGGGGCTTCCACACTGTTCATTCTGGGGGTTTTCTACCATTTTTTAACAGATGGAATACCGGTAAATCGTATGCTTTGGAATGGCGATAAGAGGCGTTTAAAATTTACTGGCTTCTCCCTTGATTCCACTTGTGATGAATTAAAGGAAGATTGTAACGAATAGGTGAAAAGCAATAGAGATTGACTCCTTAGCTCATCTCTTTTAAAAAAGTATGTTTTTATTGATTTCAGAGAGGAAGGGAGAGGGAGTGAGAGAAACATCAACGATGAGAGAGAGACATTGACCGGCTGCCTCCTTCACGCCCCACACTGGGGATGGAGCCCGCAACCCAGGCCTGTGCCCCGACAGGGAATTGAACGTGACCTCCTGGTTCCTAGGCCGATGCTCAACCACGGAGCCACGCGGCTGGGCCTGAGCTCGTCTTTATGTCTGAGACGTTGTGTGGCATCTTCGTTGCGCCATCCTGTCAGAGCTGGCACCTGCCTCTTGGTGTCGCCCACGGCTTTGCTTCGAGGGAGGTGCCGTCTGTTTGACATCGACGTCCATTTTGTGCCCGAACCGCACGTCCCCTTCCCCGCCTGTCCTGGCTGAGCTGACCGAGGAGGCCTCTGTGCAGTGGGTCCTCCGGCGGCTCTTCGTCAGAGACGAGCGTGTGCTGTTCCCCCGCAGCCTCTGCAGTCCCTGTCCCTGGCCGACTCCAAGCTCAAGACTGAGGTCACCATCATCATCAACGCCCTGGGCAGCAACACGTCCCTGACCAAAGTGGACATCAGCGGGAACGCCATGGGCGACATGGGCGCCAAGATGCTGGCCAAAGCGCTGCAGATCAACACCAAGCTCAGGTGCGCCCGGTGCCCGCCCAGGTGGCCGTGGGAGGGCCCGGCCAGCCCAGGGGCCTGGGGCCAGGGGGGTGACAGTTTCCATCCTTTGTTAGAATACTGAGTGTTACCAGACTTATTTTTTAAAATACAATATATTTGTATTGATTTCAAAGAGGAAGGGGGAGAGAGAGAAAAATATCCATGATGACAGAGAATCATGGACCAGCCGCCTCCTGCATGTTCCCCACTGGGGATTGAGCCTACAACCCGGGCCTGTGCCCTGACCGGGAATCGAACCCTGGCCTCCTGGTTCATAGGTCGCTGCTTACCCCGAACCGTGCCAGCCAGGCTTGCTCCCAGACAGACAGTGACTCCTCCCAGCCTGTGGGTGGAGGTTTGCTGGAGGGGAACCTGCCGAGAGCTGGTGCTGACGGAGGAGCGGGGCAGGCAGTGGTCACTGGTGGCAGGACCTGGAGAGCAGAGCCGGGAGGCGGCAGGAGGGATGGGCTTCCCGCTCAGGGTGTGAGCCCAGCCTCCTGGCCTCCCTCCCCCTCCTCCCCGGGCCTATCACCATGGAGACAGACAGCCAGGGTCCCGGGTCCACTGGCTCGGGGCGAGGGCCACCATTTACCCTCCATCATGCAATGCGTCATCCGAAAGCACCCCAACGGGCCCACAAGAGCTTCCTCGTTAGCGGGAGGCTGGTCCCTCCTCGCCAAGGGTCTCATTGTCTGTGTTCCTCTCCTCCAGGACGGTGATCTGGGACAAGAACAACATCTCTGCTCAAGGCTTCCAGGACATAGCCGTGGCCATGGAGAAGTGGGTGCTCGTGGTTCCCCCTGGAGACAGTCAACCGGGCCCAACCCCCTGAGCCCCAGGGTGTCCCCCTGAGCCCCGGGGGGTGTCCCTGAGCCCCGGGGGGTGTCCCTGAGCCCCCTGGTGTGTCCCTGAGCCCCTGGGGTGTCCCTGAGCCCCGGGGTGTCCCCCTGAGCCCCGGGGGGTGTCCCTGAGCCCTGGGGTGTCCCTGGGGTGTCCCTGAGCCCCGGGGGTGTCCCTGAGCCCCCTGGGTTGTTCCCCTGAGCCCCGGGGTGTCCCTGGGCCCTGGGGGGTGTCCCTGAGCCCCCGGGGTGTCCCTGAGCCCCGGTGTCCCTGAGCCCCAGTGTCCCTGAGCCCTGGGTGTGGCGGGCGTAGCTGTGGCTGGGCCTGGTGTGAGTCTGTACGTGGGCACGTGCCTGATGCTGCTTCCTCCTCCCGCGGCTTCACAGTCTGCCTCCACGGGTGCTGCTTTCTGTCCGCGACGGCAGTCTGCACCCGGGAGTGAGGAAGCTGAGACCCGGAGGGAAGGTGCAGTGGGGACGGCAGGCCTGTGGGCTCGGGCCAGTGGGACTGGAGGGCAGAGACGTGTGGCTCAGGGCAAGGTGTGGGGGTGGCAGAAAGCCACTGCAACCACTTTTCTTTTCTAAAAATAAAATGATTTGTTGACTTTAGAGACAAAGGGGGAGAGAGAGGGAAACATCAGTGATGAGAGAGGATCATGGATCGGCTGCTCTTGCCCGCCCCACATGGGCTGGAGCCCACAACCCGGGAATGTGGCCTGACAGGAATTGAACTGTGACCTCCTGGTTCCTAGGTTGATGCTCAGTCACTAAGACCCGCCGGCCGGGCAGGAGGTTACTTTTAAAGAAACATGACCACCTCCTTCCCGTAGGAACTACACGCTGCGGTTCATGCCGATCCCCATGTACGACGCCGCCCAAGCCCTCAAGACAAACCCCGAGAAGACGGAGGAGGCTCTGCAGAAGGTACGGGGCGGCAGCCAGCGGCCGTGAACGCACCTTCGCACAGAGCCGCGTCCATCCGTCCGTCCGACCTGCTGACACGGGCTGTTCACTGGGCCTGTGTCCCAGGGCTGGCCCGGCGCCGATGGGGAGGGGGTGTCCGCTCCTGCGCCGTGACAGTGGCCGGTGCCCACGAGCCCCATTCCTCCCCGCGCCGGCCGCGTGGTGGGTGGCCGAGCGTCCACCCCGAACCGGGAGGTCACGGCTCCTTTTCCGGGCAGGGCTTCCCCGGGAGGGCAGCGCCCGTCTCCCAGCCTGCGGTCGGGGCGCTGGTGGGCGTGGAACTCGTGCTTTGGCTCCCGTGTCGCTTGTTGGGGTCACGCTGTGACCCTGAGAGGCACGTGCTTTGTTTCCAGATAGAAAACTACCTGCTCCGGAACCACGAGACCAGGAAGTACCTGCAGGAGCAGGCCTACCGCCTCCAGCAGGGCATCGTCACCAGCACCACCCAGCAGGTGGGCCCTCTGCCGCCCACCCACCCGCCCGGTGCCCCACCTGCCCACCCGCCCGGGGCCCCGCCCACCCAGGGCCCCGCCAGTCACTCCCCGGGCGGAGAACGGCCAGGGCTCCTTACACAGCAGAAGCATTGAGACGCTGTGAGCCGCCTCCTGGGTCCCGGGAGGAGGCTCCCGTCCTCACTGTGCTGTTCCCTTCCGTCCGAACGCCTCCCGCGCACGGCCCCGGTGTCCTTCCCTCGTGCGGGCAGATGATGGACAGGATGTGCGTGAAGGTCCAAGATCACCTCAACTCCCTGCGGAACTGCGGGGGCGATGCCGTCCAGGAGGACGTGCGGTCGGCCGAGCGGCTCATGCGGGACGCCAAGAACTCCAAGACGGTGAGCTTCCCTCGGGCTGCTCGGCCTCTTGGGCGTGAAAATGGCGTGTGAACGGTTTCCAGCTTCTTTTATAAAAAAATATTATTTTACTGATGTCAGAGGGGAAGGGAGAGGGAAGAGAGAGAGAGGAACATCAGTGAGAGTGTCATGGATCGGCTGCCTCCTGCACCCCCCCTCTGGGGCCTGTGTCCTGACCACTCCTTCCCGCTGGTGCTCAGGCCACGGCCACTTCACTGTGGACAGCTCTTGCCCTTTCTTCCAGCTGCTGCCAAACCTGTACCACGTGGGCAGCGCGTCCTGGGCGGGAGCCAGCGGCCTGCTGTCCAGCCCCGTGCAGGAGACGCTGGAGTCCATGGCCGGGGAGGTCACCAGGGTTGTCGACGAGCAACTAAAGGTTTGTGCCTTCTGCCCCTTCGGAGGAGGGCGCAGTCACGGCTTAGCTGTGCGTGAGGGCAGCCCGGGCCACGCTGCCTGTGCTGGGTCGGCTGAGTGTGTGTGTGTGAGTGTGTGTGTGAGTGTGAGAGTGTGTGTGAGTGTGTGAGTGTGTGTGTGTGTGAGGTGTGTGTGAGTGTGTGTGAGTGTGAGGTGTATGAGTGTGTGTGTGTGAGTGTGTGTGTGTGTGAGAGTGTGTGAGTGTGTGTGTGTGAGTGTGTGTGTGTGAGTGTGTGTGTGAGGTGTATGAGTGTGTGTGTGTGTGTGTGAGTGTGTGTGTGTGTGTGTGTGTGTGTGTGAGAGTGTGTGTGTGTGTGTGTGTGTGTGTGCGCACGCGCATTCACCTGTCCCCCACACGCATGGTGGCAAACATGGGTGACTGCCTTTCAGCTTCCTTGGTATGTTTTGGAATGACTTCTTAGGATGAGATTGCACCTGTCAAATTCCATTTCTTTCCTTTTTTTCTTATTTTTTTTAATCCTCATCCGAGGATGTTTTCCCACTGGTTTTTAGGGAGAGACAGAAACATCGATTGGCTGCCTCCTGCAGGCGCCCTGACCAGGGCCCGGGCTGAGGAGGAGCCTGCAGCCGAGGGACGTGCCCTCGACTGGAGTCAAACCCAAGACCCTGCATTCCGCAGGCCGACGCTCCCCTGAGCACACCGGCCAGGGCTCCGTTTTGGTTTTGACGGGACCTCTCCACATGACCTTGACCTCGGACGGGTCCCACTGATGAGGGAATGACCCTGCCTGGTGCGAGGCAGAGAGGGGTCTGCTCTGGGGAAACGGCCTTCTGTGGTTACACGTGAGGTCGGGCGGGGGAGGCCGAGCGCGGAGGCCGACAGCGGCGCCCTGTGGCCTCGCCCTCACCGCGCTGCCGCCCCGCAGGCCCTGCTGGAGTCCATGGTGGACGCGGCCGAGAGCCTGTGCCCCCACGTGATGAAGAAGGCGCACGTGCGGCAGGACCTGATCCTCGCCGGCTCCGAGAAGCTGTCCGTGCCCCGCGCCTTCGTGAAGAACGTGCTGCTGGAGCAGTCGGGCGTGGACATCCTCAACAAGATCAGGTGGGCGCCCGCCCGCCCGCCGGGGGCTCGGGCTGGGCGCGGGCTCTGAGCCAGGAGGTCCGGTTCCGTTCCCGGCCAGGACACCTGCCGGTGGCGGGCAGGAGGCAGCCGGTCCGTGGTTCTCATCGTGGACGTTTCTTTTCTTCCTCTCTCCTCTGAAATCAGTAAAAATATGTATTGAAAGAAGTCCCATCACGCCAATTGGCGTTTACGCAGATGCTCTCGGGTCTGCCTCTAAGTCCGGGGCTGAGATGGCAGGGCCGGCTGAGGTGGCGAAGGATGTGATGACTGTGTGTCCGCGGCTTCTGTTGGGAGCGGGGCCCTGTGCACACGTCCTCACCTCCGGCCGGCAGAGCGGGCGCCGCCTGGTGAACGCGGCGTGGGGTGGGTGACGCCCCCTTTGCCTCAGTTAAAATGCTCTGCGCTCCCGGCCCGCCCACAGCGAGGTGAAGCTGACCGTGGCCTCCTTCCTGTCCGACCGGATCGTGGACGAGCTCCTGGACGCCCTGTCGCACTGCCATCACCGACTGGTGAGCCTGGACCCCGCGGGCCGCCCTCCAGCCCTGTCTGCAGCTTCAGGCAGGCCCCGCCCCTGTTCCTCTCCACGTCCCTTCGGCCCCTCCGGTGCCTGGGGCCCTCTCCCGGGGGTTCAGGGAAAGGCCCGAGTGACCGCCCCAGACCTTGTTCGTCCACCGTGAAGGTCAGCGTCGTGGGCCATGTGGAGACCGAGATTTAAAATTAAGATTAAAATTTTTTAAAATTTTACTTTTATTATTTTCTAAAATTCTCACCAAGGATATTTCTCTGTTGATTTTTAGAGAGGGCGGGAGGGAGGGGAAGAGACAGAGAGAAACATCGACGAGAGAGATCGATTGGTTGCTTCCTGCAAGAGCCCTGACCGGGGCCGGGGATTGAACCTGCAACAGAGGCACGTGCCCTTGACTGGAATCAAACCCGGGACCTTTCAGCTATGGGCCGCCGGTCTGCCCCCTCGCCAAACCGGCCAGAGATCTCATCGATGTTTCTCTCTCTCCCCCTCCCCTTCCTCTCTGAGATCAAGTGAAAGAAAAAAGAAGGGCCACCCCAGGTGCCCACACAGCCCTCGGCACCCTCTTGGGGCCAGCCGCCTGCTGCCCCGTGTCTGGCTGATTTGTCCTGTGTTGACCCCCCAGTCCGACCACTTCAGCCGGAGGGGCCGGGCCCTTCCTGCCTCCGAGGCCTCGGACGCGAAGCCCGCGGACGAGAAGCCGGCCCGGCCCCCGGTCCTCGCGGTGGAGGAGCTCACGGAGCTGGAGCGCCTGGAGGACCTGGACACCTGCCTGGTAAGATGCAGCCCTCGGCGTGGCCGCTGGTTCTTACAGAAAAGCTCACCCTGACAAGCCAGGCCGAGCAAAACGCCCCCGGAGACGATGCTTTCAGATGTGCCGCTGCACGGAGGCTGTGAGTGAGGCTGATGGAACCTACGGTTCAGTCCTGGCCGGGTGGCTCAGTGGATAGAGCACGGCCCCTGCACCGAAGGGTCCCGGGTTGGATTCTGGCCAAGGGCATGCACCTCGGTTGTAGGTGCCCTGGCCCTGGTCGGGCGTGTGCAGGAGGCAGCCAATTCCTGTGTCTCTCTCACGTCAATGCTTCTGTCTCTCCCCCTCCCTTCCACTCTCTAAAAATCAATGGAAAAACATCCTTGGGTGAGGATGAACAAGAAAGAAAAATACTCGGTTTCGTAATAAACAAAAACCTTTCTTCAAAGACAGATGAACATGTGCACGAAGCACAAGTGACGGGTGTGTGTGCTGTCCCCCGTGACGCAGGCCTGTGTCCGTGCCACTGGGAGCAGCCGTTTGCGTGCGTCTGCCACGCCTGGGCCGTGCCCTCGGGGCTGTGGGCTGGAGACAGTGGTGGAGGAGCCGTTCGCGTGCACTCATCACCGCAGCACACGCCTCGGTCACAGCGCAGGCGTGTGGACGGGACCCGCCTGGCTCTGAGGAGGCGGTTCTCATTCTGCCGTCAGTGCTGCCTGCCGGTCCCCTCGTCACCGTCTGAGGCTCCGAGGCCGCAGCCAGCAGCTCGGTGCGGCGGGTGCTGAGCGGGAGGAGACGGTGCACGGCCGTCTCCGAGGCTGGAGGGAGCCGCTCTCCGAGGCCGGAGGCTTCTCCATTGCCATGGTTCTCCTTTCCATAGGACCGTGATTCTGCTGGCCTGTCCTTTAGGAGCCAAACCAATGGAAGGCCCCGCCCCCTTGCTAGAATGATTGGCAGTAAATGGCCCTGGCAGGGAGCCTTGGCTGGTTTGGCTTAGTGCAGTGGTGGGCAAACCTCAGCTCTTTGGCCCCTTGAGTGTGGCTCTTCCACAAAATACCACATTTGGGCGCATACGTGCAGTGTGATTGAAACCTTGTGGCCCATGCACAGAATTCGGTTTTCGGCTCTCAAAAGAAACTTCAATCGTTGTACTGTCGATATTTGGCTCTGTTGCCTAATGAGTTTGCTGACCACTGGCTCAGTGGTTGGGGCATTGGCCTGTGGACTGAAGGGTCCCGGTTTGATTCTGGTCAAGGGTGTTTGGGAGGCACCCAATCCATGTGTCTCTCTCACATTGATGTTTCTCTCGCTATCTCTCCCCCTCCCTTCCACTCTCTCTAAAAATCAATGAGGAAAAAAAATTCCAGTAAGGATTAACGAAACAAACAAACAAACAAAAAATAAAAGAGAGAAAGAAAGAGAAAGAGAAAGGCAATCTAAACTGTCTGTGGGAGTTAGCTGTACCGCTCTCGTGTTTGCGTCTGTAGTTAACCTGTTAGCGGGACCGAAGTCTGCATTGCCCCCCACGTGGGAGTATTGGAGTCTATTCTAATGTCCCCTCCTTCCGTGCTGTTTCCAACTTAACTCAGTGGGTCATAAGGAGGCGCGTTTGGAGAACAGTCCTCGCACGGTGTGGCCTCGGCAGTCTGAGGTGGGGACGCGGACGGAGCGAGAGGCCTTCCCAGCAGCAGCTCCGGTGGCGTGGGGTCCCCTTCTCGGCAGGCCCGCTCCTCCTCTCCCAGGCTGAGGAGCCCCGGACACGCTTTCAGAATGTTAGGAAGAGGCCCTCCCGCCTTTCAGCTCCCACCCAGGGGCAAGGTGTCCTGGGTAACCGGGCCTCCCGCCCTTCCCCGGAAGGCTGTGACGATGTGGGATGCAAAGCTGCTCCCTCAGTGCAGCAGGGAGCACAGATGGGCATCAGAGGCCCCGGGGACTCTCACACGCCCACAGGCCCCTGTCCGCACTCGTTACGGACCAGCTCCGGCCAGGACAGGTGCGGGAGCTGTGCTGTCTTCGTCCCCAGAGGGTCGGCCAGGGGCCTCCTGCACCCGCTTAGCCGGTGGGTAACGTCTCCCAGCGGCTCCGGGTCAGGCCGCTCCATGCTGCTCGTGACGGCCTGGGACCCCGTGCGGCCTCCTCCCTGCCCAGGCTCTGCCGAGCGGCCCTCGGTCTGCTGGCGAGCGCTGCCTCTCCCGTCCTCGTAACGCCTTTGCTGTTTCCTCTTCGTTCACGTTTCTTCTTTCTTTCTGCTGCACGGAGACCCTCTGCTGCACGCATGTGAGTACTGGGGCCGCCTGCTCTTCCGGCCCTCACTTCTGCCCTTGTGTCCGTTGGCTTCTGCGCTGCCTGGCTGTCCCCCGACGTCGTCCTGTCGCCTCCGCGGGCCCTGGACGGAGCAGGCAGCGGTGACCACTCTGGGTCTCCCAATGGCTCAGCTCGCGAATCGAGCGGTGACTGTCAGACGCCCCACTGTGTGCGAGCCGGGTGGGCGGGGCTTTGGGCCGGGCAGACGGCGCTGCGTTGGGTCCTGGGGAGCAGGGCCAGGCCTTCGTCCTCTGTCCGCCGCCGCCTGCGCCTCGGGTGAGAAGCAGCCTGTCGTTAGGGGTTCCTTTGCGAAGGTTTAGCATGTTGCTCCTTGTGTGTCCTGAAGATGTGAATTGAAAATTACTTCTGCCTGGCCGGTGTGGCTCAGTGGATAGAGCGTTGGCTTGCGGACTGAAGGGTCCTGGGTTTGACTCCTGATCAGGGCACAGGCCTGGGTTACGGGTTCGATCCCCCGTGAGGGGAGTACAGGAGGCAGCTGATCCATGATTCTCTCTATCGATGTTTTTTTTTCTCTCTCTCCCTCTTCCTGCTTCTCTGAAATCAATAAGATATTTTTTTAGGAAATGGAAAGTTGCTCTCTGTGGCTCAGAATGCGTTTTTAGAAACAAACTGATTCTGTCCAGGCTGGCGGGCTCAGCCTCGAACTGGTCTGTGAAGTGTCGGGTGCTGATGCCTGGGGACGGGCACCGACAGATGCACAGATGTTGGGGAAGGCCAGGGACAGAGACGGGCTGAGGCCAGGCTGGGAAAATGCACCCATGGAGGGAGACGGGGGCACCGGCCTCGGGTTCGGCTTCTCGGGACCTGCAGCGCCTCCGGCTGGAGGGGCCCTGGGCGCTGGCTGTGGTTTGGGTTTGGGTCTCCATCTGGAGGGGGACCAGCAGGATGAAAGCTGACTTTCTGGGAAGCGGGCAGCCCGCCTGTGCCCCAGGTGGGGGTGGGACGTGCCCGGGCCCACGTGGCGGGGCAGACGCTGTGGCGTGGAACCCCGTGCCCCGTGTCCAGGGGTGGTGTGGGCGGACGCTGGCTCAGGGCTTCCTGTGATTCGTTGCTAGATGACCCCTAAGTCCAAGAGGAAGACGATCCACAGCCGGATGCTGCGGCCGGTGTCCCGGGCCTTCGGTGAGTGTCTGCACCTGCCACAGGGCCCCGGGCGGGCGGCGAGGGTGCCAGCCTCGCGAGGGGCTGCTCGCTGAGCGGGGATTGTTCCTGATGCGCGGCTTCTTCTTGCAGAAATGGAGTTCGACCTGGACAAGGCCCTGGAGGAGGTGCCCATCCACGTGGAGGACCCGCCCCTCCCCTCCCCGCCCCGCCCCGCCGAGAAGCGGAGCTCCGGGCTCATCCCCGAGCTGCCCTCCGAGGAGGGCCGGAAGCTGGAGCACTTCACCAAGCTGCGGCCCCGGCGCAACAAGAGGCAGCGGCCCACGCAGGCGGCGGTGCGTGGGAGCCCTGCTTTGGGGGAGCCCTGCCCGGGCGGGGGGGGAAGCCCTGCTGGGGAGGGGGAGCCCTGCTGGGGGCCCTGGTTGAGGGGAGCAGAGCACCCCTGCACCCCTGCCATCCTTTTCCACCTGGACCAGTCCTCAGAGCCGCAGCCTATTTCTCTCACCCAGCATGCGCATGTGCACACACACACACGCACACACACACACACACGCGCACACACACACACGCGCACACACACGCGCACACACGCACACACACACACACACTCACACACGCACACACGTGCACACACACGGACACACGTGGATATACACACGTGCACATGCATGTGCACACAGGCCCCGTCTCCCTGGGGTGGCCGCAGGACGCAGGGACAACGCTGTCCCCGACGTGTGCGCAGTGCACAGCCTGGGCCACCTCCCGGGCCCGCCCCCTGCCGGTGCTTCCTGGCTGCAGCCCTGGGCCTGCCTGTGTCGGACGGAGGCCCATGTGGGTCACCGTGGCCTCCCACCGCCCAACACTGGCCGAGTGATGAGGGGCCTGGAAGCAGCCTGTCCTGCAGAGACGGGGCCGTGGGAGCCCTGCCCCCTTGGGAGCACACGGGTGCTCCCGTCCCCAGAGCGATGCCCACTGCTGGTCTTGGTTTTCCATTTGTAGTATATGTCTTTATTTCAGAGAGGAAGGGAGAGGGAGAGAGACGCATCAATGAGAGTCATGGGTTGGCTGCTTCCTACACGCCCCACACTGGGGGTGGGGTCCACAACCCGGTATGTGCCTGACGGGAATCGAACCGTGACCTCCCGGTTCACAGGTCCATGCTCAGCCCCTGAGCCCTGCCGGCCGGGTGGCTGCAGAGACACTGGCTCTTCCACAGGCTTCGCCAGGCCTGGGTGCACCCTGGTTCCTCCCTTGTCCTTCCTGCCCCGTCACACCCGAACCCGTGACTTCTGTCCGTGTGCACCGGCCCCGTGGTCCCAGGGCCTCGACCGTGACCACAGTGTCTGTGAATTCATTGTCCGTCGGTCACTGTGGTGCCGTCTGGTTGGCAGGTCAGTGCTGCGACCATGGTCCCGCAGGACGGCGAGCGGAACGGCCTCATGGGGAGAGTGGACGAAGGCGTGGACGAGTTTTTCACCAAGAAGGTGACCAGGAGGTGAGTTCACCCGCCTAGAAGTCACGGCAGTCATCTCGGACGTGTCTGCCGAGGTCATTTGTTTCACACGCGTGTAGATGGTTTCCAACGGCTTTACGGTTCTGAGGGTTTGCAGATGTCATCTGCAGACCAGCAACATGGCCATCAGCCGGGAGCGTGTTAGAGGCGCAAACTCCTGGCCTCACCCCCAGACCTGCTGACGGGGAGCATCTGTGGTGCAGCGGCCCTCTGTTCTTAAAAAATTTTATTGATTTTTTACAGAGAGGAAGAGAGAGGGATAGAGAGAAACATCGATGAGAGAGAATCATCGATCAGCTGCCTCTTGCACACCCCCTACTGGGGATGTGGCCGCAACCAAGGTACATGCCCTTGACCTGGATCAAACCCGGGACCCTTCAGTCCGTAGACCGACGCTCTATCCACTGAGCCAAACTGGTTTCGGCTGGTTTTGTTTTTTAAATTTGTTTGTACTGATGTCAGAGCGGAAGAGAAGGAGAGAGAGGGAAACACCTGTGATGAGAGAGCATCACACGGGATCGAGCCCACAGCCCGGGCCTGTGCCCTGACCGGGAATCGAACCCGGACCTCCTGGCTCATAGGTCGACGCTCAGCCCTGAGCCATGCCCGCCGGGCCCCTGTCTGTGTTTTGACTGGTTCCTGCTGGAACCTGGATTACAGTGAAGCCAGCAGGGTGCCTTCCCCTGTGTCCCAGGAGGTCCTCGGCCAGAGGCCCCGAGGCCCCGGACCTCGGCGACGGGAGCGACGAGAAGAAGAAGAGAGAGTCTCGGAGGAGCGGCTTCCTCCACCTCATCAAGCCCCGGACCAGGGCCGAGCGGCCACCCACGGTCTTGATGGCGGAGGAGCCGTCCTCGCCCAGAGGGGCGGGCAGAGGCCCAGTGGACGCGCCCCGGCGGGAAGCGAGGCCGGCCGAGCACGACGGCAGCTCCGAGCGGACGGAGGAGGTGCAGACGCCCGAGCCCCCGGAGCACGGGGAGGACGCGGGGCGGCCGGAGCCCGGCGACGGCAGGGGCAGCCCCCCGGGCGGCCGGCGGTACGGCGTCCAGGTGATGGGCAGCGGCCTGCTGGCTGAGATGAAGGCCAAGCAGGGGCGGCGAGCGGCCGGCGCGCACCAGGTGAGCCACGGACTCGCCGTCGCTGGGTTTTGTCCCCGGGGAGAGCCGCAGCCGCGGTCGGCGGTGGAGGTCCCATCGCGGCTGAAGCCAGTCTCATTGTGGAAATGCGGGTCCTAATGCTTCACTGAGGTCCTGAGGCGTCCCCTTTTCCAGACCAGAGCCTGCCTGGGGATATTCCAGATTTAAAAGTCAAAGGGAAAGAAAGCCAAGGTGTCCTGTTAGAATTAGTGGAATCCTGGGCCACGTGTGGTCGGACGCCGTAGAGAAAACGGCGTCACGGTCTAAACGTTGCTGAGCCCCCGGCAGACTCGATGTGTCATTCACGCTCCAACCCCCGACTGCCTGTTTCCTCCTGCAGCTCCTGAGAGGGCTGGACCCTCGTGGCCCCGGAGCCACGGGCCACGCTTAACCCGGCTGTGGCTTCTGTGGGTCTCCCTGGGCGCTTCGAAGTTTGCAGAACCGGGTTCTCCAAAGACAGGGGATTGCACCCCGCCTTTCTGTGGAGGAGGAGACTAGATCTGCTCCCCCCAGGAGCCTTGGGTTCCTGCAGGACGGGGCTGCTCAGGGACTCCACACCTGGGCAGGTTTTCTTTAAAAATATATATATATTTTCAGTGATTTCAGAGAGGAAGGGAGAGAGATGAGAAAGAATCATCGATCGGCTGTCGCCTGCATGGCCCCCACTGGGGATGGAGCCTGCAACCCAGGCATGTGCCTTGACCAGGAATCGAACCGTGACCTCCTGGTTCATAGGTCGATACTCAACCTCTGAGCCACACTGGCCTGGCATTGCTACTTGGTCGTGTGGTCTCACGGGTGCTCACGGGCACCTTGGTTACCTGGCAGTTTCCTGGTTACAGGTCCCTCCCACCTCCCTCGTCCTTAGGGCGTGGAGTTCATGGGCTCTGAGACCTTGGACAGGGAGCAGGCTGTGTGCACCAGGCGCTGCTGGGTCAGCTCCTGCTGAAGAGCAGCTGCCTGGGGATGGGGGTGGGGGGACAGAGGGCTCCAGGCCTTCCTCCGGGTGCTTTGGGACAGAATTCTCCTGGGTTAAGTGGTAGTGCCGCCAGGTTCATGCCCGTGGTCTCTCAGCGCCACCTAGTGTCCATTTACTGTAACAACAAGCTCTAGCCGGGGCTCAGTGGGTAGTGTGTCGGCCTGCGGACTGAAGGGTCCCAGGTTCGATTCCTGGTCAGGGCACATGCCTGGGTTTCAGGGTCAGGCCCCAGTGTGCATTAATGTGTTTATCTCTCCCTCTCCCCTTCTCTCTGAAATCAATAAGGACATGTTAAGAAAGATATATAAATATATGTAAAACAACGATAGTAGAAACCAAGTGTTAAAAACTTGAGCCAGCCGGGGATTCCCTCTCCTATGGCGGTGCTCACGTGGTGGGCGCGAAAACCTCTCCGACAGGTAATCCTGACTCGTCGGGGGCACTGCCCCCCCCCCCCCCCCAGACGGTCCCATAAAACCACGACGACAGCCAACAACAGTAACCGCCCGGGGGAATGCGTAGGAATTACACCTGTTGCTCTTTCTGGTCCGATCGGCACAGAGTAACCGTTTTCGGTGTGCCGCGGAGCGCTGGTAGTGAGGGGCGTGTGCTGAGGGGTGAAGCTGTGAGCGGCTCCGTTACCACAGTGGAATGGGGGGCTTCCCCACGGCCACGCTGCCACACCGCCCCCTGTGAGGGTGTGAACTTAGAGGCCGGAGGGCGGCCGGAGCCGTGTGCTCCGGGGCCTGGCCTCTCCTGGGGCCCCGGGTGGCCACTGGCTGGCACAGGTGCTGCACATCACTGCTCAGCCAGGGAGGAGCTGAGAGCCACTCGCCCTGGCCAGTTCGACTCAGTGGATAGAGCGTCGGCCTGTGGACCGAAGGGTCCGGTTTGATTCTGGGCGAGGACGGTTCCTGGGTGGCGGGCTCCTCCCGGGCCCTGGTGAGGGCTCTTGCAGGAGGCAGCCAATCTATGTGTTTCTCTCACATCGATGTCTCTCTCTCTGCTGCTCCCTCTAAACACCCGTGGAAAACACCCCGGGGAGGACTGACAACACAGAGCCGTTCTCTGTTGTCGTCGTCGCACTGTCTGCTCTGTTCCTCTCACACTGGAATGAGTGCGCATTCGGGGGGTGCCTGGGTTTTTCAGAAGCTCGGGAACGATGCAGCCTCCCAGGACCCACCCAGTCCGGCCACCAGCACGAGCACGGAGCAGCCAGACGGAGGCGGGGCAGGTGAGTCAGGAGGTGCAGCCCCGCCCCCCCTGTACTTAGGGAAACCCCTGCTGTTCTGAGTCACAGGTGATTGACAGGAGGAAAACAGATGGGGGCAGGGCAAGTGTGGCCTCTGTGTTTCCTGTCCTCAGCCTTCCCTCCTCCTCCTCCTGCCCAGCGCACCTGGGGCAGGGCCACACCCATGGCCTTGTCCCAAATGGGTACCTTTTCCCATCCCCAAAGGGAAGACAGTTTGTTGAGAAGAACTTATAAACCATGGACGTTGGCGGGTGGGGGGGGGTGCAGAGGAGGGGACAGTTGGGGACATGCTGATATTTTGATATTTTTATTTTTTTAAAAAATATTTTTATTCCTTTCAGAGAGAGGAAGGGGGAGGGAGAGAAACATCAATGATGAGAATCATGGATCGGCTGCCTCCTGCACGCCCCCGACTAGGGATGGAGCCCGAAACCCAGGCCTGTGCCCCGACCAGGAGTAGAACTGTGACCTCCTGGTTCACAGGTCGACGCTCAGCCCCTGCGCCGCCGGCTTTAAAACCCCTTTGAGTTTAAAGCTGCCTTTTGTACCCGTTCTCGCTCCAGGGCCGAAGCTGCCCCCCGCGCTCCCGGGCTCCCCGGAGAGGAACGCCAGGGCGGAGCCCCGGGTGGACGCGGGCCATCGCGGCCGGAGCGCCTCCAGCGCCAGGCCCGCCCTGCAGACACCCAAGCCCAGCCCGGCGGCGCGGCCCGCCCTCCCGCAGAAGCCCCGGGCGCCCTCGCGGGCAGGTGAGCGCTCGGGGGCGGGGCGGTGCGCGCGGGCGTGGGGTCCCGCAGGGGCCGTGACCAAAGGGCTGGAGGCCGGGGAAGTGGCCGGCAGGCGGGCCTCTGACCAGCGCCTCCGGGACTCCTCCGTCCGGCTGCAGGCACAAGGGGGGCGGAGGAGGCATCTGTCCCTGCCTCCAGGTGCAGGGCCCACGCGGCAGAGGCTGGAGGGAGGGAGGGCCCCTTGCTGTGCCGTGTTTGGGGTTCAGAGCAGAGTGTGGCGCACCTGGGCCTGATTTTTAAATGTATTATTCAGAGAGGAAGGGAGAGGGAGGGAGAGAAACATCAGTGATGAGAGAGAATCACGGATCGGCTGCCTCCTGCTCGCCCACACTGGGGATCGAGCCCACAACCCGGGCCTGTGCCCCGACCGGGAATCGAACCCTGACCTCCTGGCTCCCAAGTGGAGGCTCACCCCCTGCGCCCCGCAGGCCGGGCTGGGCCTGTCTGTCCATGCCCCGCACAGATGCCCGGTGTGCCTGCTGGCTCACGGCTGGGAGCTCAGTCAGAAAAGTCCGTGCTGCTCTTGGAGGATGTGCCTTGTGTGGAAAGCCCGCTGCTCCGTCTGAGGAATCGGCCGCGGAGCCGCGTGACCCAGGAGCTTGTGTCTCCACAGAGGACGTCTCGGGCTCCCCGTCCGGCCTCGGCTCCCCCAGGGCCGCTCTGCTCCCGCCCGTCCTGAGGAAGGTGCCCGCGGACAAGGAGAGGGAAGGCCAGGGCAGCCCCCAGCCCAGCCCCAGCCCCAGCCCCAGCCCCAGGACCTTCTCCCAGGAAGGTAGGCACGCTCGTCCCAGCCCAGTCCTCCCAGGCGCCCCCCTCGGGGAATTCGAGGTGACTTCAGCGCCCCTTGGGTCAAACACTGGGACCTCAAGTCTGCATTACTGACGGCACGGGATCCGGATGGAGGTCACGGGGTCAGGATTGAGGTCACGGGGATGGGTTGGAGGTCATGGGGGTCAGGATGCAGGTCACGGGGTCAGGATGGAAGTTATGGTTGTCATGATGGAGGTCACAGGGTCAGGATTGAGGTCGGGATGGAGGTCGGGATGAAGGTCATGGGGTCAGGATGGAGGTCGGGATGGAGGTCATGGGGTCAGGATGGAGGTCGGGATGGAGGTCACGGGGTCAGGATGGAGGTTGGGATGGGGGTCACGGGGTCAGGATGGAGGTTATGGTTGTCATGATGGAGGTCACAGGGTCAGGATGGAGGTCACAGGATCAGGATTGAGGTCGGGATGGAGGTCGGGATGAAGGTCACGGGGTCAGGATGGAGGTCGGGATGAAGGTCACGGGGTCAGGATGGAGGTCGGGATGGAGGTCACAGGGTCAGGATGGAGGTCGGGATGGAGGTCACGGGGTCAGGATGGAGGTCACGGGGTCAGGATGGAGGTCGGGATGGAGGTCACGGGGGCAGGATGGAGAGACACCTCCCCCTCCGCTGAGACGGCGGCCTGGAGGCCTCAGGCCTGAAGCACTCACTCCGTGCTCCTGCCCTGGCGCCCTCCTCGGGCAGCAGACAGTGTTGGGTTCATAGGTCAATGCTCAGCCACTGACCGCGCCGGCCAGGCTGTCGCTTGACTGAAACGAGGCCTTGAGTTTGAGGGCAGCTCTGTGAGAGAGCGAGGCCCGAGCCTCTGGCCGGACAGTCACGTTCTCCCCCGAGAATCGGAGACGCACGAGTGCTCGTCACCCTTCGAGGCCTCGGGTGGCGCTGATTCCCCTCCTCCTCCTGAGGGAGCGATAGGGCGGGTCCCGCTCCCCCAGGAGAAGCCCGGAGACCGTCACTCCCCTGCGTGGGTCCAGCCAGTGGGTCCAGTGGAGGCTGCTGGGTTCTGTGGGTAACGGCCACCGACCAGGACCGGCGACAGGCGGGACCGTGAGTCCAAAGGGGGCGGCGAGGTGCCGTCCCATCGGGAACGTTCGTGCGCGTGGCCGTGGTGTCGCCACGCGGACGCGTGTGCTGCGGTCGGGTGAAACGGCTCCCTTTTCCTCAGCTCAGAGAGGCGACCGGGACGGGGGCAGGCCTGCCGGTGGAGGGAGGCGGCCGGCCCAGCGGGGCCCTGTGCTTGCGGAGGAGGCGGCGAAGGCAGCTGGGCACCGGAAGCCGCAGCCAACAGCGGGTAGAGCCCCTGGCGTCACCCTCGGGCCGAGGCTAGAACCGGCACTAACCACGTCCGTCAGGGAACCCCGCGGCTCGAGCAGCTGACTTTTATTTTTTCCTGAAAGGCAGCAGGATGGTCCTCCCATCTGGGGCAAAAGGGTCGACTTACAAGATCTAAGAACCATTGATTGGCTCTCCTGCTGGGCGTCGAGCCCGCCACCCCCCTCCCCAGAGCATGTGCCCTTCGCCAGAATCGAACCTGGGACCTTACAGTCCACAGGCTGACACTCTCTCCACTGACCCACACCGGCCAGGGCGAGGCAGAGCTTTTTTGGGAGTATATGAAATCTCTCTATTGTCCTTGTTTTGATAAGGACACCCACGGGTCCCAGATGTTTCCAGGTTTTGGAAATTTGCATTTGAACTGCGGTAACCGTGGCCGAATGTCACTTCATTAGCAAAGCTCCTTTGATCCAATGCGATGTTCCCTATTCAGTCTTTAGTCGGCCACTAAACGCACTCAGACAACACACAGACCCAGAGACACCCCCGCCCCCCTCCTTTCACAGCCCTCCCTCCCCCCTCTGCCACACTGAGCATCCCTTGACTTGGGATGAAAAGAGGAGGCAGGCAGAGAGAAGCCAGCCCCAGAAAGGCAGGAGTCTGTGTCTGTCTCAGATATTCCCCGTGACTTCTCCGGTTTAAAATTCTCATTTTGATGGGATTAAATGGGACCATCTTGTATTTGCTTTTGGCCTCGGTTTCTTGAAATACTGGTGGGAACAGCAAAGGGAAACTTTTACAGGGCCTCCAATTAAAGTAACTTCACGCATGTTTCAATGTGGCTCTGTTAGTGCCAGTTCCTAGCCCTCGGCTGCGTGCCCCTGAGTGCTGCCTGGCAGTCTGCTTTCGGAATGGTGTCTGACTTAACCAGTCGAGATGGGCAGAGCAATTCTGCCGGTGGTTTGCATCCTCTAAGTCTTCTGAAACGGATTCCTCCCCTCCTCGGCCCCGTGACCAAGACACAGGCCGCGGTTCTGAAAGCACGCTGCCCGTGGCGTCACTGTCGTGTGCTCATTGTGTGGCCGTCTGAGTGTCGATGGGCCGGCTGGCTGCCTGCTTGCTCTCAGGGGAGTGTTTGTAGCTGCGCCTTCTGAATTTCATACGTGTCCCCTCTTCCTTTCGCTGTGCACTGCGGTGTCCTGTCAGCGTGTGTTCCTTTTTCTGGAAGAAGTGGCTGGTTTTGGCTTTGGATGGCCTGTGATGGCTGCACGGCCTCCTGACTCGGAGAGGCCGTGTGTCTGTTTAACACATTGCGGACGGATCAGGAGGATTCTCAGTTCATGTCACACAGTGTTTTACCAAGTATCAAACTTCAAGAAGATATTAGCTTGGAGGAGCATGTAATAACTCCAAAATGCAATGGGTAGTTAATTTTAAAGTGTGCCTTTAACATTTATGTAAAATGTTTTTGTATTCGTTTAATAGAAACTTTTATTTTTTAAAATTTATTTTTTATTTCAGAGAGGAAGGGAGAGGGGGGGAGAGAAACATCAATGTTGAGAGAGAGTCATGGATCGGCTGCCTCTTGCATGTCCCACACTGCGGATCGAGCCAGCAGCCTGGGCCTGTGCCCTGACTGGGAATCAAACTGTGACCTCCTGGGTCAACATTTGACCACTGAACTGCCCAACTGGGCCAATTTGTATTCCTTAACCCGCTTTCCCTTTTTCTTTTTAAAAATTATTCTATGTAAAAAGAAAAATGCGGATGTCCGCCAGGGCACATAGAAGGCTTGTTTGTGTTTGAGTCCGAGAATGGTCTCCTGTGCGTCCCCTCTGAGGCGCCCGCTCGTCGGTGGTTGAACGTTAAGTAGCCGGTTCCGTGGGGACGAGAGCGGCAGCATTGCAGTGACGGGAGGTGATCCAAGCAGCCGAGGGCTTGCCCGCGGCCGCGCCCCAGCTGCCTTGGCCTTGGCCTGTGGCCTGTGAGGCTGCTGCGCACAGCGTGTGGGTGTGGCCTGGCCAAAGTGGTCTCTGCACGGAGGCTGTGAGTCACAGTTAACCGCCTGTGACCTGTGCGGCCACACCCGGGGCCCCTGAGCCTTCCGCAGGGACAGCCCAGCCGCTGACCGAGGGGGACAGGCGGCTCTGGAGAGGAGGTGGTGAGTCCTGCTCCCGTTTCACAAAGCCTGCCTTCGGTGGCCGCGAGGAGCAGTGACGGCGGCTCCAGCCTCCGCCTCCATCGTCCTCTGCCAGGCCCAGGGCCTCCTGTCGGCGAGGAGCCACGCAGTTCTCGTACCCGAGCTGCCTGCCCGGTCCCTCCGGTCCGCTGTGGGGGCACCTGTGGCCGGGGTGACGTGGTCACCTCCTCTCAGGCACCCCTTTCCCTCCCGCCCTCCTCCGATTCTCCACCACAGCCCTGCCCCGAGGGTCCCCTCACAGGCTGGCGTCGTGTATGTTTTCTGCTTCGACACACCTGTCGTTGCTGGGCTGTCTCTGTCTGAGTCTCGGTGTGGTGCTGCGTGTCTCTGGAACCTGTCCTCCCGACGGGCCGGCCTCGCCGTGGCTGGCGGCCGGCGTGTTGGTGAGTCAGTGACGAGCCCCCTCCCTCCCCCCTTCTGTTTCAGTTTGGAGGAGAAGCTGGGGCCCGCAGCCCCAGGAGTTCCAGGACCAGAAGCCGTGGTCCCCCAGCAGGGACGGCCGGCAGGGCAGCAAGGCCAGCGACTCGGGGGAGGATGCTGAGAAGGAGTTCATCTTTGTGTGAAGGTCACGGCCCCAGACATCCGGGCAGGTGCCTGGCGGCCTCCTCGGCCTCGTCTCCGTGCTGCTTTCTCTGCTCTGTCCTTTCCATGGAACCAGAAGCAGACCCACTGCTTGGTGATCAGCACACGTGCTCCGGCTTCTCCCGGCGCAGGCGTTCTGCCTGTGCCTTCGCCGGTGCCAGCCGGTGCCGCGGCCTTACTTGAATTTCTCCGAGGCGGCTCTGCTGCCCTGTGGGAGGAGGTGGGGAGGGGCCCGGCCACTGGGCGCGCTCCCATGGGCACCGTCCGGGGCCGGGGGCCCTCCGCCCAGGCCTGTCAGACGGCCCCCGGCCCCCGGAGCGGCTTCCTCGCTGTAGCAGCTGCACTCGTAGTTAAGACGGCGCACTAACGAGCCCCCGAGTAGACGTATGTGCCGAGTCCGGATGGCGTGTCCATCCCCACACGGTCAGCGGCCTGGGCCCTCCCGGCAGGCGCGGTGGGGACTGGGCAGGGGCCGCGGCCGCCTCCCCACATGCTGGGTAGAGGTGCACAGTGGGCTGGAGTGAGGGTGTACGGATGTGTTCGTTTTTTAAAAATTTCTTTACTTTCTGTCTGCATATGAGCTTTGAATGTGTAATTTTAAGAGAGAATTTAAGAGACCGGCAAACAAATAAAAAAATACTACTCTTTCTACGACACGTCGCACATGGTCACTTCCCCGACACGCGGGAGGTGTTTTACGAAACGTATATTTATACCAATAAATGATCTTACCAGGGGCCGCACCGCTGCCGTTTGTTGCATTTGGCTGGTGATGACGAACATTGTGTTTGGGTCCAAAATCCAGGAGCATCCGTTCCCAGGCTCTCAATTCCGCGCCCACGGATCGTACCCGCCACCTGCCCTCACCCCAGGGAGGAGTCCTGGTCACACGTGGGATGCGAGTGTGAACCAGGATGTGACCCGAGGGGTTTGCCTGTTAAATGGAAGGGCGTTAGCGTGTGATCCCATGTTGGTGCCTGTGAACACCCCTGGAGGACGCACACCAGTGAGCCACTGTCCTCCGTTACCTCTGGGGGTGAGATTATGGGGAGGTGTTCCTTTTCTCATTTCCTGATCTACATGATTTAAGGGATCTTTTGTATCTTTACAAAAGAAACGATATATAAATATATGTTTTAAAAAAACGTTCACTCTAATTCCAGTAATTTTTTTTATGACAAATACTGTCCAATTTCTTTTCGTCTACTTCCTCCGGCCTTGGGAACCGGGCCGTGAGGGGTCCCAGATAGCTGTTGGGGGGTGATGCCAGAGGAAGCCTTGTGTGCAGCCCCAGCTGGAAACACCTTTCTGACTTTGTACAAAGTTGCAGACATCCTAGTGGGTTTTTCTTTTTCTTTTTTGGTTCTCTGAGTTTTTTCAACCTTCCCTTCTAACAGAACCGCCCCTCAGCTCCCCCTGATCTGCTGTGGGCTCCTTCCGGTGTCCTTTATCTGTGCTGCCGTTCTTCCTGTTTCCTGCAGTCACCACACCTTCGCTGTTGGCCGTCTTTACCATCGTTACTCTGAACTCCGATAAGTTTCTCATCTCTGCTTCGCTTACCCCCTCTCCCGGAGAATTCTCTTGCTCTCAGTGGGGGTTGGAGCTGCTGGGCAGCGGCTGCACTGTCACCCAGGGAAGCTTTAAAACCCTCCGCGCCTCGGCCTCGCTCCAGCCACGCCCGCAGGGTCTCAGTGGAGGGAGCCACGAGAACCACAGGCAGCCTCGGGCTGACTTCAGCTGCGTGGTGTTGGCTGTGCTCCGAGTTTCCTGGTTACTCACCCCCCTTCCCCCTGCCCAGCCCCAGCACCCCATTCCCAGCGGGGAGAACCTCCCAGCCCCAAGGGGCTCCCGGCTCCTGCAGATCCTGCCTCTAAACGCCTGAATCAGGTCCACGGGGCCCTGACACTGTCACCTCCTCCAGCCCTTTCACTGGGGAGCTCCCTCTGGAAAACCACCTGAGCCAGAATGTCAGGGTTCGATTCCCGGGCAGGGCACAGGCCCGGGTTGCAGGCTCGATCCCCAGTGGGGGGCGTGCAGGAGGCCGCCGATCCATGATTCTCTCACCATTGATGCTTCTCTCTCCCCCTCTCCCTTCCTCTCCGAAATCAATAAAATTATATTAAAAACAAACAAAAAAAACAACCCATGAGACAAGTTTGGAAGTGAGTCCAATGGAAGGGGGTGTTTTCTGTGCGTGTGAGAAGTTTAAGGGTGAAGGCGGGGACCATGGAGAGTGCCAGCCCCAGCACCCAGGGCTCCCAGTGGGTGGGAGGGGGCCGGGAAGGGGTCAGGGAGGGGGGAGAGGACCTGGAAGGCTGGGCCTCAGATGGGCAGGCTCCAGGCAGCTGTCCCCTGGCAGGGGCGGGGCTTGGGGGCCGCTGAGCGACACCAGGGTGACAGCCCCTCGCCAGCTGCAGACTCAAGCCTCAGAGAAGGTCCGAGAGGGCAGGAGCTGGTGCGGGGGGAGAGCAGAAGCCGGTGCGGGGGGGGAAGGCAGGAGCTGGTGCTGGGGGAGGCCGGAGCCAGCAGGGATGGCAGGAGCTGGTGTGGGGGGAGAGCAGAAGCCGGTGCGGGGGGGGAAGGCAGGAGCTGGTGTGGGGGGAGGCCGGAGCCAGCAGGGATGGCAGGAGCTGGTGTGGGGGGAGAGCAGAAGCCGGTGCGGGGGGGGGAAGGCAGGAGCTGGTGTGGGGGGAGGCCGGAGCCAGCAGGGATGGCAGGAGCTGGTGTGGGGGGAGAGCAGAAGCCGGTGCGGGGGGGGAAGGCAGGAGCTGGTGCTGGGGGAGGGCAGAAGCCGGTGCGGGGGGGAAGGCAGGAGCTGGTGCTGGGGGAGGGCAGAAGCTGGTGCGGGGGGGAAGGCAGGAGCTGGTGCTGGGGGAGAGCAGAAGCCGGTGCGGGGGGGAAGGCAGGAGCTGGTGCTGGGGGAGGCCGGAGCCAGCAGGGATGGCAGGAGCTGGTGCGGGGGGGAAGGCAGGAGCTGGTGGGGGAGAGCAGAAGCCGGTGCGGGGGGGAAGGCAGGAGCTGGTGCTGGGGGGAGGGCAGAAGCTGGTGCGGGGGGGAAGGCAGGAGCTGGTGCTGGGGGAGGGCAGAAGCTGGTGCGGGGGGGAAGGCAGGAGCTGGTGCTGGGGGAGGCCGGAGCCAGCAGGGATGGCAGGAGCTGGTGCGGGGGGAGGGCAGGAGCCAGCGGGTGAGGGCTGGAGCCAGGAGTCAGTCGGACCCAGGTTCCAGCCACTCCCCGGTTGCGCTCGCTGTCAGCACCATGGACAGCGCGCGGGCCCCTGTGGCTGGGACGCTGTGGGCTTCCTGAGGGTCTGGCAGCCTCTGGCCCCCAAGGTGAGTGGCACCCGGGCCCACCCTGGTCTCTCCCGCGGAGAAAGGAAAGGTGTCTCCCAGAGTCAGCGTCACCGCAGGGCCCGCCCCGGCCACCTGGGGGTGCCAGAGAGTTCGGGGGCGGGAGGGGGGCTTATCCCCACTTTCCAATGTGTGTGTGTGTGTGTGTGAGAGAGAGAGAGAGAGAGGGAGAGAGAGAGAGAGAGGAGAGAGAGAGAGAGAGAGAGAGAGAGAGAGAGAGAGAGAGAGAGAGGGAGGGAGGCCATGTGTCTGTACGTCACAAACGTCATGCATATTGAGGCTGGGGCAATGGCCTCCCTAAATGGGCTCAGTGTTGCCGAGGGACTTGCTGTGGAGGCCCCTCAGAGCGAGGAGGAACTGGACTGACTTTCACAGACACCGCCCCCTCCCCCAGACCAGCAGGGCGGCCCGGGCTCCCCGATATCTGCTTTGTCCGTCAATAATGACCGGCGGCAGCCATCGCCGTGGTCTGAGCCTGCACACCCTGACCCCCTGGTTCCCAGGTCGACGCTCAGCCCCGGAGCCACAGGGGCGGGCGGAGGCGGCTCTGTAAGCTCTGCCCTGCGGACAGTTCTCTGGCCTTGAGGGCCCTGCTGAGGGAGGAGCGGCCCTCGGCCACCCTGTCGGGGTGAAGAGGGGCGTGGCCCCCGTGGGGGCCTCTCTGGACCGGGGGGGGGGGGGGGGGTCCCCCATACTTGTGAGCCGCAGGGAGGGGCCTCCAGGAGCTGCCAGGGTCTTGCCTGCGGACGGGCCGTTTCTGTCCTCAGCCCGGCACCCGCGGCGTCGACCCCGAGAAGTCCCGGAGAGCCTTCTGCGTCCCCGCGACGCCCACGGGGCCGGGAAGATCCAGAGGTTGGAGCCGGCTCTGGGTCCCCGGCTGAGAAGCAGCCCCTGACCCGCAGGCGGCTCTGCTGGGCGCCTGGTGTGCGTCTGGGTCTCTATGCTTTGCGGTCGGGGGCGCCTCGAGCAAACACGTACCGTATTTTCCAGCGTACAAGACGACCCCCTGATCTCAGGTAAAACACAGGTTTAGGCCGATATTCGCTGTATAAGACCACCCCCCACCTCCGAGGCAACACCAGTTTTTTTTTTTGTTTTTTTTTTAATAGACCGCCTCTCTGACTCTGGCTGATCTGAGCAGGCGTTTTGATAATACTAGAACACAGTGTAGCTTCGGGTACAGAACATGTACACTGTGTTCTAGTAAAACGCCTGCTCAGATTGGCCAGCGTCAGAGAGGCGGCCTATTAAAAAAAAAACAAAAACTGGTGTTGCCTCGGAGGTGGGGGGTGGTCTTATACAGCGAATATCGGCCTAAACCTGTGTTTTACCTGTGAGATCAGGGGGTCGTCTTATACGCTGGAAAATACAGTAGCAGACGGTGTGGGATTTGCCATGAAAGATGGGGGTCCCTATCAAAGCCCCTCCCCCTGCAGGCTCCGTGTCCCCTTCCCTTTGACCTCAGGCTCTCCTCACCCCAAACCTCCATGAACCCTCCCATTCCCCTCCTCTCCCCCCGTCTGCAGTGATGGGGCGGGCAGTGTCCCCACCCTGTGCTCTGTGCCCTCCCAGGACCTTCTGCCTCGTCTGCCCACCGTACCCGCTGTGCCCGCTGTGCTGTCTGCAACGCGACTCTGACCTGGAAATAAACCTGCAGCCGCAAAGGGACATGCGCTGCTGACTGTGTGTGTGCTGTGACCCTGGCCGTGTCTGTCTGATGGTTTGACAGCCCACAGCTCCTCTAACTCAGGGGGAGGGGAGGGCGGGGGCAAGACCCAGGTGGGAACAGCCCAGCCGTCCTTCCTGTCCTCCGGGGCCCTGAGTGTGGCTCCAGGAGGGACTTCAGCCCCGGCCGGCCTGGCTCAGGGGTTGAGTGTCGACCTAGGAACCAGGAGGTCAGGGTTCGATTCCAGGTCAGGGCACAGGCCTGGGTTGTGGACTCCATTCCCATTGGGGGGCGTGCAGGAGGCAGCTGACCCATGATTCCCTCTCATTATAGATATTTCTACCTTTCCCTCTTCCTTCCTCTCTGAAATCAGTAAATGTATATATATATTTAAAAAGAGGGACTTGATTCAGGTCGACTCTTCACAAGACCAGGAGACGCACCCCGGCCCCTGCCCGCAACATCCCGCCCCGAGTAAGCGGGTTCCTGTGTCCTGCCACCTCCCGAGCTGTGCGATTTTCCTTCTCTACACGCCATGCAAGGTCGGAATAAAGCTCGTCAGGACCTTTTGGGGAGATTGTGTATAAACAACCTCACAAGGACAGCAGTCTGAGTGGATTCGGGGCCAGCGAGGAACGTCACTCTCTCTCCCACCCTCTCCTTTCTCCTTGGTCCTCGGACTGGCCTGGAGCTGCATGCTTGGCTTGTCCACAACTGCAGTTCCTCTGCTCTTCCCGAATAAACTCATTAGCTGTGCAATAACTTAAAAATGTTTTTTTTTTGTCTTGTTTTTTTTTTTTGTAGGGAAGGAGGGAGAGGGAGAGAGAAACATCCACTGGCTGCCTCCTGCACACCCCCTTCTGGGCAACCAGGGCATGTGTGTTCTTACCAGAATCGAACCAGTGACCGCTGGGTGCCTGGGACAAGGGTGCTCAACCCACTGAGCTACGCCAGACAGAGCCGGTTTACCTTTCAGGTTTGAACCTGTTAACCGTGACCATCGGGCGGAGGTGGTGCCTTCCAGATTTCTCTATTGTGAAGTCACGCCCTCCTCCCTGTCCACACTCTGTGCTTCAGCGAGTCTGGGAGTTAAGCTACCCTTGCTTGGTGGGGAGCATAGGTGACATTTTTGAAATTCTTGTTTAGGAAAATTTTCACATCCCCATTCAGTCATTTATATCATTATTCTGGTTTTAAAATGTTGCATGTTAAACTTATTGGCAATGTTCTAAACATCTGATTTGTCCCAGTATCTGAGCAAGTTTTGTCTTAAAAAATTTTCCTTCCTTTTGTGCCCCCCCCCAATTGTGTGCCTTAGTACTTATGTACATTAATTCAAGAGATAATTTCATACTTGATTGCCCCTCGTTAATGTATTATAGTTTCTCTTTAAATTCATAGGACTTTAAACGATTCTTCACACCTGCTTCTATACATGTCTATGTAAAACTTAAATGTCCAGCAAATTTTTTTTAGATACCAATTAGATTGTTTTTCTTGGAGATAAGCGAAACTTGGATGCTGTAATTTTGAATTCGATATCCTAAGTGTTCATTTACTTTCCAAATTGACTTGGTATTTGCAGTGGAAACAAACTAAAAATGTCTCTTTGTAAACTTCTGGAAAGGACCAAAATTCCCTAATTTCAAAAAGTTATGGTGGAAGAACTTGCCCCATTCCAATCTCTAAGAATGACACTAGATCCCATCACATATGGCATCAAGCTCATTTTCGAGATACATTTTAAGAAAAGTCCACTTACTAAGCACGTGAAGTCAGTTATCAAATTCACGACCCTTTACCAGGTGGTAAGACTGGTTTGCTAACGCCTGGCTTACGCTGCCTGGGGATCCCGGAGAACTAGCAGCCGGCTTGGAGGGAAGCCCTTTCTAGGAGCTCCTTTTGCGGAAATCACGCAGCTTGCTGGATCCTTGGCCTGGAAGCCACAGAGCCACGTCAGAGCGCGGAGGCCTGCTCCTTCTCCCTAGGGCTCCGTGTCTAAGCTTGCGGCTACCCTAAGAGCAAACCCCAAAGGCCCTCTAGGACCGGAACCTGCTTCCCAGGCCGGGCTTTAAAGAGCCGGTTGCCGGAACTAGAGGTGGCCCCTGGAGCGCTAGGCTTTCCCAAGGAGCTCGCCAGAGAAGACAGCAGCCAGCTTTCCACGCTGTGTACAGCCTTTACTGAGGACCTGCGTGGCTCTGAAAAGAGCCTTTGGTTTCTTTCTCTGGATGTTCAGGTTCCTCACTTGCCCTTGGCCTTGTGGTGGCTCTCGGTCTTCTTGGGCAGCAGCACGGCCTGGATGTTGGGCAGCACGCCGCCCTGCGCGATGGTCACACCGCCCAGTAGCCTGTTGAGTTCCTCGTCGTTGCGGATGGCCAGCTGCAGGTGCCGCGGGATGATGCGCGTCTTCTTGTTGTCGCGGGACGCGTTTCCCGCCAACTCTAAGATCTCCGCCGTCAGGTACTCCAGCACGGCCGCCAGGTACACGGGCGCGCCCGCCCCAATGCGCTCCGCATAGTTGCCCTTGCGGAGTAGCCGGTGGATGCGGCCCACGGGGAACTGCAGCTGGGCTCTAACGGAGCGAGATTTGGCCTTGGCACGGGCCTTGCCACCCTGCTTGCCCCGCCCAGACATAACTTAAGATGGCAGCAGCAACAACTAGAAATCTAAAACACGCCACAGAGGGCCTATTTATAGTCTGCTGTAGATTGTGACTTGCCATCTGATTGGCTGACTGGCGGGTGACTATCCAATCAGAGAGCATTACTGAAATCACTTCATTTGCATACACGTCACTACCATTATCCAATCAGATGGCGGCTGCCCAGCGGTCAGTTGAAGGCCACCCTATAAATACCAGGCTTTTGGTCACCCCCCGCTGTTCCCTGACCCGTGTCAGTGGCAGTTGTGGGGCTGAGCACGCACCATGCCGGAGCTGGCGTCGAAGGGCGCCGCCATTTCCAAGAAGGGCTTTAAGAAAGCCGTTACCAAGACTCAGAAGAAAGAGGGCAAGAAGCGTAAGCGCAGCCGCAAGGAGAGCTACTCGGTGTACGTGTACAAGGTGCTCAAGCAGGTGCACCCCGACACCGGCATCTCGTCCAAGGCCATGAGCATCATGAACTCATTTGTGAATGACATTTTCGAGCGCCTCGCTGCTGAGGCGTCGCGCCTGGCGCACTACAACAAGCGCTCCACCATAACCTCTCGCGAGATCCAGACGGCCGTGCGCCTGCTGCTGCCCGGCGAGCTGGCCAAGCACGCCGTGTCCGAGGGCACCAAGGCCGTCACCAAGTACACCAGCTCCAAGTGAAGGATTGGGCCTCTCTCGGTGGCCTTTTAACCCAAAGGCTCTTTTAAGAGCCACCTCCAACTCTTTAGAAAAGGGCTGTAAGGTTACGTTGTGCACCGCACACTCATGGCTAGTAATCCCAATGGCCCCGAGGGCACTTAATACAATTTGTCAATGACCAACACAGCTCTTTCCAGGAAACGTAGGTGGCTCTTAAAAGAGCCTTTGTGTTTAATCCTTCCTACTTGTTTACTTGGAGCTGGTGTACTTGGTGACGGCCTTGGTGCCCTCGGACACGGCGTGCTTGGCCAGCTCGCCGGGCAGCAGCAGGCGCACAGCCGTTTGGATCTCGCGAGAGGTTATGGTGGAGCGCTTGTTGTAGTGCGCCAGGCGCGACGCCTCGCCCGCGATGCGTTCAAAAATGTCGTTCACGAACGAGTTCATGATGCTCATGGCCTTGGACGAGATGCCGGTGTCGGGGTGCACCTGCTTGAGCACCTTGTAGATGTAAATCGAGTAGCTCTCCTTGCGGCTGCGCTTGCGCTTCTTGCCCTCTTTCTTCTGAGTCTTGGTAACGGCTTTCTTAAAGCCCTTCTTGGAAATGGCGGCGCCCTTCGACGCCAGCTCCGGCATGGTGCGTGCTCAGCCCCACAACTGCCACTGACACGGGTCAGGGAACAGCGGGTGGTGGCCAAAAGCCTGGTATTTATAGGGTGGCCTTCAACTGACCGCTGGGCAGCCGCCATCTGATTGGATAATGGCAGTGACGTGTATGCAAATGAAGTGATTTCAGTAATGCTCTCTGATTGGATAGTCACCCGCCAGTCAGCCAATCAGATGGCAAGTCACAACCTACTGGTGGACTATAAATTGGCCCTGCATTTGCCCTGAGGGTATCTTCTCCTCGCAGGACATATTCGGCACCATGTCTGTGACGGCCAAGCAGGATGGGAAGTCTCGCGCCAAGACCGTATCTCGCTCTTTCAGGGCTCAGCTACGGTTCCCCGTGGGACGCGTGCATCGCCTGTTGCATAAGGGCAACTACGCGGAGCGGATCGGCGCCGGGGCGCCCGTGTACCTGGCGGCCGTGCTGGAGTACCTGGCGGCCGAGATCCTGGAGCTGGCGGGCAACGCGGCCCGCCACAACAGGAAGTCACGCATCGCGCCGCGCCACCTGCAGCTGGCCATCCGCAACGACGAGGAGCTCAACAAGCTGCTGGGCAAGGTGACCATCGCGCAGGGCGGCGTGCTGCCCAACATCCAGGCCGTGCTGCTGCCCAAGAAGACCGAGAGCCACCACAAGGCCAAGGCCAAGGGCAAGTGAGGAGCAAAAAGCAACGTTCAAAACCAAAGGCTCTTTTCAGGGCCACCCAAGTGTCAGAAGGAGCTTAAGCAAAACGGTGACTGACAAGCCCTGGCCGGCCCAGACGGAAAGGTCTCGGGTTTGGTTTGGTTCCGGGTCAAGGGCACGTGCCCGAGGTGCGGGCTCCATCCCCGGTGGGGAGGGAGGCGGGTGTATGTGCAGGGGCAGCCGATCAATGGTTCTCATCATTGACGTTTGTCTCCCTTTTCCTTCCGCTGTGAAGCCAATAAAAAATGTTTTAAAAAGTAACGGGCTGGAGTTTAATTGGCCACAACTAACCCAACAGGACACTGGACTAGTCTAGGTGGGATGACGGGCTCTGAAGCCGCTCAGACTAGTCGCAGAACGTGTGACGGCTGCAGCCCCTGGCCTCGGGGCTGCTCGTTAACCAGACGGCAGTCCCGGCGGCGGCAGTGCGGTTCCCACGGGGAGCGGCCTGACCCGAGGCGCCCCGTCAGCGGGGAGAGCGTCTGTCCGATAAGAGGGGACCTTGATCTCCTGGGCGTGAGGCAGGAGGGAGATTCCATGAGCTTGGTCACCTTGTTAATTACACGAATGCAGCAAAGTCAAACATTAAACCTCAGAGCCAGTCAAATCTGCCCATTTTGTCCCCCAAGGGCTAAAGGTTTGGGGTAATCATTTACTTCTGGGGAGCCAGAGAGGTGAGGAGCGGAGAGACACCGTTTGCGGACGGAGGACCCTGCGCTCCGCCGCCCTCAGGTCAGCCCTGTCTTCTGCCCTCGGTGCTCGGCCTCTGCGTCCGGCTGGGCCTTCCAGCGAGCAGCTCAGCTTGGCCAGGGCCGCAGGTTGTGGGTGGGGAGTGGAGCTCGTCTCTCCTGAGATAATTCCGAAAAGTGAGAGCGGAGCTGGCCTTTTCCTGAGGAGCAAGAGCCCCAGGACTCCAGGGGACCCCCTGCCAGGACCCCCTCCGGTCATTTTCGCAGGGACCGCCCCACGGGAACTGTCAGCCCCCAGTAACCCCTCTGACAGCCAGCAGCCCCCGGCCGGCGCCCCGGAAAAGCTAGCTCGCGCCTCCAACTCCGTGACCCTGGGGGGCCCGTCTCCGGGGCAAAGTGTTGAAGAGCGCTGTGTCTTCCATTGGACTCAGGACACCTAGACACCGAAAACAGTGTTTCGGGTCATTAATCCGTTGGAATCTTCTGGGTGAGTTTTCGCAGGAGATTGGTGGCTCAGTGGGCTGGGCTGTCCCGTGCACACAGAGGCCTCGGGTTCAATGCTGGGCCAGGACACAAGCCTGTGTGAGGGCTCCATGCCCGGTAGGGGGCCTGAGGAGGCAGTGACTGATGTTTCTCTGCCTCCCTCTCTATCTCCAAAATCAATAAACACATAAAAAAAAAAATAAGATTAAGTTTTAACATCCAGCGCTTACTGATATCAATTAGAGACAAGGAGACCCCGAATGAGAAGAACATTACAACCTTCAGGCACCCCAGGCCAGGTCCCTCGTTTCAGAGACGCGAAACTGGGGCCCAGGCCTTGACCTTCCCAGGCACACCAGGTCTGCTAAGCCCCAACCTGGCGTTGCCCCACCAAACATTTCCTCTAAGTTCCCAGGGGAACCCTGCAGGGTCCTGTACCCTGTAGGATGCTGCTCTTCATCTTTGCTCGCGTGTCCTTTAATTCCCGCAGGTGAAGCCCAGCCCCCGGGAGAGCAGGGACGCCATGTCCGCTGGAGCGGAAGCCACCGTCAGCGCCGGGGACGCGGCCCCAGCACCAGCCTCCAGCAAAGGTGAGGTGGGGGCGGGGGGGGGGGCGCCCATTGTGGGTAAAACCGGGGCCCGGTGACCGCGGCTCCTTTCTGGGCGTCTGCAGCATCTCCTCGCTCCCGCCAAGTGCCAGGAGTTTCATAAACGACAAAGGATGTTTACTGAGAATTATTTCGTGTCGTGCAACAAACTGGGAGGGCATAAAGCAGGTGTCCCGGCGTCATTTGTCGCCGAGGCAGGAAGTCAGAGCGGATGCCAAACAGAGGATGTGGAACCCACCCTCGGCGGCGCTGAGCCTACGTCCAGGAGGCATGGCAGCGGGTCTGCTCCGTTCGCTCCAGGCCTGCCTCGGCGTGACCGCAGGCGGGCCCTCCCCTCCCCGATGGTCCTGGTTCTGAGGGGGTGTGACCCCCGCCCCTCCCGGGGGACACAGCAACGTCTGCTCACAGGCCGCCTGCAATTGCCCCCCCTCCAGACGGAGGAAAGGGGGTGCAGAGAGAAACGGCCCTGTGACAGGCCCTCTGTGCCCTCTCGTCGCAGGCGTGTGCTCGGTCCGGCACGGGCTCGCCCTCCTCCTGCACCTCTGTAACTTTGCGATTTCCACCCAACAAATGAACCTGAGCATCGCCCTCCCGGCGATGGTGAACGGCACGGCCCCGGCCGGCGCGCCCAACGCCTCTTCCGCTGTCGCCCTGGACGACGGGAACGGCACTCTGATGGAACCGAAGGTGCTGGTATGCTTAACGAGACGCGACCCTTTCTGTGGTCTCAATGGCCTGATCTAAAGGGTTCATCATTGAGTCCGGCCGGTGTGGCTCAGTGGTTGAGCATCGACCTATGAACTTAAGAGGCCAAGGTTTGATTCCTGGTCAGGGCACATGCCTGGGTTGTGGGCTGGATCCCCAGTAGGGGGCGTGCAGGAGGCGGCCGATCCATGATTCTCTCTCAACAAGGATGTTTCTATCTCTCTCCCTCTCCCTCCCTCTCTGAAGTCAATAAATATATTTAAAGAGATATTCATCTCTCTCTCGCCAAAGGATCAACAGCAGGGTTCTTGTCCCCCAGGCGCCCGTGTATGCCTGGAGCCCTGAGATCCAGGGCGTCCTCCTCAGCTCCCTCAGCTACGGCTCCTTCGTGGCCTCGGTCCCCAGTGGCTATGTGGCCGGGCGAGTCCGACCCAGGCTCCTGATCGGTGCCTCCCTGCTGGCCTTCTCCGCCCTGAGCCTCCTCATCCCGCTGGCGGCAGGGGCCGGCGTGGCCCTGCTCATCCTGCTCCGGATCGTCCAGGGCGTGGCCCAGGTACCACGAGGCCGTGAGTCTGAGTGGAACACGGGTTCTAGAATGTCTCAGAAGCCCTGGCTGGTTTGGCTGGGTGGGTAGAGCGTCGACCTGCGGACTGAAGGGTGTCGGGTTCGAGTTCAGCCAAGGGCACATGCCCCGGGTTGTGGGCTCGATCCCCAGTAGGGGGCGTGCAGGAGGCAGCGAATTGATGATTCTCTCTCATCATTGATGTTTCTATTGCTCTCCCTTCCTCTCTGAAATCAATAAAAATATATTTAAAAAGTAAAATGTTCCAGATGACTAAGCGTGGATCGTTCCCCCGCCCCCGCAGGCGATGGTACAGACAAGCCAGTATTTAATTTGGGTGAAATGGGCTCCCCCCCTGGAAATGAACCAGCTCATCGCCATCTCCATCTCAGGTAGGTGAGGCCTCGGGGTCACCGCCCTGCACTGACCCGAGCCCCAGGACCGGCGCCATGCCTCCTCCCACCTCCCCCGTGTCCTTGCTTCTAAGAGCACGGCCCCACTCTTCTTCTTTCTTAAAAAAAAAAAAATAGTTATTGATGTCACAGAGGGAGGGAGAGGGAGAGAGAAACATCAGTGATGAGAGAGAATCATGGATCGGCTGCCTCCTGCACGCCCCGCACTGGGGATCCAGCCCACAAGCCGGGAATGGAACTGTGACTCCTGGTCCCCAGGCCGACACTCAACCCACACCGGCGAGTGCTCTGCACTTGTTAATTTATCTTCAAGCGCGTTATTTTCATTTTGCAAATGAGGCCAGTGGAGGCAGAAACAGACCAGGGTCACGTGGCTACTGAGGGGAGAGGCAGGAGGTGGGCCTCAGGGCGTCCACCCCTGGGCCTCTCGGCTCTGGGACCAGCTCAGTCTGCAGGAGGCATGCGGAGTCCGAGCCCGACCCCTCACCCCGAACATCCCCACCGCCGCTTGCGTTTAGGGCTCATGCTGGGCTCCCTGACGGTCCTCCTCGTCGGTGGCTTCCTCTGCGAGACCCTGGGGTGGCCGTACGTCTTCTACATCTTCGGTGAGTCTGTGCGTTTCTCCTGTGAGCCAGGAGTTTGCTTTCTGACGGCGAGGGCTGGGCGGGGCGGGTGTCCGTGACACTAGTCCCCGTGGTTACCCGAGCCCTCACAGACGTGGTGTTTACAATGACAGGGCCGTGCTCAGGGCTAGCTGTGCTGTGACTTTGCAGGAGGACGCAGGAGGCTGAGCTGGGACGCCTGGGGACACCCCCTCCTGTTTCTGGGGGGGGGGGGCGCGCCAAGGGTGCCAGAGCAGTTTCTTCTGTGAGATATGGAAAACGTCGTCTTGGTGCAATTACGTTTTTATTTTTAGAAGATACATTTTTATTGATTTCAGAGAGGAAGTGAGAGGGAGAGAGAGAGAGAAACATCAGCGATGAGAGAGCCCAGCTGGTGTGGCTCAGTGGTTGAGCATCGGCCGTGCACCAGGAGGTCGCTAGTTCCATTCCAACCAGGGCCGTGGCTGGATCCGCCATAAGAGGAGTGTAGGAGGCAGCACATCGATGTTTCGTTCTCATTGATGTTTCTATCCCTTTCTTCCTTTAAAATCAATAAAAACATAAAAAAAAAATGAGAAACACACACACACACACACAAAATGAGGAGAGAGAAACATCAGTGGCCTCCTGCACGTCCCCTACTGGGGATCAAGCCTACGACCTGGCAGGTGCCCTTGGCCCGGAATGAATGGAACCGCCGACCTCTTGGTGCACAAGGGCCAACCCGCTGAGCCCCACCGGCCAGGCCCGGAGGAAAGAATCTTGGCAGCAGCCTGACTAGCAGGGGGATGCTGACTGGCAGCTCAACCGTGAGGGCGTCTCAAGTTCACGGGCAAAGGCACTGGGCTCGGAACGGCCCCACGCCATTGGCAGCAGCAAGCAAGACGGCCCGGGCAGGGTCCAGGGGTGGGAAGTGGCCTCCACGGAAGATGGGGTCCTCCTCGGCCCCCCCCCCCCTTCCCCGATGTGCAGTCCTGGGACCTGGCAGGAGTGCTGGGCAGAGTCCAGCGGAGAGCACAGGGCCCGCCCACCGTCCTCTTCCAGGTGGGATCGGCCTCGCCTGTTCCTGCCTCTGGTTCCCGCTCGCCCACGACGACCCCGCGGCCCACCCGCTCATCAGCGCCGCGGAGCGGGACTACATCGCCCGCTCGCTGGCTCAGCAGGTGCCGCGGCCGCGCCCCTGCCCCTCCCCGGGCCTGGGCGGCGTCTCCCCCCGGAGGGACCGTGCCTCCCGATTGATCCTGCTTTCTTTCAGGACTGCGAGCCAGACCAGTCCCTCCCCATCACGGCCATGGTCAGGTCCCTGCCCCTCTGGAGCGTCCTGCTGTCCCAGTTCACCGAGCACTGGTTTTTCCACGTCCTGATGGCGTACCTGCCCACCTACCTCCACTCCGTCCTCCGCGTGGACCTCCAGGCTGTGAGTGCACAGAGCGCATGCGCCTCTCCTGCCGCCGCCTCGTCACGTGACCCTTGGTCTGCCCCGAGGTCACCAGGCACGTGACCCGAGGTCTGCCCCGAGGTCACCAGGCCAGGGGCGGCCTGGGCCTTCCGGGAGGAGATGTGACGTCACGCTTGAATCGTTCTGAATCATCTGAAGGGGGGTCTCCTGCTTTTTTTTGGCGGGGGGGAGGAAGGAAGGCAGAACAGTATGGTTCTAGGTCAGCGTGACTTTCCAAAGATGCCATGTTTTTGGAAAAAAAATATTTTTATTGATTTTAGAGAGAAAGGGAAAGGGGGGGGGGGAGAGAGAAACAATGATGAGAGAGCATCATAGATCGCCTGCCTCCTGCACGCCCCACACTGGTGCCCTCGACTGAGCCACGCCGGCCTGGCAGGGTGTCACCTTTTGAAGGAATTTATGTCCAGTTGACATCGGCAAACAGGGCATCCTGCTGCCGGCAGAAAGGATGGAGCGCAATGAAGTGCGCCTTTCTCGAGGCTGTGACAGACTCACAGGCAACATGTGCTAAAAACAGGCCGTTATGAACGGGATTCATTCCACAAACTTAAACCCTTTTGTTCAAGTTGGTTGGGTATGGAGACAGAGGCCCAGAGGCGCCAGGGCGCCATCTTCCCACAATGCACCGGGGCTCTGGCTGATGGAGCTTCTCAGGTCCCAGCAGGGAGGGGGTCGTAAACCAAATGGGTGTCGTAAGCCAGGTGGGTGTCGTAAACGTGGCAAAGAGCTCATCAGATGTCAGACTTGTTAGGGACAGCTCACAGGGTCACGGAGTTCTTGCTACATTCCCACTTTTTATTTTTTATTTTTTATTTTATTTTATATCCCCACCTTTTGTGCTCAAAAAGCCGTGGGCTCATGGAAACCGGGCTCCTCTGTTGGAAACCGGGCTCCGCTGTTGACAACATGCTAAGTGGCCAGCAGACAGCGACCTTAGCAGAGGTCAAGTCTGGACACACGTTCACACGGGGCGGGCAGCGGGTGCTGGGATCAGGAAACCCAAGTGTGGGGTGGCTGTGGGCCTTCCCTGAGGAGGAGGTGGAGTAGGGGGAGGAGAGGGAGAGGAAGAGGTGAGAAAGAAGGGGAGAGTGAGGACAGAAGCAGGTGACGGATCCAGATCCACAGGCCGGGGGATGAGAATGAGTGTGGGTCCCCACTCACAGAGGCCCGGTGAGGGGGAGGTGGCGACGGGAGAAAGACTCAGAGAGACTTGAGGCCCAAACCCAGGGCCCCATGGACCTCAGGGTGTGTTCTCGCGACACGTCACCGTGGTGGCCTTTGGTTGACTCGTCGGTAAAATAAATATCTTGGCCCACGTGCCTCTTAAATCCGTCCCATTGTTCTCCTTTTCCTTTAAAAAAATAATAATGTGTTTTTATTGATTTCAGAGCCGGAAAGAGAGGGGGGGGGAGAGAGAGAGAGAGAGAGAGGAGGGAAACTTCACCGATGAGAGGGAATCATGAATCGGCTGCCTCCTGCATGGCCCCTACTGGGGACATGTGCTCTGACTGGGAGTTGAACCTACAACCTTTTGGTGCCCAGAACGATGCACCAACTGATGAGCCCCCAGCTGGGGCTGGTTCTTTAAAAAAAAAAAAAAAAAAAAAAAAAAAAAAAAAAAGTATATATATATATATATATATATATATATATATATATATATATATATATTGTTTACAGAGAGGAAGGGAGAAGGATAGGGAGTTAAAACATTGATGAGAAACATGGATCAGCTTCCTCCTTTACACCTCCACCTGGAGATGTGCCTGAAACCAAGGTACATGCCCTTGACCGGAATTGAACCTGGGACCTTTCAGTCCACAGGCTGATGCTCTATCCACTGAGCCAAAGCAGTTAGGGCCGGGACTGGTTCTTAAAGCACCTGTTTGCAGGTGACTTTCTGTACGGAGAGAGCACTCATCCTTTCTTCAAACTAGACACACCTTTCCCTCAGAAATGACCTGGGCTCATTGCAGTGGTGCGGAGTGTGTGATAGAGGGCGATGGGCATCAAAGGAGAAGCCGCAGTGTGGACGGCACCCCGGGGACCAGCCGTGTCCTGCCAAGGGTGGGCGTGTACCGCACTGACTCCCCTCTGGTCCTCAGAGCGGCTTCCTGTCTGCTCTGCTGCTCGGCGTGGCCTTTATCAGCATCATCCTGGGGGGCCTGCTGGCAGATTGCCTCCTCTCCAGGAACGTGCTCTCGCTCCTTGTGGTCAGGCGGCTCTTCACCTCCGTAGGTAAGGACGCAGGTGGCCTGGGGGCGGGGCAGGGCGGGGCGGGGTGGGGTGGGGAGGGAGAGAAGGAAGTATGGGTAGACTCCCGGCCTCTCCGTCTGCCTCCTGCCAGGGGTGCTCTTCCCCAGCCTGTTCTCCGTGCTCCTGCCCTGGGTCAGTTTCAGCCTGGGCATCAGCATGGCCTTCTTGGCCCTGAGTCTGGCCACCAGCAGCCTCTGCCAATCTGGGGCCCTCGTCAACTTCATGGACATTGCTCCCAGGTAAGGACCCCTTGGCCTCCTCCTCCCCCACGGCAGCTCATCTCGGACCAGGGGCCCTGGACCTGGGTCATCAAGTGAGTGACACGTGGGATGGGGCTCTGGGAAGATCGACCCCAGCCCTGTGTCCAGATGCTGTCTGGAAAGAGCCATCGTTCCCCGCTGGGGGACACTGTGGTCACATGGCCTCGGGCCACGGGGCTTGCTCACGTGGGGTAGGATAAGGCTGAAGGGCATGGTGCACAAGGGGCCTCAGTCTCCGAGACAGCTGGGTATCAGAGAGCACGGAGACTCCTTTCATAGTCCACGGGACACACTCCAGCAGCCATGGACCAGCAGGACACGGGGAGACACGTCTCATCCTATGAGAGTCTTGTATCCCCCAACGCAAGGCTGCCAGGAGCCAAGAGGCGGTATAAACGAGGTCAGACACCACTTGTCTGTTTTGTATCAACAAGACTGACCGGTCAGCACAGGCTGCCCTCCGGGGTGTCGCAGGCCCCGCACAGGATGGCAACAGTCGCCAGCAGTATGTTTCCTTCAGGGTTGTGCTTTTAAAAAATATATTTTTATGGACCAAAGAGAGGAAGGGAGAGAGAGAGGTAGAAACATCAGTGATGAGAGAGAACCATGGATCAGCTGCCGCGTATATAGCCCCACTGGGAATGGAGCCTGAAATCTGGGCATATGCCCTGACAGAGAATCGAACCCTGACCTCCTGGTTCATAGATCGATGCTCAACCCCTGAGCCACGCAGGCCGGGCTGTTTCACACAGGTTTGACGAAGGGTCAACACAGCCCAGGCCACCCTCGAGCTGAGTGCAGGATGGCAGCAGGTCAACTGATTAACCTTTGTGGATGGTGTCTCTCTCTCTCTCTCTCTCTCTGCCCCCCCCCCCCCCCCCCCCCCCCCCCCCAGGTACACTGGCTTTATCAAGGGCTTATCCTTGGTCTTTGTTCAGCTCTCAGGAGTCATCGCTCCCACAGTTTCTGGATTTTTCCTCAGTCAGGTGAGGTCCAGCGTCCCCGTGAAAATATTTCCGAGCTGCACCTCCCGGCCGCCCGGAGTCAGACTCGGGGCATCAGTGTTTCCTCCGCGCCTCGGCCCAGCTGGGATCAGAGCCCCCAGCGCCCTCGGGGTTGGGTGGAGGGAGGAGAACGCTCCACTCCCTGCGTTGATGCTTCACGAGTTCCAAGAAGATGCACTTCCCAGCACATCATCAAACCCGGCAGCCATGCCGAGGACGTTCAGGGAGAGGGAGTCGCTCAGGAGGGAAGGGTTTCCCAGGATGCCGGGCTCTCAATCCTAACGCCTTAAAAGTTCCCAGCAACCGAGAAAGAGCCGGTCACCCCGCGTGGGAACGCAGCAAACAGGGACAGAATGAGGGAGCGAGAGGCTGAGCAGAGAACGCAGGGAGGAGCAGTGGCCTCGAGCAGCCTCCGTCCTGGGAGACGCGTTTACAGCCCCCAGGACAGACCGCCTGCCTTGCGGGCAGCAAGCTGACCCAGGGCAGCGGGATCCGGGGACAAAGGAGACGCAGGAGACATTGGCAGGCGTGGCATTCTTTTTAAAATATGTTTTTATTGACTTCAGAGAGGAAGGGAGAGGAAGAGAGAGAAGCATCCATGATGAGAGAGAATCATGGACTGGCTGCCTCCTGCATGCCCTGCACCGGGGATCCAGCCCTGACTGGGCATCGAACCCGAGCTCCTGGTTCATAGGTCGACACTCAAGCCTGAGCCACGCCGGCCGGGCCGCAGGCGCATCGTTTTTTCGGTTCGCTCTGATTTCCCACAAGGTCAGGAAAGTGAAGGCTAAGGAGGAAGGCGTGTCCTGTAGCTATCACGTCCTCTGTCACTGGAAGCTTCAGTTCCTTTCAGTCACTAACACTGGTCAGGAAGTGGCTGTGTAATGGACATTCTCACACTGACAGGGTCTCCCTGTCATTCACTCATTCACTCATTCATTCATTCATCCATCCATCCATCTCGCAAACATGCATCGTCCCTGGGCATGCACCGCACAAGGCACTGTGGAATGAAATGGAAGTGCCTGCCCCTCGGAAGCCTTTATTCTAGAATAGGAACCGATAGGAAATAAACACGAGGGCTGGATGTCCATTTTTAAATAGGGCGGTCGAGGAAGGACTCACTGAAAAATGATACTTAAGCCGAGGGCTGGAGGCAAGCAGGGGAGAGAGACAATGCTTTCGGGATCATGGGGTGTGGGTTGGGAGGACAGGTCTCTGCCGAGGGAAAGGCTGGCGTCCCTGCCAGGCTCAGCAGGCTCCCCGCAGTCCGGAGTTGAGCTGAGCTGGAGGGGGGAGGTGGCGGGGGAAGCTGGAGTCGCCGCCCCCTGGACAGGAGGGCCGCGAGCTCGGAGGCCGAGGTGACCGTGGCTTTGTCTCCAGGACGCGGAGCTGGGATGGAGGAACATCTTCCTGCTGTCCGCGGCCGTGGACGTCTCGGGCCTGGTCTTCTTCCTGGTCTTCAGCCGAGCGGAGGTGCAGGACTGGGCCAGGGCGCAGACCCTCACCCGCCTGTGAGCCCGCAACCCCGAGACCCTGTGACCCCGAGACCCCGCGACCCCGCGACCCCGCTGCCGCTTCTGAGCGGGTGTCTGCCCTCCCGGGCGTTGTCCTTTTGTGCTTTCGTTGAACTGACTCTGCTTCCGGTCTCTTCTCAGACCCTGAAGCCTCTGCCTGGAGGTCTTATTGGGGTTCGGGGAGCTGGAGGCGTCAGTGATCAAAGGGTGAGCTCCTGCAAGCATAGGTGTGTCTGCATTTCTCTCTAAGAAAATATATTTTTGTTGGTTTCGGAGAGGAAGGGAGAGGGAGATAGAAACATCAGTGATGAGAGGGAATCATTGATTGGCTGCCTCCTACACGCCCCACACGGGATCAAGCCTGCAACCTGGGCCTGTGCCCTGACCAGGAATCAAACCCAGGACCCTGCAGTCCGCAGGCCGATGCTCTACCCACTGAGCCAAAGCAGCTGGGCTGCGTTTGGATATCTATGCATTGCTCACCCCTCCCACGGTGATTGGGACATGATCATGCGGAGTTGGTCTCTGCCCCCTGGTACCCGGCCCAGGAACCCTAAAACCCTCGTCGCATGCTGAGTGGCGGGACAATGGGAGCCTCGTTTGCTGTCACACAAGCTGCTAAGACCCTTGGACTTTCTGGGGAGATGAGTGTCTTTGCGGTACAAAGTGAGGCTGCGGCTGGGGCCCCAGCGAGCCTCGGGGTGGGGGCCACTGCTGGGGCCGAGCCTTCAGGAGAGGAGAAGGGCTGGAGCCTGGGATGTTCACCCATGGCCGATGACTGAGCCCTCACGCCTGTGCAGTGGGAACTCCCAGGCGGGTGACTCCGCGGAGGTGTGGGGCGGGAGTGCGCCGGGGGAGGGCCCGGAGCCCCTGCGTGTGTCCCCATGCCCACCCTGTGTACCCTCCCGTGGCTGCCTCTGAGTTACATCCTTCGTAACGAGCGCTGCTGGTGAGCCATCCAGCAAATTGTCAGACTGAGGGGCGGGTCGTGGGGACCTCGGCACCGCCACGCCGGCCGGTGTCTGATGCCAGGGCGGTCTGGGGGGCCCGGCCCTGAACTGTGGGGGCCGGGGTGACCTCTGGGCGGTCGGCGTCCGAGAGGCACCGGGGGGCTCCCGCTGGTGTGTGCAGAGACTGCAGAGCCGCTCGGAGAGGGACCCCCATGCGCTGTGGACGCGGAAACCAGTCGCCCCCTGTGGTCCCGGTGAGAGCGTCGGGCCGGAGGACCCTGCCCACCCAGGCGGGAGAGGAAGCCAGGGCCGAGGGAGGGGGCGCCGAGAGCCCCCGAGAGATCGTGCCCAAACCCCCAGCAGACGGCGGGCGCAGCTGCCGCCAAAGAAACGCCCGGAGCAGCCAGAGCCACGGTCACGCCCAGAGTCAGGGCGGCCGCCCGCTCACACCCCGCCCGCCCCCCCCACTCACCCTCAGAGGCGGGTGAGCTTCTTCTCCTGGGCCCAGGCCTGCACGTCGGCCGCGGCGAAGACCAGGTAGAAGAGGAGGCTGCTCACGTTGACGGCCGCCATGAGGAAGAAGATGGTGGCCCAGGCGGCCTCCGGGGCCTGCGGGATGCAAGTGCAAAGGCAGACGCGTGGTCGGGCGCATGGCCGCGTCCGCAGCGTTTAAACGTGAACACGCAGGCGGGCTCCACGCAGGCCTCCTCACCACATGGGCGGAGGGAGGAGCCGGAGGTCAGCATCCCCCCGCTCCCCCCAGACAGACAGACAGACACCGGATCTGCCTCTCCTTCTCCGTTTGGCCGCAGCTCGTCGGAAGGCCTGACGTCAGTGTTCCATCTGTCACGGCCAGAGGTGACCTTGGTGTATTTTTGTGGATAAAATCTCACTTTTCGTGTTTGCAGTTTCGACCCTCTCTTTTCTGTCCGTGCACCTCAGCTGCGTTTCCGGTGCCTCTGAGCATCCGGTCCTGAGGGCCTGGCTCTGTGACACCCTCCCTCCCCCCCACCCTCCCCCGGACCCCGTGCTTCTCCGAGCGTCTGGTGGTGGATGATGAACACGGAGCGCCCCCCCCCACCCCCCCGACCGGGCTGTCCCGATCGCCCGGGCTGGCAGGATCCCCTTCTTACCTGATCGAGGACTATCCCCGCCAGCGTGGACGAGATGAGTCCCCCGGTCATTCCGATGAGAACCGTGACTCCCTTCAGAAACCCGTAATACCTGCACGGAAGGGAGGGACAGCACACTGGTGTGTTCTTAAAGCTTCAGCCTCAGCTGTTGGTTTTCTAAACTTCCCATTCTCCTCCTCAGATGCCACTGAAAAATCAGACAGAGGCCACCATGGCTCAGTGGCTTTGTGCCCTCTCCCTTCCTGTGCCCTCTCCCTTCCTCTCTGTAAAAAAGTCAATAAAATATATTTAAAAAAAAAAAATCCTGGGTACGATCCCAAACCGGCGTGAGCTCTTAGGCCGACAAGGAAGTGTCTGAACCCCGGCCTCGCGAGTGAGAAGATAAACATCCTCGCTTGCCGGGAGGGTTCAGGATGTAAGACGTGCGCACAGCAGCAGCAGTGATGGAGCAGCCAAGCCTCCCAGAGTCGGACGCTCGGCGAGCGGCCGAGAACTCCAGAACCGCCCCAATCTTAACACCCGAGAGCGGGGATGCAGCCGAGAAGGAGAGGGTGACCCCTACCTGGGGGCGATGTCCAGGGGGTTGATCACTATCCCGGCGACGCAGAAGCCCAGGGTGGCGCTGGCCAGCGTGAGGCATGTGACGGTGCCCTGGAAGCTGGGGCCCAGGTAGAGCAGGCTCACCACGAAGACGGCAGGCAGGAGGAGGCCTGGGCAGTCGGGCGACACGGTCAGGTGCTTCCTGGATGTGGGGGAGGGTCCCCCCCAAGAGCTGGACTGGCCTGGGCCGTCACTCACCCAGCGCGGTGAAGAGCTTTCGGACAGCGAGCACGCTGAGCATCTTTCTGGACAGGAAGCCGTCGGACACGTGCCCCGCGAGGATGCCCAGGAGCCAGCAGAACAGATGGGGGAGGGCGGACAGCAGCCCGTTCTGGGGAGGACAATCATGGTGAGAGCCCGCACCACGGAGGACTCGCCGCCCCCTGACCTCCAGGTCTGGGAGCGCCGCCCGGGGCCCATCGGCAGACGCGTGGATAGAAAGCTATGGTGCATTCTCACCAGGGAATACCGTGCAGCTGTGAAAGGAACAGCCTTTTGGAACAACCAAAAAAGGAGGCGGGAAGGTGGGTGGGAGGTGATCAACCAAGGACCTGTGTGCATCTGCGCATGGCCATGGACATGGACAAGGGGCGGTGAGGGCTTGGTGGTGGGGGGGACGGGCTGGAGGGGGTCTCCGGAGTAAAGGGGACATATGCAATATTTTTAACAATAAAGACTTATGAAAAGAAATTCAGTGTCTAAAATTGGCGCCGTCATCTGCGAAACCATCAGCACCCAGCCCCTGAGCTGTGCCGTGCTGGGGCCACACACCCCCGGGAACGAGGACAATCCTTTGGAGGTCGGAAGCCCTTGTCACCATCCGTCTATTTTTACTTTTATTTTTAGTGTCAGAGGACCTGAAACAACTGGGCAGGTGGTAAGAGGAAGACTACGCCGAGAGTGGGACATGCTGGCCCTGGGAACATGATGGTGATGGGAACCTTTGGAAACAGCCTGCCCAGCTGGTGTGGCTCAGTGGTTGAGCCTCGACCTATGAACCAGGAGGTCAGGGTTTGATTCTGGTCACTATTGATGTTTCTCTCTCTCTCCCTCTCCCTTCCTTTCTGAAGTCAATATCCTATCTAATAAAAGAGTAATATGCAAATTGGCTATCACTCCAACACACAAGATGGCTGCCCCCATGTGGACACAAGATAGCTGCCAAAAGATGGTCAGCAGGAGAGGGCAGTTGGGAGGGACCAGGCCTGCAAGGAAGGGCAGGTAGGGGCAATCAGGCTGGCAGGGGAGCAATTGGGCATCAATTAGGCTGGAAGGGAAGTGGTTAGGGGGTGAACAGGCTGGCAGGCAGAAGTGGTTAGGGGCGATCAGGAAGGCAGGCAGGTGAGCAGTTGGGAGCCAGCAGTCCTGGATTGTGAGAGGGATGTCCCAGATTAGAGAGCGTGCAGGCTGGGCTGAGGGACACACCCCACTGTGCAAGAATTTTGTGCACCAAGCCAATAGTATATTTGTATCTCTATCTCTATCTCTATCTCTATCTCTATCTATATCTATATCTATATCTATATCATCTATATCTATATCTATATTTATATCTATACCTATACCCATATCTATCTATATCTATATCTATACCCATATCTATATCTCTATCTCTATCTCTATCTCTATCTATATCTATATCCATATCCATATCCATATCTATATCTATATCTATATCATCTATATCTATATCTATATATCTATACCTATACCTATATCTATATCTATATCTATATCTATATCTATATCTATATCTATGTCCATGTCCATGTCCATGTCCATGTCCATGTCCATATCCATCTAAAGAAAAGAGAAGGAAGGGTACTGACCTCTCTCACGTTAACGTGGAGCTTGGAGCTGATGAATGTCGGCAAGTACAAAAACATGACATGATTTGTCCAGGAGAAAGCAAAGCAGCCGAGGGAAATGGCCCAGACCGGCAGAGACTTGAGCACGGCCCGGATGGGCACGGATTTTCCCGCGGAGCCGACCTGGGAAGAAGCCCATCGTCGTCGTCAGCACGTGGGGGCCAGCAGGGCACGCTCCGCTGGCTCGGGACCTGGAGGTAAGGCGTCGGCGTTTACCTGCTCGACGAGGGAGGACGCGATGAGCTCCTTCTCACCGGGGCTGATGCACGGGTGGCCCTTGGGGTCGTCGTGAAACAGCAGGAACCAGCAGAGGCTCAGGGCGCAGCCGCCGGCCCCTGTGGAGGCAGCGCCGTGAGAGCCAGGCTGCTTTTTCCGGTGGGTCTCTACTCACCTGGTCCTCGCCTTCTCTTCTAAGACTGCAACAGGCTCACACTGTTTTTAAACCCTCACCAGGGTAGATTTCCCGTCAATTTTTAGAGAGAGTGGTGTGTGTGTGTGTGTGTGAGAGAGAGATAGAGATAGAGAGAAATAGAGATAGAGATAGAGAGATAAAGATAAAGATAGAGAGAGAGAGAGAGACCTGCTGCTGGCGTGGCTCAGTGGTTGAGCGTTGACCTATGAACCAGGAGGTCACAGTTCGATTCTCGGTTGGGGCACAAGCCAGGATTACAGGCTCCATCCCCATTGGGAGGCACGCAGGAGGCAGCCAATCAAGGATTCTCTCTCATCCTTGACGTTTTCTATCTCTCCCTTCCTCTCTGAAATCAATAAAAAAATATATTTTAAAAAAGAGAAATCAATGAACGTTGACATCTCTTTCCTTCATGAAATGCATCATTTCTAACATCATGGATTTCATGTCAGTATATTTATTCAGTTCTTATTTTTATGTTAATTTATTAAATGGATTGGGGTGACGTGGGTCAACATGAACATATAAGTTTCACGTGTGGGTTTCTATGCTACCAGATCTGTATCTTGCACTGGATGCGCCCCTACCCCCCCAAATGAAGTCTCCTCCCGTTCTTCTTGTTAACTTTGTCTTCAAGGTGGGACCAGGACAGGGATGTCGCCGAAGGAAGGGACTCACCAAAGACGTAGAAGACCATGGGCCAGCCCAGGGCCTGGCAGATGAGCCCGGTCACACACAGCGCCAGGGAGGGTCCCAGCATCAGCCCTGACGGGGCCCAGAGAACAGCCTCCTGAGCCCTGGCGTCGGGACGTGGAAACGTCCAGACAAGAGGGCTCCTGGGAGGGGGGGTGGGCGACCACCCTCTGGGGAGTCACTCTGCACAGCACAACCCTCATCAGAAGCAAAGGCGAGCCGAGCTGCAGGGCTCAGGGGCTGAGTGTCGGCCAGGAACCAGGAAGTCAGGGTTTGATTTCCGGTCAGGACCCAGGCGCGGGTTGTGGTCTCCATCCCCAGTAGGGGGCGTGCAGGAGGCAGCCGATCAGTGATTCTCTCTCATCATTGATGTTTCTCTCTCTCCCTCTCCTTTCCCCATTGAAACCAATAAAAATATATTTAAAGAGGGAAAGAAAAGATATTTACTCTCCCTCTCTCTCTGTTGAGATAAGCTCGCCATGAGACAACCACGAGATGCGAGCGTCCGGGCGCATCGCCCTTACCTGAGAGACTCAGCGAGGTCAGCCGGCCTCGTTCCGACAGAGGCGCCCACTTGGTCCAGACCGTGTGCTGAGCAACCAGCACCGTCCCCTGCAACAAGACGCACCGGCGGGTCCTCGCCAGCACGGGCCCCGGCTGGGGCAGCTCGGGCCCCGCACCCGCCGCCTCCGTACCTGGCTGAGGCCCTGGGCCACGCGGCAGGCGATGACCGCCGATGCCCCCACCCCGGCCGCCAGCGGCACGAGCAGGCTGAGCAGGGAGCTGAGCAGCAGGGCAGAGCCGACCATGTTCTTCACGGGGTAGATCCCGGACAGATAGCCGACGGGCACCTGGCTGAGGAGCATCCCGTACGTGCTGGAGCTCAAGACGATGCCCTGGGTTCGGGGGCTCCAGTTGTACACGGGGTTCTGAAAGAGAGGAGGAGCGTCTCCTCACCCTGCAGGTCCGGTGCCAGGCCCGGGGACCCGTTTCTGTAGGTGGGAACCGGCGAGGCAGGTGGGGGGTGTGGGCTGGTGTCCGCGTGACGGCGTCGCACGGATCTCGGTAGCGTCCATGCCGTCCACAGACAGTGAGCGAGGCCGGGCTGGGCGCGCGCATGAGTGTGTGTGTGTGTGTGTGTGTACACGGCGTTCTCCACATACCCTGGGGTCGTCCAGGGGCTCCGGGGTGGAGGCATTGGGCAGCTCCTGGGGGCCTGTGCCGTTCACCATGGCGACCATGGTGAGGCTGAGGCAGGCGCGCTGGGACATCATGGACACGTTGCAGAAGTGCAGGAGGAGGGCCAGCCCGAGGCGGAGGGAGCAGCAGCCGGGCGCTGGGGAGGAGAGAGGGACACGCCCGTGTGAACACAACTGAGGCCACACACAGCTGGAGGCTGGCGGGGGGAGGTGGGGGAGGGGGCCCTCGGCCATGGGGGACCCCAGGTGTTATTTTCAAGTCCTATTGAGCCCAGTGGCCAAGGGGAAATGGCGGCACCACAGGAAGGTGTGTGGCTGGTGTCACCATCCCACAGCCCCTACAACATAATCCCATCTGGGATGTCCCGGAGAATTAACTCCTCCGAGGACTTTGGCTCATGTATGTTTTATTTTTTTTTAAAAAATATGCTTTTATTGGTTTCCTCGAGGAGGGAGAGGGAGAGAGAGAAACACCCATGACGAGAGAGCATCCTGGGTCAGCTGCCTCTGCAGGCCCCAGTGGGGGATCGAGCGCCCCGACCGGGCATCGAACCGTGACCTCCCGTTCCTGGGTCGACGCACAACCATGGAGCCACGCCGTGGAGCGAAGACCCGTCATGGGCTCGGAGGGAAGCGTCCTCTCTCCTGGACCCTGGGGTGCGTGTTACAAAGGAGCAAGCTCGCGGGAGGAAGCAAGGGGCTCGTCTACCTCTCCCGGACTGGGACCGGTCGTCCATCTGCCTCAAGGTGGGCGGGCTCCTGAGCCTCTCGCTGGAGGGTCTGCTCTCCATCCTCTGCAAGTTTAGGGTGCGTTGACGTCAGCAGGACAGGGGGAGGAGCCAACCCGAAAGCCCTGCCAATCCGTGGTTTTATTTATTTTATTTTATTTATAGATATATTTTACAGAGAGGAAGGGAGAGGGATAGAGTTAGAAACATCGATGAGAGAGAAACATCGACCAGCTGCCTCTTGCACACACACCCTACCCGGGGATGTGCCCGCAACCAAGGTACATGCCCTTGACCGGAATCGAACCCGGGACCTTCCAGTCCACAGGCCGTGGACCACACTGGTTTCGGCAATCCGTGTTTTATATCCGGTGAGAATGTCCCTCAAAAGTAAGAGATGTGAAGACCTTATCAGACCGCCAGAAGCCAGGGCCTCATTAGGGAGGGTAGGGAGCCTCGGGCGTTCTAGGCAGAAGGACTGGCTGAGGCCAGGAGCCAGATGCGTCCGAGGACCAATGGGGAGAAACAGCAGGAAGGGAAATGCCTTCCTTTCCTGAGGCGTGAGCAGAGCTGCGAGTGCTCCTTGTGACGTTGCCGCACCAGGCGAGCCACCTGACTCTGCACCCGATCCTGAACCTGGCGGCCGCTGGCCCAGGCCTGCATTTGCCGGGCAGGGAGCGGGGGACAGGGGGTGGAAAGTGGCGAGGAGGGGAGGCCGGGAGCCTAGCTGAGTGGTGATTCGACCCCTCACCGAGTCCAGGACCCACTGGCCGCTCACACACTGGTCTGTACCTTAGGCTTTGACCACCTCAGCTCATGTGACAGCAGACGCTCAGAAGACACACACAGTCCCTGAGATCGGCTCTGCAGGTGTTTGTACGTGAGCAGCTCAGCCACCATCACCACACATGGGACGCCTTCTGGGGCTGCTGTTTATTTCTAATCACACACACACACATACACACACACCCCACTTATACTCCACATACACACATGCACACACATGCACACACACACACTCCCCCCCACATACCCTCTACATGCATAGACATATATGCACACACTCCATACACACACACACACACACACACACACACACACACTCCCCACACACACATCACTGACACACGGATCCATACTCTTACCCAGTACAATGCTCAGATTCACAAGCAACCCCCCCGCTCCGCCACGCACACATTCTCTTTCCCTGTCTAGCCACAGAGCCACCCACTGCACACGCATCCCTGATGTGCGCTCTTTCCTCTCTCCCGTGTGAAAACCTGTGACAATAGGTTTTCCCAGCAGCCGGCCCCGATGGACTGGAGGTACCTTTGCTGGGTCTGTGACGGGGAGGCCCTCACCGCTGCTCGGCTCACTCCATTGGCGGCCGGAGGGGGAGGAAGACGGGCCGGGCTCGGGACGGGAGGGCGCCTCCCTCCCGTGAGGGCTTCCTCCCGCTGGACGCGAGATCGCCCGCCTGCTCGCACTCCGTCAGCCCTGCACCCCCTTCCCCCAGTCCTCTGACCTCAGGATGCCAAAGTTAAAAACTTAATTTTTAACTTCACGTTCACCTTTGCCTCAATCTTCAGGGGAGGAATGTGGGCCTTACCACCATCCCATGGCCCAGCCAGCCTGGCTCTGGGGCTGACTGAGCATCGACCTATGATCCCGGAGGTCATAGTTTGATTTCCGGTCAGAACACATTCCCCCGGAGTGCAGGCTCCATCCCCAGGAGGGGGCGTGCAGGGAGGCGGCTGATCCATGATTCTCTCTCATCATTGATGCTACTCCCTCTCTCCCCCTTCTTCTCTGTCATCAATAACAATATTTCCAATCTAATAAGAGAGTGACATGCAAATTGACCATCACTCCAACACACAAGATGGCTGCCCCCATGTGGTCAAAGATGGCTGCTTCCATATGAACACAAGATAGCCACCACAAGATGGCCAGCAGAGGAGGGTAGATAGGGGCACCCAGGCCTGCAGGGGAGGGAAGTTTGGGGGGACCTAGGCCTGCAGGGGGGAGAAGTTGGGGGGGTACCAGACCATCAGGGAAAAGTAGTTAGGGGTGATGAGGCTGGCAGGGGAGGGAAGTTAGGGGCAATCGGGCTGGCAAGGGAGCAGTGAGGCATCAATCAGGCTGGCAGGGGAGTGGTTAGGGGGTGATCAGGCTGGCAGGCAGAAGCAGTTAGGGGCAATCAGGAAGGCAGGCAGGTGAGCAGTTGGGAGCCAGCAGTCCCGGATTGTGAGAGGGATGTCTGACTGCCTGGTGGGATTGGGCCTAAACAGGCAGTCGGACATCCCTCGAGGGGACCCAGATTGGAGAGGGTGCAGGCTGGGCTGAGGGACACCCCCCTCCCCTGTGCATGAATTTCATGCACCGGGCTTCTAGTTTAGAAATAAAATAAGATAAACAGGACGGTGTAGGGAGGACAGCTCACTGCCCGGGAGGTTTTCACGGCCGCCTGGGGTGGGAGTGTTTGCGTCGGAGTCTCCAGGTGGGGAAGACGGACCCGGAGGCTGGGAGACTGGGCCGGCCGGGGCGTCAGGGCCTGGGCACCGGGACCTGCGGGGAGGCCCGGGGGTGGGGGAGTTAAGGCTGAGATGGGAGGGCGAGAACGAGGGAGGTGCACGTCCGGGAAAAGGAGGGGTTTGTGGGAGCCAACAGAACCCAGGGCAGCGGGAGAAGTAAAATCCTGGCGGGAGCGGGAGGGGCGTGCTGGGAAGGCCTCAGACTGATCCCGGAAAACAGTCCGTGAGCGGAGGGGGGAGGCCCAGGCCCAGAGAAGGGAGTTTCCGTGGTAACGTCAACAGGAGAGCCCGCCGAGCTCGGCAGGGGCCAGGGTCCCTTCCAGCACCAGGGTCACCGGCGACCCAGGAGGCCTGGCCGTGGGGGTCCGGGCGCCTGTGGGAAGGCCAGGCTGGCGCACGGCGGGCAGGCCCTTCCCGGGGTCGCCGCTGCGTTGGTTTATGAAAGAGCCCGTGATCAGCTCCTCAGCTGGGGCCGCGCCGGTTTTAGGGGAGACTCGGGGACGCCTGCAAGATGGGGGGAGGTGAGCTCAGACCCCTCCTGGCACATCCTCTGCTCTCCTGGGGGCGCCCCAGCTCTGGGTGTTTTGTGGCCCGTGGTGGGTTTTTGTTTTTTAATATATTTTGTTTACTTCAGGGAGGAGGAGAGAGGGAGAGTGAGAGAGAAACATCAACGGTGAGAGAGAATCACTGATCAGCTGCCCCCTGTACGCCCCCCACTGGGGATCCAGGCCCCCAACCCGGGCCTGTGCCCTGACCCCTGACCGGGAATGGAACCCGGGACCCTTCAGTCCGCAGGCCGACGCTCTGTCCGCTGAGCCACACCAGCCAGGGCCCCGTTGAGTTTTGAAGCTTTTCGTTCATTAGGCTCGCGAGCCCTCGTCTGCAGTCCGAGGCCGCGTGACCACCGTGTTGTGACGGAGCCGCTGTGCCGGGAGGAAGGCGGGCGTCGGCGTGAGGTGTCCCCCTCTGCCGGCCGTTTCTCTGCGAGGCCTCCGCACTCGGGGGCCACCCCGAGGGCCCGCAGCCCCCCGCATGGGCTCGGAGGTCAAACGCCAGTGGCGTCCACAGTGGTGTCCGCTGCACCTGCCTCAGAGCCTCGCTGACTCCATTCCGGAAAGACCCCCTTCGCCTCCTCCCTTCCTTCTCACAGGCTCCAGCTTCCCGGCTCCGGCTCCGCCTTCTCTCGCCGCCGACGCCCGCTAAGCTCCGCCGGGTCATCTTCTCCGGGTCTCGACCCCCAGGTGTTGCCGGGAGGAGGAACGCCTGTGCCATCTGGAGGGAAGGGGCCCGCGGAACTGGAACCCGGCCTCTTTCATTTCGGCGTCTGAGTGTTAACGGACGTGAGCCCCAGGTTCCACAGTCTGTAAGCACACAGGCCGGCTCCTGCTGGGGCTGCGGGCTCACGCGCTGCCCGGGTGCGGCTGTGACACGGGCACAGGTCCCGGCAGACCTCACCCCTGGACGTACTCGCCGGTCATTATTCCCACAGAGACTCCTGTTCTCCCGGCACTTCCCACCGAGCGAGCGGGGCTCAGCGGCAACGAGGATGGCCCGCCCGCGGCTCCGGGGGTGAGCGTCCACCTAGGAACCAGGCGGCCACGGTTCGATTCCCCGTCAGAGCACAGGCCCGGGTGGCGGGCTCCATCCCCAGTGGGGGGCGTGCAGGAGGCAGCCGGTCCGTGATGCTCTCTCATCACTGATGTTTCTCTCCCTCCTTCTCCCTTCCTCTCTGACATCAATAAAAAAAAAACACAAACCATTACAAAAAATAAAAAACAAAGGCATGGGAATCGGCGTTTCAAGCGTGTCCAGCTGTTGTCGGCCTGGCTGGGATGGGGAGCCCCCGGGGAGTGTTGAAGACTCGCTGATGTCGGGGTGCACTCTCTCCACTCCCCCCCTTCCCATGCGTTCGGGCTCATGGGAGCAGCGCCCACACAGCAGAGGCTCCGGGAAAACCTGGCTCCCACTCGGAGGTGTGGCCTCGGGCGTCGCCGCGAAGGACGTGCAGAGTGCAGACGAGTGAGAGGGCGCCGAGAAGCACTGGCGGTGTTGGCCCGGGCCCTCAGAGGCGCGTGAGGGCCCTCTCCTTGGCCCAGTCCTGGATCTCCGCCCGCCCGAACGTGAGGTAGAACGCCAGGCCCAGCACGTTGACGGCGGCAGCCAGGAAGAAGACGTTCCGCCACCCGGACGCCGGGTCCTGCGAGAGAAAGCCGGGCTGTGGCTCGGGGTCCCCTCCCCTCGGGGACCGGAAGTCCTCCGTGTTGGGGGTGCCACGCTGACCCCAGAGGGCACAGGGCGTGCCCGGCGGGGGCTTCGTGAAACGTGGAAGGAAACCGACTCCATTTTTCTTTAAACCAGAGCTAATTCACCCACGCTAGTGTTTTTCTGGATTTGGGATCTCAACAGTCATGAGCCTGTATCCTGTTCCGCACAGAAAATTATGCTTAAGATGACATCATTAAGATTTCATCCTCTGGCCGAAACCGGTGTGGCTCAGTGGATAGAGCGTCGGCCTGCGGACTGAAGGGTCCCAGGTTCGATTCCGGTCAAGGGCATGGACCTTGATTGCGGGCACATCACCAGTAGGGGGTGTGCAGGAGGCAGCTGGTCAATGTTTCTCTCTCATCTGATGTTTCTGACTATCTATCCCCCTTCTTCTCTGTAAAAAAACCAATAAAATATATTTTAAAAAAAATAAAAGAAAAGGAAACCTGCCCTTCCCTCTGGCATCACCGAGAACCCCCATCGGCGTTTGCATCTCTGGGAACCCACCCCGAACCGCCCTTTCCATCCACCCAACATTGTTCATTTTTAGAAATTTGTCTCTTACTCCTCCCTCCCCCCCCCCCCCCCCCCCCCCCCCCCGCCGCCCCAGACCTGAGCTCTCGGGGCCCATGGAGCATCCTGCTCAGAGCAGAGCAGGGTGCCAGCATCCGTGCCCGCCTCGCCCTCAGACCACACACAGACCCGGGGCGCAGAGGCCCTACTGTGCGCCCCCAGGCCCCAAACAGCACACACGCTCAGCCGGCTGCCCACCTGGCTGATGAGGAAGCCGGTGGCCGTGGAGGAGATGATGCCCGCCAGCAGCCCGAATCCCCGGGAGATGCCCATGAGGAAGCTGGCGTACCTGCGGAGAGATGGCACGGGCTTGCCGAAAGCCGCCTGCTCCCGCCAGCGCTCCTGGGGCAGAAAGACGGCTTTCCCGCCGCTCAGCTCAGAGGGGGCCGTGTCTCACTCGCCCCGAGACATCTGGGGCCACATATACCTGTGCCGGCCCTGACGCCACCGCCGCCGAGTCCAGAACCAGAACCAGAACCAGAACCAGGGAGCCACGCTGTCCCCTGTGGACCGGACAACCGGCTCCGGACAGAACGCCTGGGTTTAGGCCTGGCTCTGCCTTGGTCTGGCGTCAGGCACGTCACCTGACCTTCTGTGCCCCAAGAAGGTCATGGCGCCGTGAGGGCTGGGTGTGGGGGTACATGAGACCCCCCAGGCCCGGCCGGCGGGGCTCAGCGCGGAGCGTCGACCTAGGAACCAGGAGGTCACCGTTCGATCCCCGGTCAGGGCCCAGGCCCAGGTTGCAGGCTCCATCCCTAGTGGAGAAGGCAGCCGGTCCATGATTCTCTCTCATCTTTAATGTCTCTCTCTCTCTCTCTCTCTCTCTCCTCCTTCCTTTCTGAAATCAAGAACAATATTTAAAAAATAAATAAAAATAAACCTGCCTCTGCCCGGCCGGCGTGGCTCAGTGGTAGAGCATCCAACTATGAACCAGGAGGTCAGGGTTCGATTCCCGCTCAGGGTGCACGCCTAGGTTTCAGGCTGGATCCCTGATAGGGGTCAGGCAGGAGGCGGCCAACCCATGGTGTTCCTCTCTCATCAATGTTTCTCTCTCTCTCCCTCTCTCTCTGAAAAGTAATCAATGAAAACATAGTTTAAAAACAAACAAACAAACAAACAAATAGCTGCCTCTCATCAATGTTTCTCTCTCTCTCCCTCTCTCTCTGAAAAGTAATCAATGAAAACATAGTTTAAAAACAAACAAACAAACAAACAAACAAACAAATAGCTGCCTTGGACAGCGAGGGGCCCGAGGCGGGAACTAGGCCGGCACTCACCTGGGGGCCACGTCCAGGGTGTTGATGATGAACCCCACGTCGCACAGGTTGCTGGTCCCGGGAATGAGGATCAGCAGAGCCACGGTGGTCACGTAACTGGAAGCCACGAAGGGCAGGGCCAGGGCGCAGAGCGACGGGAGCAGGAGGCCTGGCGGGGAGGACGGTCAGGACCCCCCCGGCCCCCCCCCCACCCCGGACCCGACGCAGAGCCGGGGTGGGTCCCCCGAGCCCGGGCCCCGCCCTTACCCAGGGCCGAGAAGAGCTTCCGGACGGTGACGAGCCTCAGGAGGTTCCTGGACAGAAGGAAGTCCGCCAGCTGGCCCGCCAGGACCGTGCACGTGGAGGCAGCCACGAAGGGCAGGGAGGACAGGACCCCGCTCTGGGGGCAGGAGACCGGCCGTGAGGCAGAGGGCGCGGGGCAGCCACGGCCCACGGCGCCTCCGGACACTGAGCCGTTTCAGGGGAGCGAGGGTCCCTGTCTCAGGGGAGAGGCCGGGCACCTGCCTCCCCCGAGGATGTTTTCCCACGGATTGATTCTTAGGGAGAGCGGGAGAGAGAGGGGGAGACAGAGAGGAACGTCGATGTGCGAGAGACACATCGATGGGCTGCCTCCTGCACGCGCCCCGACCAGGGAGGGCCCGGGCTGGGGAAGAGCCTGCGGCCGAGGGACGGGCCCTTGACGGGGTTGGAACCCGGGACCCTGTGGTCCTCAGGCTGACGCTCTAGCCACTGAGGCAAACCGGTTAGGGCAGACAGTACCAATTCCGTACAAATTCCTAAGAGAACTTGCAGAATTAAGAATGAGGTGTGAGCCCTAGCCGGTTTGGCTCAGTGGATAGAGCGTCGGCCTGCGGACTGAAGGGTCCCAGGTTTGATTCCGGTCAAGGGGACAGGCCTGGGTTGTGGGCTCAGTCCCCGGTGGCAGCGTGCAGGAGGCAGCTGATCAATGATTCTCTCTCATCACTGATGTTTCTATCTTTCCCTCTCCCTTCCTCTCTGAAATCAATAAAAAATATATAAAAAAATTTTAAAAAAGGAATGAGGTGTGAGAGAGGAAAAAAAGTAAACAAAACAAAAATAAATAAAAAACTAACCCCCCCCCCCAAAAAAAGAATGAGGTGTGGCAGGGTGGCCCGATGGTTAGGGCCGCGGACCGAGCGCCCTGTCCCTGAGCAGCCCTGGGATGCAGGGCGTCCTCTCAGCTCTGCGTGTCCCGTCCCCACGCCTGTCCCCTGGGTCCGTACGGAGCCCCTCACGGTCACCTCCCGGGCTGGTGGGTGCGGGCAGCGCGGCGCTAACCCTCCCGCCCTCCTCACGCCCGCCCCGCGTCAGACCCACCTCCCTGATGCTGACGCGCAGCACGGAGCTGACGTAGGTGGGCAGGTAGGTGACGAGGACGGTGCACAGCCAGAAGTGGCTGAAGAACCCCGAGAAGATGGCCCACAGGGGCAGGCAGCGGGCCATGGCCTTGAGCGGGACGGAGCGCCTGGGGGACGTGGGCTGAGGACACAGTGGGCATTCGGACAGTCAGAGGGCCCCTCCTGGGCCGCCCCCAGCCCGCCCGCCCGCCTCTGCGGGCCCGGGGGAGGGCGCAGGTGCTGGGAGCCCCGCCCATCACCTCTGGGGGGGTGCGGGGTGCGGGGGGAATGGGGGGAGGGGCGCAGGTGCTGGGAGCCCTGCCCATCACCTCTGGGGGGGTGCGGGGTGCGGGGGGAATGGGGGGAGGGGCGCAGGTGCTGGGAGCCCCGCCCATCACCTCTGGGGGGGTGCGGGGTGATGGGGGATGGAGGGAGGGGCGCAGGTGCTGGGAGCCCCGCCCATCACCTCTGGGGGGTTGGGGGGTGAGGGGGGGGATGGAGGGAGGGGCGCAGGTGCTGGGAGCCCCGCCCATCACCTCTGGGGGGGTGCGGGGTGCGGGGGGGGGGAATGGGGGGAGGGGTGCAGGTGCTGGGAGCCCCGCCCATCACCTCTGGTGGGGTGCGGGGTGACGGGGGATGGAGGGAGGGGCGCAGGTGCTGGGAGCCCCGCCCATCACCTCTTGGGGGGGTGCGGGGGTGAGGGGGGAATGGGGGGAGGGGCGCAGGTGCTGGGAGCCCCGCCCATCACCTTTGGAGGGGTGGGGGGTGAGGGGGGATGGGGGAGGGGCGCAGGTACCTGCTGAGCCAGCGAGGACACGATGTGCTCCTGCTCGCGGAGGCTGATGCACGGGTGATGCGTGGGGTCGTCGTAAATCACGGTGAACCAGAGCAGACAGCACACGCAGCCCACGCCGCCTGGGGAGCCGGACCCAGTTAATGCTCAGGGGATTGTGAGCTGGAGAGGGAGTTTGTCCGGCGTGGTATTGCTTCCCCCCAAACACACACACACACACACACACACACACACACACACGCACGCACACACACGCACACGCACACGCACACGCACACGCACGCACACGCACACGCACATGCACACGCACACGCTCACACACACACCAGTTTATGGCTATTCCATTCCAAGAACCTCAAAGCTCCCACCACACGTCAATTCTTATTTAATATTTTAAAATTGATTTTAGAGAGACGAAGGGAGGGGAGAGAGAGAGAGAGAAGCATCCACCAGCTGCCTCCTGCACGCCCCTCACTGGGGATGGAGCCTGCAACCAAGGCCCCTTGACCAGAATCAAACCCGGGACCCTTCAGTCCACAGGCCAGTGCTCTATCCACTGAGCCAAACCCGTTACGGCTCTATCAGTTCTTGTACAGATCCCCTTTTTCAAACGAATGAATGAGTGAATTTTTTATAAATATAGTTTTATTGATTGCAGAAAGAGAGGGACAGAAGCATCAGTGACGACAGAGAATCACGGGTCGGCTGCCTCCTGCAGGAGGGATCGAGCCCTCAGCGGGGGCCTGTGCTCGGATGGGGAATCCAGCCGTGACCTCCTGGTTCATAGGCTGATGCGCAACCACTGAGCCACCGGGCCAGCTCTACAGATTTCCTCTTAGCTAACGCTCTCCCGTTACCGACCCTCCAGCAGCGACGGCATTGCTCACCCTCTGCCGACGCCTGGTCAGTCCCCTCCTGGACTAGCTGAGACACCCTCCCTCCCATCCCGCCACCTTCCCTGTGACACAGGCCCGCCTGTCCCGGGAGGAAGGTGGCCGGACGCCGGGGACGTGGTGGCCTCTGGGGTGCGAGACGCGACTCACTCACCGAAGATGTAGAAGATGAAGGGCCAGCCCAAGGCCTGTGAGATGAGCCCCCCGACGCAGAGGATGAGGGAGGACCCCAGCGCGGCCCCTGAGGAGAAGGCGGAGGGGGACCCGTGTGAACCCGAGGTCGTGGCCCCCCGGGGTGACTTTTCCTGGGAAGGAACCAGGATTCACCTTCACCATAACAATAACCTCCAACACCAGCCTGGCCAAGCCCACAGCCCCCCTCCTTTCCTTGTTTCTGTTCTTTTTTTTTAAAATTAATTAATTAATTAATCAATTAATTAATTTTTACATATTTTATTGATTTTTTTGGCCCCCCTCCCTCCCTCCCACACTTCCCCTCCCTCCCCAGAGTTCCTTGTTTCTGTTCTTTAAGTATATTTGTATTGACTTCAGGGAGGGAGGGAGAGGGAGAGAGAGAGAGAGAGAAGCATCCATGGTGAGAGAGAGTCATGGACCGGCTGCCTCCCGCACGCCCCCACTGGGGATGGAGCCCACCACCCGGGCCTGCGCCCTGAGCCGGAGTCGAGCCGAGACCTCCTGGTTCACAAATTGATGCTCAAGCCCTGCGCCACGCCGGCCGGCTCACCTTCGTTCCTTATGACCAGAGGTGCCAGCTGGCAGGGAGCAGCAGGAGGTTGGGGACCGAAGAGGAAAGACAGGCACAGTCCCTGCTCCCCGGGGACTGCGTGGCCCAGGTGGGACGGCAGTGCCATGGCCGTTCCCCATCCAGCCTTTCTCCCCGCTCCACCCCAAGCTCCCACAGCCGGTTCTTCCGTGTCTGTCTGTGCTAAGACGTGTCTACACTGCTCCCCACCCCCCTCCCAGGTGCTCTTGTCGCTCACAGCGACCTTTTCTGTGCGGAGCCTCCTGCGTTTCGTCTCTACGTAACTGTCTCCCGGTGTTGAATTTGGGAGAAGAATTTGTTTTTGTTTGTTGGGTTTTTTTGTTTGTTTGTTTTTACCAGGAGAGGAAAAAAAAAAAAATAATTTTGTACAAACAAGAGCCCAGAAAGCTGTGAGACTCAAAGAAAAGAAGTGACCAAAGCAGGAGGCCTGTCTACGTTTTAGACAAAAAAACCCAGTAAATTTAGCCCGGCCGCCGCGGCTCCGTGGCTGAGCATCAACCTCGGAACCAGGAGGTCACGGTTCGATTCCCGGTCAGGGCACATTCCCCGGGTGGCGGGTTCCTTTCCCGGTGTGAGACGTGCAGGAGGCAGCCGGCTGGTGACTCTCTTTCATTATTGGTGGGATATCGATAGGAGCACTCTAATCCCCCTCCCCCAAACCGCCCCATCCACCAAGGGGAGGCGAGGGAGGGTGAGGGCGGCCCCGGGGCCCCGATCCCCATCGGGATCCTCACCGGAGCCCGCGATGCTGGTGAGCTTGCTGCGCTCCAGCGGGGGCGCCCACTTGGCCCAGATGGTGAACTGGCCTGTCCACGCCATGCCCTGGAAAGAAAACCGTTCAGGCCTCCGCCGGACAGCGGGACACCCGAGCCGTACGCCACGCGGGGGAGGGGGAAGGGGAGGGAGGAGAGCGGCCTGGGTACCTGGGCCATGCCCTGGGCGACGCGGATCACGATCACCAAGCTCACGCCCAGGTCAGCGGCCAGCGGCGTGCAGAGGCTGAGCAGGGAGGAGGCCAGCAGCCCGGCGCCCAGCATGTGCTTGGCGCCCAGGATCCCCGCCAGGTACCCGCTGGGGATCAGGGTCAGCAGAATCCCGTAGCTGATGGAGCTGAAGAGGATGCCCTGGGTCTCGGGGCTCCACGCGTACACGGAGGTCTGGAAGAAGAGGAGGGGAAGGGAAAGCCGTGGCTGAGCACGTGGGCGTCCCAGCCAGAGCTGCTTGTGGCTGGTGGGACCTCCCGTGAAAGGTCGCATTTGGTTTCTCTCTCTTTTTTCTTATTTTTTAAAATCTAGCTTAGATATCCCACCATTTCAAAAAAACAAAAACAAAAAACAAAACAAAAAAAACCAAACCTAATGATACGCCCAATTTTTTCCACCTTTAATGTATTTTTATTGATTTCAGAGAGAAAGGGAGAGGGAGAGAAAGATCAATGAGATGAGAGAGAATTGTTGATTGGCTGCCTCTTGCACGCCCCCTACTGGAGATCAAGCCTGCATCCCAGGCAGGTGCCTTTGACCGGAATCGAACCTGGGACCCTTTAGTCTGCAGGTTAACACTCTAGCCACTGAGGTGAACCAGTTAGGGCAGTGGTCGGCAACCTCATTAGTCCACAGAGCCAAATACCAACAGGACAACGATGGACATTTCTTTGGAGAGCCACATTTTTTAAACTTAAACTTCTTCTAACGCCGCTTCTTCAACATAGACTCGCCCAGGCCGTGGTATTTTGTGGAAGAGCCACACTCAAGGGGCCAAAGAGCCACAGTTTGCCGATCACGGGGTTAGGGCATAGAACCCTGCTTTGTTCCTCTCCGAGGAAGGAAGACAGAGGATGCGGAGGAGAAAAGAGGTGACGAACGGGAGGATGAGCGAAGGAGACAGCGAGAGATTTCATCGGCACAAGAGCTACCCTGAACTCTTTGCTTCTGATCAAAGTTGGGTGACAAGTGGCCCCTCCTGGCAACGAACAAGGGAGACGCAGCATTCCTGGGCTCTCCCTCGCTCAGGCCCCAACACCGAGTCCAGGAGCCTCGGCCGCCCGCGCAGAGCTGGCCCCTGGACCAGGTGTGCGGCCGCCTTCCTCCCGGGGGAGGATAGCTGGTGGTGGCCTGCCAGACAGGACGCATCCGGCATGAAATGGAGGCACAGGACCAAACAGCGTGACTATAAAATTCCGTCCACTTACAGTGAACAACGGCCCAGTTTCCCTCTCCCTCCCTCTCCCTCTCTCTGAAATCAACCAAAATATATTTAAAAAATAAAAATAGCCGAGACCGGTTCGGTTCAGTGGATAGAGCGTCAAGCTGTAGACTGAAGGGTCCGAGGTTCGATTCCGGTCAAGGGCATGTCCCCAGTAGGGGGTGTGCAAGAGGCAGCTGATGGATGTTTCTCTCTCATCGATGTTTCTGACTCTCTATCCCTCTCCCTTCATCTCTGTAAGAAATCAATAAAATATGTTTAAAAAAAAAAAAAAAAAAGGAAGTTTATTTTTCTCCATCCACAGAACCGAGGTCGAAGCCTTCCCTCCCCCCGGGATTCCCTCCCGACAGAGGCCGCGCTCCGCGCTCCGTCCCGCGCTCCGCGCTCCGTCCCGCGCTCCGCGCTCCGTCCCGCGCTCCGCGCTCCGCCCCGCGCTCCGCGCTCCGCCCCGCGCTCCGCCCCGCGCTCCGCCCCGCGCTCCGCCCCGCGCTCCGCCCCGCGCTCCGCCCCGCGCTCCGCCCCGCGCTCCGCCCCGCGCTCCGCCCCGCGCTCCGCCCCGCGCTCCGCCCCGCGCTCCGCCCCGCGCTCCGCCCCGCGCTCCGCCCCGCGCTCCGCCCCGCGCTCCGCCCCGCGCTCCGCCCCGCGCTCCGCCCCACTCACCCCTGCGTGGAGTTCCCCGGGGGGCCCGCGGGGGGGCTGCAGGGGGCCGGCGGGAGCGCGGTCCGCGGAGGCGTTGGCCGGGGCGGGCTGCTGCGTGCCGTTGACCATGGCGATGATGGCGATGCTGAGGCCCACCCGCTGGGTGATCATGCTGAGGTTGGAGAGGTGCATGACCACGGCCAGCCCGTAGCGCAGGGAGCAGAGGCCCGGGCCTGGGGAGGACGGGAGAGAGTGGGGGACTCCTGGCGGCCGTCGCTCCTCCCGGTGAGAAACACGCCGCGGGCCCGGCCGGCGTGGGTCAGCGGGTGAGCATCGACCTAGGAACCGGGAGGTCACGGTTCGCTTCCCGGTCAGGGCACAGGCCCAGGGTTCGGGCTCCACCCCCAGTAGGGGGCGTGCAGGAGGCAGCTGATCCGTGATGCTCTCTCTTCGTTGATGTTTCTCTTTCTCTTCCTCTCCCTTCCTCTCTGAAGTCAATAGAAATATATTTAAAAACAACAACAATAACAAAACACCTCGGTCTCCCTCTGTTATATATAATAATGTAACCCCTCTAATTATTGTGTGAACTGTTTGCTGTGTGGAAACCCCCAATACCCTGTGACTTCCAAAATTAATGAACACCCTTTTGGGTGTTTTCCAAAAATCGGGACTTTTTTTTTTTTTTTTTTTTAAAAACGTCTCCGGATGTGGGACAAATTGTTAAAAATTGGCACTGTCCCGCCTAAAGCGGGACATCTGGTCACCTTATGTAGAAGCTCTGCACCCTTAAAGTGTAAACGCTCTGCTCCCAGCATAAGGCTCACCGTCTGGCCCACACTGATGAGTACACAGCTGGTTACTGCGGTCCATGTAACCCCAGGACAAGCTTCAGTTGTGGTCTCCTGCCCGATAGAGGAGTCAAGGGCTTGTCGCTTGACTGCTCTGCTGTGTGAGCCAGAACCAACCGCGGCTGCCTGCCTGTCTGTTTTCATCGTCTGTCCTTCAGTGTGCATCCCGGTGGCCTTTGCCGGAGCCCAGGACCCACTAGGAATCGGTAAGTAAACCCTGTGTGATCACACACTCCTCCTGTCTGTGTGCCATGTGTTCCCGCTCCGCTCAGCTGTGTAGACGTTGGAAGCACCAGGGGAGAGGCCGTGATTGCTGCCTCCCGGTCACCTGCGTTTGTCCCGCTGAGTCTAGTCAGATAATCAATCAATCGGGGCCTAATTGGGACACGCTCTCTCTTTTCCCTAAAACCACCAGGCAGCAGCCCCCCTCGGCCCTGCCCTGTAGCTGGCTGCGGGACGTGAATCTGGGATCCCCTCGTCCAGCAAAGCCACGAGGGGAAGCAGGTGAACAGCTGGAAGGAGCTCACGAGGGCACTGATCGCCCTCGTTCCCAAACCGAGAGATGGGGGAGCTGGAGGCAGAGCCTCCCCCCCCCCCCATCATTTCTCCCAGCTGCCAGCCAGACCCCATCCGGTTTGCGAATTCATTTATCAAAAAAACCTTGCAAGTTTCTTCTAGACAGCCGGCTGCCTGTGAATGAAGCTAGTCGCACACCCAGGATCTTCTTTTGTGAGTATTTTTTAAAATTTACTTTTAGCGAGAGGGAAACTTCGATCTGCTGGGACACTTACCGACGCCCTCACAGGCTGGCTCTTGCGTGGGCCCTGACGGGGGATCGAACCGGCCACCGTGGGGGGTCAGGTCAAGGCTCTACCCAACCCAGAGTCTTTTTTTTTTTTTTTTTTTTTTTTAACGTAGCTGAGGGTAAATATTTTTGCACACCCCCCCCCCCCAACCAAGGTACATGCCCCCAACTGGAATCGAACCCGGGACCCTTCAGTCCCCAGGCCGACACTGAGCCACACCGGTTTCGGCTAAAATGACTTTTTCAAGGCTCATTCCATTCCGTAGGTCCCAGGACTCGCTGGCCGCGCGGCTTAATTTCTGACCCATAACTCAGAGGGGCTGCCTAGGAAGGAGCCACAGCCGGCGGCAGGATGAGGGGCTGGAGCGGGCCCACTCTCCACCGAGAGCCGCGGCGGGCGGCGAGGGTGTGATGGGAGGAGGAGGTGGGGAGCAGAGCGAGGAGGTGCAGGGACACGGGACTCCCCCTGCCCTTGCCCGCAGCACCAGCGCGGCAGGCGACAATACCTCTCCTGGGGGACGGCTTCTCCATGGGGCTCCTCCGGGAAGCGGCTCCGCACGCTGGGGCAGAGGCGTCCCGGCCCTGAGTCTTTCTCGGCGACAGGCTCCGGTCTAGGGGAGAACAACCCAACGCAGGGCCCACGGTCACGCTCTCCGTTCCCGCTGCCCGCTCTCCGCATCAGCAAGCTCTTGTTTCGTTATTTTTAAAAAATATATATTTTATTGATTTTTTTACAGAGAGGAAGAGAGAGGGATAGAGAGCTAGAAACGTCGATGAGAGAGAAACATCGACCAATTGCCTCCTGTACACCCCTTACCGGGGATGTGCCCGCAACCAAGGTACATGCCCTTGACCGGAATCGAACCTGGGACCTTTCAGTCCGCAGGCTGAAGCTCTTTCCACTGAGCCAAACCGGTTTCGGCTCGTTGTTATTTTAAAATACGTTTTTATTGATTTCAGAGAGGAAAGGAAAGGGGGAGAGAGACAGAAACATCCACGATGAGAAACATGGATCCGCTGCCTCCTGCACGCCCCCCACTGGGGATCGAGCCCGCAACCCGGGCCTGTGCCCTTGACGGGGATCGAACCCTGACCTCCCGGTTCCTAGGTCGGCGCTCAGCCATGTGGGCAGCCCTGCCCACTTCCTGTCACCGTCTCTTACTGCCCTTAGGTGGCCCCAACACGCAGCCTGCCTTGCGTCACCCTGTTGGCCAGCCTCCTCGTTTGCTCAGGGTAAATGCCAACGTGGCTGAAGGGCGGGAGCGGCAGGGCGCAGGGCCGGGGACACAGGCCCGCCAGCCCCACCCGGGAACCAGGCCGGACAAGGGCAGCGCAGGCTCCCGACGCCCTGGGCCTTTCCACTGGTCTCCTCGGAAGCGGGGGCTCGCGAGGGGGAAGGAAGGTGTGGGGCGCGCCTGCTCCCCTGTGGGATCCCTTCACACGGCCCCGAGGTTCAGGGCCCACTCAGAGTCTGGTTTCCGGAGAAGGCCGCACACTGAAAAGGTTGATACCCTGTTTCTCCCCGAGGACAGCACAGGCGTGGCGTGCGATCCATGCTCAGGCGGCGGCGAGGACCGACAGTCCCAAGCGTGGGCCCTGGGCTTGCGGTTACTGCACCGAGGCTCCTAGCAGATACTCGTTACTGTCAACGTGCTTCTGATGGTTCAACTGGCCTTAAACTTTCCTCCCTCCCTCCTTCCCTCCCTCCCTCCATCTCTCCCTCCCTCCCTTCCTCCCTCTCTCCTTCCCTCCCTCTCTGTAGTGTAAATCCTCACCCGAGGATATTTTCCCATCGGTTTTTAGAGAGAATGGAAGGGCGGGGAGAGACAGAGAGGGACACATCGATTGATTGCCTCCCACAAGAGCCCTGACCAGGGCCAGGGGGGTCAGGCATGTGCCCTTGACCAGAATCGAACCCGGGACCCTTCAGTCCTCAGGCTGATGCGCCATCCACGGAGCCAGTCCGGCCGGGCTCACATGTTCCTTTTAAAAGTGGGCTCTTAGCCGAAACCGGTTTGGCTCAGTGGATAGAGCGTCGGTCTGCGGACTGAAAGGTCCCAGGTTCGATTCTGGTCAAGGGCATTGGTTGTGGGCACATCCCCGGTAGGGGGTGTGCAGGAGGAAATTGGTCGATGTTTCTCTCTCATCGATGTTCTAGCTCTCTATCCCTCTCCCTTCCTCTCTGTGGAAAATCAATAAAAGTGGGCTCTTATGCGGCTGAGTCCCCACGGTGGGTGAGAACAGGATGCCACTGGCACTGGGTACAAACGTCAGGGACTAAGCTCCGGGTTGGTGCCCCCGCCCACCTTTCGGGAGGCGGGTGGTTCTAAGTGAAATTGGCTTCCCGGCAGGTGATTCCGATCATGCCACCGATCGTGGCACGGGTTCATGTATGAATTCAACCACGAAGAAAAACGTGTTCTGAGCAGCAAGCGTGGGCAGCCCCGGGAGGCAGGGTTAAGCCACAACTGAGGCGCAGCTGGCCCTGGCCAGTATGGCTCAGTGGATAGAGCGCCGGCCTGCAGACTACAGGGTCCCGGGTTCGAGTCCAGTTGAGAGCACATACTTCCGTTACAGGCTCCTCCCCGGCTTTTGCCCTGGTCGGGGCCCGTGCAGGGGGCAACCAATCGATGTGTTTCTCTCTGTCTTTCCCTATCTCTTCCACGCTCTGAAAAATGAGTGGAAAAATAGTCTCAAGGGAGGATTAACAACAACGAAAGGTGTGATTGGACCCAACCCCGGGGGTGGGGGGTGGGGAGGAGGACAGAAGCCCAGGCTCCTCTCCTGAGTAGCAGCCTGGGGCGCCGTCGTCCAGGCCCATGTGAGCCCAGCTGTGCTGTCCTTCAGGTCCCTTCCCTGGGTCCCTTCCTGCCCCCCTGCCATCCTCCTCTTACCCATCTCCCCCACCCCCGCCCGCCATCCCCCTCTCCCCCTCCTTCCCAGCGGAGCAGCCAGGGCCTCTCCGGACAGCGCCCTCAGCTCCCAGACCAGCGCTCCCTACAAGCACCCACGTTCTCCTGCTTCCAACCTCACAACTTCGTTCCTGCTCTCTGGCCTGTTCTCTGGCCCTGGGAGATCATTTCAAACCCACAGAGAGACCTGCAGACGCATCCATCCCAGGCCCCGGCCCAGACCTTGTTAGCTGGGACCCAGGTTTCACTCCGCAGCTGAAGCCCGTCCACAGGCCACGGTGTCCCGGTGAGCACCCAGGGCTCCTCGGAGGGGCCCCCTCGCCCCGTGTCCCCGCGCCTGGTGGCCCCCACGCCCTGCTCTAGCGTCTTGATGGAATTGATCACCTTTTCCAATTTTCTAAAGTCGTTTGGGTATTCCTCACCCGGGGATCTTTTTCCCCCCATTGATTTTTAGAGAGAGTGGAAGGGAGAGGGAGAGAGAGACACACACATTGATGGGCTGCCTCCTGCACGCCCAGGTACATGCGCTTGACTAGAATCAAACCCGGGACCCTTCCGTCCGGTGGGAGTGGGGGTGGGTGGAGGAAGGAACCAACCAACGCTCTATTCACTGAGCACACTGGCCAGGGCTTGGCCGCCTTGTTCAGAAAGTCTCTTCCTCGTTGTGTAACCGGGAGCCATCCCCAGAGGGAGGCTCTGTGGCTGCTGTTTGGGGTTCTTTCTCCGACTTCCCCTCAACCCACTCCCTCCCTCGGCGGGGCCCGGAGCAGGGCTGGTTCCCACAGCCCCGGGAGCGGGGAAGCGCTTACCTTCACCATCAAACCCGTCTGCGGAGCCCTCACCCACCGCGGGCGTCCGTGGAGTCGCTGGTCCTTCTCCCCTTCCCAGCAGCCCCGCCGCTTCACAGCGGCAAACACGACCACGTGGGTGGCCCGCGGCCGCAGGCGGAAGCCCGGCTCTGGCTTGGCTGCTTAATTTTTAACTTCGCGTCCACCTTCTCGCTGGCAGGGTGCACCCCTCGGAAGATGACATCATGTTTGTGTTTTTTATTTCTGCTTTGAACTGTGCCCAGAGCCCAAAAACATCAACAAGATCTTCCCCCGCGAGGGGAAGGCCGCCTGGGGGTGGGAGAGGCGGGCCAAGTCCATGTTGCGGTGTTCTCCGTGGCCTGACGAGCCACGGAGCCTCGTGGCACTGACTTCTATGGCAGCAGAGCAGGATTACCACACTCAGCTGAGGCCAATGAGCAGATTCAGTGAGATCCACGCGCTCACAGAAGCGGGTCTTCGAGAAGTGAGACGCTGCCCTGCTTTTTGTCTGGCTCAGTTAGTGGAGCGTCGACCTAGGAACCAGGAGGTCCCGGTTGGATTCCCGGTCAAGGGCACAGGCCCGGGTTGCGGGCTCTGTCCCCAGGAGGAGGCCGTACAGGAGGCAGCCGACCCATGGTTCTCTCTCATCACGGATGTTTCCCTCTCTCCCTCTCCCTTCCTCTCAGAAGTCAATAAAAAATATATAAAAAATTTTAAACTATTGTATATAACTAAACAGATAACTACCAAAACCCAACACACATAGCTTATACATGTAGAATTATCTGTGAGAACACACACAGGTACATTTATCTATGTGTTCATGTGTAGACATGTACATACAGGTATGCATATGTATACACACACACACACACACACACACAGATAGAAGTGTGAGAGCTCAGGCCCACCCTGGCCCATGGGCACATCCAGCACTGTGATCAGTTTCCTGATAGATCCTCCCTTCCTCCAGTTGATGGACAGACGTAAACCCCACCTGCAGCCAGACATTCCTGAGCATTGAACCACCCATCAGCACCTGCCAAACACCCTAAGCCCCCGATTCCTGAGTCCCTAGGCCCCTAATCATAGGCCTCACCTGAAACCACCGATCAGCATGTGCTGAGTGCCCTAAGCCCTGTCCCCTATCCTCCCCTTGTACTCCAGCCCTCGCTCTCTTCTGCTCTCTCTGGAAGCAGCCGGCAGTGGTGCTCTTCTCTTCAATAAGGCCTGTGTCCTGGACTCCCGGTCTCCGGTCCCCTCTTTATTTCATCTTTTATTTCCTACGTGTGATACATTTAGGAAGCGCTGTCAGAGAAGGGGAAGAACAACGTGAGGAAGAATCACTGATCAGCTGCCTCCTGCACGCCCCTCACTGAGGATGGAGCCCGCACCCCGGGCATGTGCCCTGACTGGGAATCGAACCGTGACCTCCTGGTTCCTAGGTCACTGCTCAACCCCTGAGCCACACCAGCCGGCTCCCAGCTCACATCTGTTTGCTATTCACTGCCTCTTCTGGGTGTGCCAGCTGGCATGTCCATAATGTCTGTTTTTTTTTTCCTTTAAAAATTCATGCAATTTGTGTGTATGCCTGAGTTTGCTTAGGACGAATAAAGACAATTTGTTGCATGAAATTGCCAGGGGAAAAAAAGGGTTGTATGTAGCTGTGGCCTCGGCACGCTGTCTTTGTGTCCACACACGTGTGCCGAGCCCACACAGGCACCTCCGATGAAGGTCACGCTCGGGCGGTTACATAAGCAGCCCAGTGACCTGGCCCTGCTGACTCCTCACCCAGACCACCCGCTGTTCCCGGGTTGGGATGGGTCTGTCGTGGGTGTTTCTCAATGTCACCCGACCTGGAACCCCGGCAGCGCGCCACCCCCAAGGGCACAGGCTCCCCAAGCTGCCTCTGGCCCTGGCTCCAGGGTGGGAAAGGGGACTTCTAACCCTCGGGTGAGGGGGGCTGGGGGTGACCCCCTGTGTTCTTCCTCGTCTGCCTTCTCTCCCGCCCGGTCTGCAAGCCGTCCTGCAGCCAAAACTCCTTAGCGGGGTGAGCCTGTATCTCACGGCGGAGCTGTGGCCTCAAAGGGGTGAGGGGCTTGCCCTCTGCTCTCTGTGGTCCCGGGAAGAAGGCAGCAGAGTCCATGAAGTCCCAGCCTCCCTTTTGTCTAAGCCAGGGATTCTCAAAAGGGAGCCCCCACACACGGAAGGTGCTAGGGAGACCTGTGGGGGGAGGAAGCTGCTGCTGAACTCCTGGGCTCAGCCCTGAGCCCCTTGGTGTGGCCTGACCTTCTGCAGGGGCCACAGAGCTGAGCAGTGAACCTTGCCTCACCACTAGGGGGCAGCGCGAGGCAAATAGGAGCAGCCTGGAGCAGGAACTGAATCTCAGAAAGCCTGCCTGGGGGTGGGGGGTGGGGGGTGGGGGGGGGCGGGTGTGTGGGTCTCAGGAGCCTGAGTGTTTGCTGAGGGGAAAAAATGTCAATATCGCTCAGTGATAGATCACTGGCCTGTCTACCTAAGGGCCTCGGGTTTGACTCCCGGTCAAGGGCACGTACCTTGGTCAATGAGTCTCTCTCACATTGAGGTTTCTCTCCTCCCCCTTCTCCCTCCCTTCCAGTCTCTCTAAAAATTCGATGGAACAAACATCCTTGAGGGAAAAAGAGGAAGTCTATGTTGGGCCGGACAGGCCAATTTTATAAAAATATTTTCTTTTAATTGATTTCAGAGAGGAAAGGAGAGGGAGAGAAACACCAATGATGAGAATCATCCATTGGCTGCCTCCTGCTGCCCTCACTGGGGATCAAGCCTTACACCAGGCGTGTGACCCGGAATGGAACTGGGAGCTCCTGGCCTGTAGGACGCTCCACCCCTGACACACGGGGTGGGCCGTGCAGTCCTTTTGCTCTAAGTGCCGGCCCCACAGTGACCTGGGGCCTCCCTGGCTCCCGGCTCCCAGCTGGGTCCTGGCTGCTGGTGATGCTGAGGAGTGTCTGACCCTGCACAGCGCCCTGAGGAGTTGGACGAAGAGGAGGAAGTGGAGGAGGAGGGGGCGGAGGTCCCCAGCTCTTTCCACCTCTCCCTTCAGACCAGTGATGAAGAATAGGGACCTAAACATGGCAGAAAATGAGATAGCATCTGCCCCGGAGAGGGTGGGTGGGTGGACAGGGCAGGGAGAGCTGCAGTGGGGCCTGTGGGCTGTGCTGCTCCCCGAGCTCAGACGCTCCTGCTGGCCCAGAGCCCAGGTCCCGGTGAGGATCTGTTCCCGATTCCTGAGGACCGCAGAAGGACTTCTTCCCACCACTCCCCGCCCTGCCAGGCCCAGCCCAGCCACCTGCACACGCTTAGGGCCGAGCCCAGCCACATGAACAGGCTTAGGGAAATTTCCTGGTTTCCTCTCCAAACCCAGTAGAGGCCCCGCCCCACAGCAGGCAGTTTCATTTCTAATAGAGTCCAACCCTCGACCAGGGAAGTGGCTGTTCCAGGCGACTCCCTACAGCAAGTGTGTGGCATTGGTGGTGGTCCAGGTACTGGGGAGGGTCCGGGCGGGTCTCCCAGGGAGGGTCCTGACACCCAGTGTGTGGACAGGAAGGAGGGTGCGGGGGTGGGGGGTCCGTGCGGCAGGAAGGAGCGAGTTTCAGACACCAGGGCCTCTGGACTCTGTCCCTCCAGGCCCGGCCGGCCACCCTTCTCTGAGGCTGCTTTCCTTAAACCAAACTCCAAGCTGGTCCAACCTCAGGAGATCTGGGGTGTGAAGGGAGGGGAGTGGAGGCTGGGACAGGCCCCTGGGCCCCAGAGGGCAGGTCCTGTCCTGGGGACACAGCCCAGCCACAGAGGACCCCAGTGTGTGCCAGAGATTCACCCGCCCAGGATGGGGCTCTGAGCAGAGACTGTGGCTGGGAGGCTGCTCTGGTGACAGAGGAAGAGGCCATCCGGGGTCTCAGGGATTTGGCTGTTTCCCCACCATTGTCAGGTCCAAGCAAGGTCGCTCTGCAACCTGCCAGGCTCCCTCTGCTCCCAGGAGGGCAGGCTTGGCTCTGAGGAGCTGCATCCCGGGCCAGGGTCCCTGGGTACCTCCTTGGCTCTCAGGTTCCTGGGTCCTCCCTGGAGGAACTTGGGGTGTTGTCTTTCCATTTGCCCATACTCCCCTCCCTTCAGGGTTCCAATAACCTGGAACTTCTCCTGGGAGACAGTCCTGGCTGGAGGGGAGAGGTCACCTGACTGGTCCTCCAGGACCCACCCTTCTCTGTCCAGACCTGGTTTTTACCTTTTTATTTTTTTATTATTTTTTTTCAAATCAATAATACCTTTACGTTTTTAAGGATACATTTCAAATAAAAGACATATCCAATTAATAGATTAACTAACATCATCTAGACTTCATCCAGGGCATTCACAGATCAACATTTCAGTGCTACAACAACTCAATACATTTAGATTTAAGTGTTTATCATTTGATTTAGTAGACTTCCAAGTTCTTTTAAAAGTTGCTAGCCATGTCTGCTATGGGCTTGGATGAAGCTCCAGTCCTGGCTGCTGCTGTTCTCGACCTGGCTGCTCCCGGCCTGGCTGCTCTGGGCCTGGGTGCTGCTGCTCTGGGCCTGGCTGCTTCAGGCCTGGCTGCTGCTGCTCAGGGCCTGGATGCTCCCGGCCTGGATACTCCAGGCCTGGCTGCTGCTGCTCTGGGCCCGGCTGCTACTGCTCTGGGCCTGGCTGCTGCTGCTCTGGGCCTGGCTGCTCCGGACCTGGCTGCACCACAGCAACACGCTAAGGCCCAGCTACAGGCACACGCTTACAATAATTTCCTGTTTATTCTCTCCAAAGCCAGCTGAGGCCCCACCCGAACGGAAAGTTTCATTTTTGATTGACTACGGTCTGGGAAGCGGCTGCAAGTGTGTGGCATTGGTGGTGGCCCGGGTATTGGGGAGGGTCCGGGCGGGTCTCCCAGGGAGGGTCCTGACACCCAGTGTGTGGACAGTAAGAAGGGTGCGGTGGGGGTCCGGGCGGCAGGGAGGAGCGGGTTTCAGACACCAGGGCCTCTGGACTCTGTCCCTCCAGGCCTCTGCCCGGCCGCCCTTCCCTGAGGCTGCTTTCCTTCCACCAAACTCTAAGCTGGTCCAACCTCAGGAGATCCGGGGGGTGAAGAGAGGGGAGTGGAGGCTGGGACAGGTCCCCAGGGCCCCCAGAGGGCAGGTCCTGTTCTGGGGACACAGCCCAGCCACAGAGGACCCCAGTGTGTGCCCGGAAGTCACCTGCCCAGGACGGGGATCTGAGCAGAGACTGTGGCTGGGAGGCTGCCCTGGTGACAGAGGAAGAGGCCATCCGGGGTCTCAGGGATTCGGCTGTTTCCCCACCATTGTCAGGTCCAAGCAAGGTCGCTCTGCAACCTGCCTGCCTCCCTCCGCTCCCAGGAGGGCAGGCCTGGCTCTGAGGAGCTGTAGCCCCGGGCCAGGGTCCCTGGGTCCCTCCTTGGCTCTCAGGTTCCTGGGTCCTCCCTGGAGGAACTTGGGGTGCTGTCTTCCCATTTGCCCACCCTCCCCTCCCTTCAGGGTTCCAATTGCCTGGAACTTCTCCTGGGAGACAGTCCTGGCTGGAGGGGAGAGGTCACCTGACTGGTCCTCTAGGACCCGCCCTTCTCTGTCCAGACCTGGTCTTTAACTTTAAAAAAAATATATTTTTTTATTGATTTCAGAGAGGGCGAGAGTGAGAGAGAGAGAGAGAGAGAGGGGGGGGAGGAACCTCTGTTTATGTAAAACAACCCATTGAAACCTTTAAAGCATTTTGGTGAGTTTATTTGAGCAAAACTGTGGACATATGCCGGGAAGCAGAACCTGAATGAATTGAGATAATGATCCAGAGAATGGAGGGTTACATCTATTTTCATACATTGCCATCAAAGGAAAGGGACTTAGGGGAGTTACATGAAATCCATTGGTGATAGATTAGAGAGGTGTGAGAAAGCTAAGCAGGAAACCTCTGGGATAGGGTGAAAAGTGAAATGATGGTGGATGCAGGATACCTTAAGGTAATTAACAATTGGCAATTAACTTGATAACCCTAGCAATGAGGGAATGCCCTAGTGCCATTTTACCCCTGAGGGGTCCGGGGTAAAAAGGAAGTTAAAAGTTACCAGACATCTCCAGATAGGTTATCTTAGAGGAGAAAAGGCAAATGGGCTCAATAAATATCTAAGTTGATCTCTGTCAGAAAAAATATCGGCCTAGGACATGACTACCCACTATAACCTGTTTGTAGTTAACTATTTAATTTTCACACCATCTTTGGTGGTTATTTCAGGTCTCTGAGTTTGCTAGACTGCCACGTAGGCCTCTCCTGAGCTGGCCAGGTTAGCATGTGGCTCCTTTTGTCCACACCTCGATGGTCCATAGGTCGACACTCAACCTCTGAGCCAGCAAGCCTAGCACCTCTCAGGTCAGGAAGGGCCTGGAGGTCAGCCTTATTTACTTCCGGTCATCAAAGTTGGGTTTCAGTGGAGGAGATTTTCCCAGTGTTTCTTACAGAGAACAGAAGGGATGGTAGCTGGAGAGGGAGAGAGAGAGACCTCGGGAATTGAACCCAGACAAGTCAGTGAGCAGTGGACGCTCTGCTACTGAGCGCACTGGCCAGCCTTCATGCTCTGTGGGGGCAGTCGGGGAGAGAGCCTGGGGTGGGAGGCTCAGCGGGTCCACAGTCACTGTTCCAATGGAATCTCCCGAATCCACCCGATTCCTTAAGCTGCAAAGAAAGGATCCTGGAACCAGTTATTCCTGATTATTCCTCATGTTCCTCAGGGGAGAGAGTCTCCCAGGCCCTGACTGAGTCCTGGAGGGCTTCCCTCTACCTCTCAGCCTCCCTGTGTCCGGGGGTCCAACACCACCTTCCCACATGACGGATGGTCTATATTGGGGCTTCACGCAGCCCCCCACCCTGTGGCCATGAAGCAATTGAAATATATCCAGTCCTGTCAGGTGTGGCTCGGTGGATAGAGCATTGGCCTGTGCACTGAAGGGTCCTGGGTTTGACTGTGGTCAAGGTCCGTTACTGGGTGGCAGGTTCCATCCTGGCCCTGGTCAGAGAGCATGTGGGAGGCAACCAATGGATGTTTCTCTATCTCTTTCTCCCCTCCCCACCACTCTCTCTACAAATCAATGGAAGAACATCCTCGGGTGAGGATAGCCCTGAAAGTTAAATTCTATTTCATTGTAGTCAATGGAGTTGGGGTCCTACCCTGTTCCACAGCACAGCTGCTCTCTGCATCGTCTACATTGCAGATCTTTCTTCCTCCAGATAATCCTCAAGGCTCATTGGGACTCGGCAGCCGGGCATCCACAGGAAGCGTGGGGTGGGTGTGCAACCTCTGCTGTGGGGAGCCTCTGGGTCCGGCATTGCAGGACTCGGCAGAGGCATGGCGTCGGCCACCACCAGCAAGAAGATGCGTGAGGAGGCCACCTGCTCCATCTGCCTGCAGCTGATGGCCGAGCCCGTGGTCATCAGCTGCGGCCACAGCTACTGCCAGGCCTGCCTCCTGAGCTTCATGGGCCCGGCCTCCTCCCCATTGAGACAGCAGGACACGGAGACCTTCTCCTGCCCCCAGTGCCGGGCTCCCTTCCAGAGAGGCAGCCTGCGGCCCAACAAGCAGCTGGGCAGCCTCATTGCCGCCCTCCGGGAGCTGGAGCAGGAGCTGTTATGCCAGGAGCATGGGGAGCGTCTGGACCTCTTCTGCGAGGACGAGGGCCAGCTCATCTGCTGGCGCTGTGAGCGTGACCCGAGGCACAGGGGTCATGCCACCTCACTCGTTGAGGACGCGGGCCCTGGCTACAGGGTGAGTGTGCCCTAGTGTGCCCGAGACCCCATCATCCAGTCCAGTGCCCCCTCATGTGCCTGAGACCCCATCATCCAGCCCAGTGCCCCCTCGGGTGCCCGAGACACATATTCAACCCAGTGCCCCATCATGCTCCACTACCCCTTTCATTTGGCCCAAGGCCCCAAGTACACCCTGAGACCCCATCATCCAGCCATAGGCCCAAGGTTGGGACCCTGAATTCTAGCTTTCCTTGTGTGTTCTTCTAGTGATGAGGGTGGTGGTGCAGGGGGTCGTGGAGCTGGATGGGGGTGGAGGGTTGGGGTAGAAAGTGGCAGGAAGGTTTAGGCTGGGGCCTCCCTGAATCCAGTAGGGCTGTCTAGCCCCACCTTCCCGATGGTCAGATTTATCCAGGACCCAACTGTGCCATGAAGTGGTTCTTGCTCTAGAGCGCCATGCACTGAAATGCAGATATGCGTGGTTTTTTGTTTTGTTTTGTTTTGATAATCCTCACCTGAGGATATTTTTCTATTTATTTTTAGATAGAGTGCAAGGGAGGGGGAGAGAGAGCAAAGCATTGATCTGACAGAGACATGGATTGGTTGCCTCCTGGACATGCGGCGACCAGGGCCAGGAACTGCAGCCGAGGTACATGCCCTTGACCAGAATCCAACCCGAGACCCTTTAGTCCGTGGGCTGAGGGTCTATCCACTGAGCCAAACCAGCCAGGGCCGCTCCTGCATGTTTTATGTCCTCATAGGTACCTGTAATGAGACAGAGCCATTTGCGTGGGTGCGTGGGAGAGTAAAGAACAGTGAACAAGCCCACCTTGTGGGCAGCTTGCGGTCCAGTAGGGAAGACTCACCAGTGAAAGGATGGCCTGGCTCCCCTGGCCTGGGTGGTGGGAAGGGGAACCCCGGGGTGTGGGTGCTCTCGGGGAGCCCTCCCACAAGTGAGTCCTGTGGAACCTACACACTAAACATGTGGCCCTGCCAGCGTGGCTCAGTGGTTGAGCATCCAGCTAGGAACCAGGAGGTCACAGTGGGATTCCTGGTCAGGGCACATGCCTGGATATCAGGCTCCATCTCCTGTGTAGGGTGTTCAGGAGGTAAGTGATCCATGATTATCTCTCATCACTCATGTTTCAGTCTCTTTCTTCCTCTCTGAAAGCAATAAAATATATACATATTTATAAACAAAATTAACGGCATGAAGAAGTGTGAGCATAGAGAGGGCTCTCCATGTGAGAGGACCCTGTGGCAAACACACAGCCAGGGGGCGGGGGCGAGTAGGGAAAGGCAGGAGTCCCTGAGCCTTCCAATCAGCTCAGTCTAGGTGCCCGCAGGGTGTCCTGACTGTTAGCCCAGAGGAGGACCAGGTGACATTGGACAGAGAGCCCCGGGCACCGACAGTCAGGTCATTCCTGTGAGAGGGAGCAGCGAGGTGTGTGTCAGCAAGAGTCACTCCATGTCTCCCTCCAGGAGAAGCTCCAGGAAGCGGTGAGGAAACTGAGGCAACTTGAAGAGGAATGCGCCAGCCAGAAAGCGTTCAAGGCCAAGCAGATAGCAGAGTGGAATGTGAGAATGGGGGCTTCTCACGGGGCCGCTGGAGGGAACCCCTGGGCTCAACTGCAATCCCAACCAGTGGGGCGTGTGCAGGAGGCAACAGTGGAAGTCTCTCCCACATTGATGTTCCTCTTGCTCTCCCCCCCCTCCCTGCCTTCCACTCCCCTCTCTCTAACAATCACTGGAAAGAACATTCTTGGGTGAGGATTAACAACAGCAACACCAAAAAGACACAGGTTTCTTGGTGTCAAGCTCTTGTCTGTCCTGGCTTAGGTGTAGGGTCTGACCGGGCAAAGCACAGTCACGGTGTCACTGAACCAGAGGAGGCAGGTGGAACCCTGAGAAGAAGCCATTGTCCTTTGCTGTCCGCATGGATGAGAAACTCCTGTCCTGCCTCTCAACCTTCCAGCAGGAAATGGCCAGGAGGGCAGCGCCTGTCAGTGAAGCAGAATTACATGCGTGTTTACCGAGAGCCATCCCCCACTGGGTTTTTTACGTTCTTTCTTTTTATTTTATTTTATGTTTGTATTTATTTCAGAGAGGAAGGGAGAGATAGAAACACCCAAGAGGAGAGAGAATCATGGATCAGCTGCCTCCTACACTCCCTCTACTGGGGATGAAACCTGCTACCTGGGCTTGTGTCCTGACCAGGAATCCCACCGTGACCTCCTGGTTCATAGCTGGACGCTCAACCCCTGAGACCTGCTTCCCCGCCTGAGCATCCTCTCTTGATTCTAGGAGAAGATAGAGGCTCGGAGACAGAATATCCAGGAGGACTTCCAGAAACTGCACAGCTTCCTGAGGGAGGAGGAGAGCACGTACCTGAGGAGACTGGAGAGCGAGAAAGAGCACACACTGCGGAGACTGAGGGAACGTGAGGCCAAACTGGGGCAGCAGAGCCTAGAGCTGGAGAGCCACATCCTGGAGCTGGAGGAGCGATGCCAGGGCTCTGCCCAGAATATGTTGCAGGTGAGGCTGTGCCCTGGGAGGACGCCAAAATGGCAGGTCCTGAGCTGCTCCGGGTGGAGGGACGTGGGGACTGTGGGAACAGGCAGGACTACCTGTCTTGCTCAGTGGTTGCACATCAGTGTGGAGGATTTAAAGGCATATTGCTCTTATTTTTATTTAGTTATTTTGTTAATCCTCACTCAAGGGTATTGTTCCTTTAGTTTTAGAGAGAATGGGAGGGAGATGGAGAGACAGAGAGAGAAACGTCAATGTGAGAGGGACACATTGATTGGTTCCCTCTCATAGGTGCTCCAGTCCTGGGCTGGGAATCAAGTCTGCAACCAAGGCATGTGCCCTTGACCTGAATTGAACCTGGGACCCTTCAGTCCATAAGCCGACACTCTATCCACAGAGCCAAACCAGCTAGGGCATAAAGGCATATTTCTTTTATTTTTATTTGTTGTCATTTTTTAAAATATATTTTATTGATTTTGTACAGAGAGGAAGGGAGAGAGATAGTTAGAAACATCGATGAGAGAGAGTCATCGATCAGCTGCCTCTTACACATCCCCTACTGTGGATCTGCTCGCAACCAAGGTACATGCCCTTGACTGGAATCGAACCCGGGACACCTCAGTCCCCAAGCCAACGATCTATCCACTGAGCCAAACCGGTCCTGGCTGTTGTCATTTTTTAAAAACATTTTTATGAATTGCGAGAGAAAAGGAGAGAGAGGCATGGAAACATTAATGATGAGAGAGAATCATTGATCAAGCCTGCAACCTGGACATGTGTCCTGACAGGAAATCAAACCCTGAATTCCTGGTTCATAGGTTGATGCTCCACCACAAGCTACACCAGCTGGGCTAATCCTATTCTTTAGAATATTGAACAGACTAATACCTACAAGGTGGCTTCACTGCTCTCTCTATGTAAATCAGAAATTTTTGACTTGGCACATATATCAGTGGGTTTAGTCGATAGAGCATCAGCCTGAGGACTGAATGGTCCTGGTTTCAATTCTGGTCAAGGGCATGTACCTGGGTTGCAGGCTCCTCGCTGTCCCAGGCCATGGTCAGGGCTCCTGCAGGAGGCAACCAACTGATGTGCTTCTCTTGGGTGAGGGTCAAGAAGAGTAAAATCCCCTGCTGGTAGAGGGTGGGTTCCTCTGCTGAACAGGCTCCCGGGATGGCTTCAGCTCCCATGTGCCTGGGTCCCAGAGCACACAATCCTGACGGTCAGGTGATGCTGCGGAGACCAGGTGGGGTCACAGTGCCAGTGATGGGTGAGCCTGTCCTGCTGGGCCCTCCTTCCAGCCTCAGGAAGGTGAACCTCCTTTCTCACTCCCTCTTCCCTTGTGCTCTTCCCTGGTCCCACAGACTCCCTAACACCTCAGCAAGGAGGGTGCCTGGCTCACAGACTGAGCTGTGTCCTGCCCGGCTGACCGTCCTAAAGGCCTGAGTGGGGATCGTTGCACGGGGTGTCCATCAGTTACCCAGAAACCCTGGACGGGCTGGGGCCCCCTGTCGCTGTGTCCAATCACGAAGACAGCTTGAGGTCTATAAGGCGTTCACTGAGAAGGCCAGCCCACCAAGCAGACAGGGCGCTTACAAGCATCAAGTGCTGTCTCCCAGCAGGTGCAGGGACAGGAGTGTAAAGGAGGAGGGGCTGGGGCACTGTGTGCAGGCCTGAGGCCTCAGCCGCCCGTTATTATCCTTAGTCCCCAGACAATGAGATGGTGCTGATCAGATGGTGTTTTGGCTCCTGGTGACCCTGAGTTTGGGTTCTGCTCACTGGACTCACAGCCGAGTCACCTCCACAATCATTTGGCACAGGGCTTGGAAAGGAAACTTAAGAATAACTTAACCGCTGTTCACATGTGAGAACCTTACCCCTGATCCCGTAAGGGTAATATCCTCAGATGCGAACAGGAGGAGTACTTGCCAGAGTCGTTCAGGTGCTCTACCGACCGGGTTATAAGGCCCATCACACCCGCACCCAAGGCCGGGCTGCCCTGTGCCTCTGGGAGGAGCAGGGACCCATGAGCACGCGGCTCCCTCACTCACCTGTGCCTTTGCTTCCCGCAGGACGTGAAGGGCGCCCTGAGCAGGTGAGTGCTGAAGCCAGGGCGAGGGGGAGTGGGGTGCAGAGCTGCGGGGTGCCCGCTGAGCAGCTCTGGCCTCTGTTTCCCCAGGAGCCAGGCTGTGCGGCTGGAGACCCCAGAGGCCCTCTCCTTGGATGTTCAGACCCAGTGTGACATCCCGGAGCTCTACTTTAACCCGATTGAACGGTTGAGAGGCCATCAAGGTGAGTGAGGGACTCTGACCAAGTGCCCAGGGGAACTAGCTCAGAGCAGCCTCTGCCCTGCTCGGGTCGAGGGGACAAATGGGAGGATTTCTATTTTATGGTCACAACCCTGAGCTCCCATTCTGGTTTGAAACAAGGCTGGGAGTTCACAACACAGTCTGGTCTTCTCTAAAATAAATGGTTTTGGGAGGGGGCCCCTCTCCAGCCCTGAACCCATAGCCAACCAGGGGCCCGCAGGGTGGAGTGTTCACGGACTCCGGGAGGCCTCTCGTGCCCACAGGGGAAAGGTGACAGGAGGGGTGCCCAGCCCCCTCTTCCCCACCCTCCAAGGGCACATTCTTAGAACAAATGTGCCCCCAGGACCACATCCCCAGCAGAACCGGGAGTCTGAGTCCTCCATGGCTAACCCCCACGTGGTCGTGGTTCCCCTGTGAATGCCCACGCTTTGTCCCAGTGCCCTGAATTCTACCCTTGAGCTTCTTCTCATTACACAGGACCCGGCAAGGATGGTCTCCCCCTGTCCTTATTGGTTTGGGATTTCTTGAACCATCTGACAGGGCTGCCTGGCAGTCGTGAAACTGACATGAAACAGTTTGCAGAGACCCTGCGTGGCCGGCTCACCACAGACGAGGCTCTGCGGGAACTGGTGGACGTCATCTATGAACAGGCCAGGTCCGTGCCAACGTTCCGCTGTGCGGGAGCTCGCCTGTGTGTGTACCTGTACAGTAACAATACCATTAGCTCACAGGGGGGCAGCTTTTTCAAAAGGTTCTTCCAAAGATTTCAGATTGAATGGGACTCTATAGTTCAAACTGCCAAGGGCGATGAAGCAGCTCGGAAACGCTTCCATGGGTCCGTGCTCTTTCAGGGAGAACTTTGTCTTCTGTGGAAGATGAAAGGAGAAAATGGACAGACTCTAGCACCTTTTCTTCGGAGTGTGTTGGATGCCCTCCTCTCTAACCCTGTGGACGATAACCTGGTTTGTGCGGTACAATTACTGAAGGTGACAGGGCCCGCATTGGAAGATGCCTGGAAGGAACAGGGAAAGACAGACATGGAGGAAGTTATGCGGAGGATTAAAGAAATCATCCTGGATGTGCCCTGCAGAGCAGACGTGAGGCAGATGCTCTTGGAGCTCGTACAGCTCCGGTCAAGTAACTGGGGCAGAGCCCATGCCCCCTCCACACCCAAGAGAAGCAGCACCTGAGAATGATCCCAGCTGTTCTGTGTCTGAGCCGCCTCTGGGTCCAGCAGATGGTGCTCCTCTCACTGCAGCTGATCCCGATGACCATGCTTCCTGTCAGGAGAGACGTGAGGGTGGGAGAGGGAGGGGGAAGGGGAGGGCGTATGTAATACTTACTACAATCAAGCTTTATTAAACAAATGAAGAGTGACTTGAAAGAGGAGACTCTTTTTCCAGATCGTGAGGAAAATGGACAGATGTGTTGGGCTGGTGACCGAGCTGGGAGGCTACAGATGATGAGGTGGACCCAGAAGCTTGTGCTCAGTTTTGCTGGGAACCAGAGTGTCCGCAGAAACATTGGGTTCTGTGTCCACGGGTCCGTGTTAGGAAGCCGTGCAGGTGATGGGGGAGCGGAACGCAGGGAACCTGTCACACATGGACCCAATGAGGGATGTTGAGGGATGTGACTAATGTACGCACCTTCACTAGTGTATGACGCTCTGTGCCACAATGAACCTTAATCCCTAGAACTTAAAATAAAATAAAGTAAAATAAAATAAAATAAACTGTGTAGCCCTAGCCCAATGCTATGATGAGGGAGAATTATCCATTGGCTGCTCCTGCTGCCCAGCACTGGGGATGAAACCCGCAACTGGGGTGGATGGCACTGTGAGCTCCTGGCTTGTAGGACGCTCCACCCCTGACACACGGGCTGGGCCGTGCAGTCCTTTTGCTCTAAGTGCCGGCCCCACAGTGACATGGGGCCTCCTGGCTCCGGGCTCCCAGCTGGGTCCTGGCTGCTGGTGATGCTGAGGAGTGTCTGACCCTGCACAGTGCCCTGCGGAGGGGGAGGAGGAGGAGAGTGGAGGTCACCAGCCATTTTTACCACCCCCGTCAGAGCAGTGATGAAAGAATAGGGACCTAAACATGGCAGAAAATGAGATAGCATTCGTCCCCGAGAGGGTGGGTGGGTGGTTAGGGCAGGGAGACCTGAAGTGGGGCCTGTGGGCTGTGCTGATCCCCGACCTCAGACACTCCTGCTGGCCCAGAGCCCAGGTCCCAGTGAAGATCTGTCTCTGTTCCTCGTGGCTGCAGAAGGACTTCTTCCCACCACTCCCCACCCTGCCAGACCCAGCCCAGCCACCAGCACATGCGTAGGGCCCAGCCCAGACATGTGCACATGCTTAGGGCCCAGCCCAACCATATACACACGCTTAGGGCCCAGCCCAGCCACTGCACAGGCTTAGGGCCATTTCCTGGTTTCCTCTCTAAACCCAGCAGAGGCTTTAGAGTCCAGCCCCGCAGAATGCAGTTTCATTTTCCTTTGGAGTCCAGCCTACAGCCTGGGAAGCAGCTGCTCCAGGAGACTCCCTACAGCAAGTGCGTGGCATTAGTGGGGACCCAGGTACTGGGGAGGGTTGGGTAAGGTCTTCCAGGGAGGGTCCTGACACCCAGTGTGTGGACAGGAAGGAGGGTGCGGGGGTGGGGGGTCCGTGCGGCAGGAAGGAGCGGGTTTCATACACCAGGGCCTCTGCCCTCTGTCCCTCCAGGCCCCTGCCGGGCAGCCCTTCCCTGAGGCTGCTTTCCTTCCACCAATCTCCAAGCTGGTCCAACCTCAGGAGATCCCGGGTGTGAAGGGAGGGGAGTGGAGGCTGGGACAGGCCTCCAGGGGCCCGTGGACCCCGGAGGGCAGGTCCTGTCCTGGGGACACAGCCCAGCCACAGAGGACCCCAGTGTGTGCCCGGAAGTCACCTGCCCAGTACGGGGATCTGAGCAGAGACTGTGGCTGGGAGGCTGCCCTGGTGACAGAGGAAGAGGCCATCCGGGGGGTCTCAGGGATTCGGCTGTTTTCCCACCATTGTCAGCTCCAATAATGGTCCCTCTGCAACCTGCCCCTCTCCCTCCGATCCCAGGAGGGCAGGCCTGGCTCTGAGGAGCTGCAGCCCTGGGCCAGGGTCCCACGGTCCCTCCTTCGCTCTCAGGTTCCTGGGTCCTCCCTGGAGGAACTTGTGTTTTCTTCCCATTGGCCTCCCTCCCCTCAGGGTTCCAATTGCCTGGAACTTCTCCTGGGAGACAGTCTTGGCTGGAGGGGAGAGGTCACCTGACTGGTCCTCTGAGACCCATCCCTCTCTGCCCAGACCTGGTCTTTCCTTTAAAAAAAAAAAAAGTTTTATTGTTTTCAGAGAGGTAAGGATACATAAAAACATTGATCATGTTTCCCCTGTATGTGCCCAATGGGGAATGGAACCCAAAACCCAGGCCTGTGCCCTAACCAGTAATGGAACCCAGACCTCCTCCTCCAGTAGTCCACACTCCACCCCTGAGCCAGCCAGCCCAGCACCTCTCAGGTCAGGAAGGGCCTGGGGGGCAGCCTTGTTTCCTTCCGGGTCATCCCACTTGGGTTTCACTGGAGGGGATTTTTCCATTGTTTCTTACAGAGAAAGGAAGGGATGGCAGCTGGAGAGGGAGAGAGAAAGAGAGACCTCGGGAATTGAACCCAGACAAGTCAGTGAGCAGTGGACGCTCTGCTACTGAGCGCACTGGCCAGCCTTCGTGCTCTGTGGGGGCAGTCGGGAGAAAGGCTGGGGTGGGAGGCTCAGCGGGTCCACAGTCACTGTTCCAATGGAATCTCCCGAATCCACCCAATTCCTTAAACTGCAAAGAAAGGATCCTGGAACCAGTTATTCCTGATTATTCCTCATGTTCCTCAGGGGAGAGAGTCTCCCAGGCCCTGACTGAGTCCTGGAGGGCATGCCTCGCTCTCACCCTCCCTGTGTCTGGGGGTCCAACACCTTTTTCCCACATGATAGATGGTCTATATTGGGGCTTCATGCAGCCCCCCACCCTGTGGCCATGAAGCAATTGAAATATAACTAGTCCTGTCAGGTGTGGCTCAGTGGATAGAGAATTGGCCTGTGGACTGAAGGGTCCTGGGTTTGACTGTGGTCAAGGTCAGGTACCTGGGTTGCAGGTTCCATCTCTGGCCCTGGTCAGAGTGCATGTTGGAGGGAACCAATGGATGTTTCTCTCTCTGTCTTTCCCCCTCCCCACCACTCTTTCTACAAATCAATGGAAGAACATCCTCGGGTGAGGATAGCCCTGAAAGTTAAATTCTATTTCATTGTAGTCAGTGGAGTTGGGGTCCTACCCTGTTCCACAGCACAGCTGCTCTCTGCATCGTCTACATTGCAGATCTTTCTTCCTCTAGATCAGGGGTCGGCAACCTTTAAGACATAAAGAGCCACTTGGACCCATTTTCAAAGGAAAAAAACAAAACTTGGAGCCACAAAACCATTGCGACATAAGTAATACAGCTCCCCGCCCCGCCCTGCTATCTGCCCTGCTAGTGTCGGACCTGCTGGGGGCCGCAGCAAAGGTTCAAAAGAGCCGCATGCGGCTCTGGAACCGCAGGTTGCCGACCCCTGCTCTAGATAGTCCTCAAGGCTCATTGGGACTCAGCAGCCGGGCGCCCACAGGAAGTGTGCGGTAGGTTTTCACCCTCTGCTGTGGGGAGCCTCTGGGTCCGGCATTGCAGGATTCGGCAGAGGCATGGCGTCGGCCACCACCAGCAAGAAGATGTGGGAGCAGGCCACCTGCTCTATCTGCCTTCAGTTGATGGCCGAGAAAGTGGTCATCAGCTGCGGCCACAGCTACTGCCAGGCCTGCCTCCTGAGCTTCATGGGCCCGGCCTCCTCCGCGCTGAGCCAGCAGGACACGGAGACCTTCTCCTGCCCCCAGTGCCGGGCTCCCTTCCAGAGAGGCAGCCTGCGGCCCAGCAAGCAGCTGGGCAGCCTCATTGCTGCCCTCCGGGAGCTGGAGCTGGAGCAGGAGCAGGAGCACGAGCAGGAGCATGATCAGAAGCAGGAGCAGAAGGAAGAGCAGGAGCTGTTTTGCCAGGAGCACGGGGAGCGGCTGGACCTCTTCTGCGAGGATGAGGGCCTTCTTATCTGCTGGCGCTGTGAGCGCGACCCGAGGCACAAGGGCCACACCACCTCGCTTGTGGAGGACGCGGGCCCCAGCTACAGGGTGAGTGCCCCTTGAGGGTCCAAGACCTCATCATCCAGCCAGTAGCCCAAAGTTGGGACCCTGAATTCTAGCTTTCCTTGTGTGTTCTTCTAGTGGAGCTGTGAGGTGGAAGGGGTCGTGGGGCTGGATGGGGGTGGAGGGTTAGGGTAGAAAGTGGCGGGAAGGTTTAGACTGTCCCTCCCCACCTTCCCGGATGGTCAGGCTCACCCAGAGACCCCGCTGCGTCATAAAGTAGTTCTTGCTCTAGAGCGCCATGCGCTCAAATGCATATATGTGTGGTTTTTTGTTTTGTTTTGTTTTATAATCCTCACCTCAGGATATTTTTCTATTGATTTTTAGAGAGAGTGTAAGTAGGGGGTGAGAGAGCAAAGAATTGATCTGAGAGACACATGGATTGGTTGCCTGGTGGATATGTGGCGACCAGGGCCAGGAACTGCAGCCAAGGTACATGCCCTTGACCGGAATCCAACCCTGGGACCCTTCAGTTCATGGGCTGAGGCTCTACCCACTGAGCCAAACCAGCCAGGGTCGCACCTGCACATTTTATGGCCTCATAGGTGCCTATAATGAAACGGAGTTGTGTGCGTAGAGAGGGGTGCACAGTGAAGAACAGGGACCAAGCCCACCTCGTGGGCAGCCTGCCGTCCAGTATGGAAGACTCACCAGTGAAAGGACAGCCTGGCTGTGGGAGCCCTCCCACAAGTGAGTCCTCAGGAGCCTACACCTAAGCATGTGGCCCTACCAGCCTGGCTCAGTGGTTGACCATCCATCTAGGAACCTAGAGGTCATGGTGGGATTCCTGGACAGGGCACAGGCCTGGGTTTCGGGCTCCATCCCCAGTGTAGGGTGTGCAGGAAGCAACTGATCCATGATTATCTCTCATCACTCATGGTTCTGTCTTTTCCTTCCTCTCTGAAAGCAATAAAAATATACACATATTTATAAATAAAATTAACAGCACGAAGAAGTGTGAGCATAGAGAGGGCTCTCCATGTGAGAGGACCCCATGGCAAAAACACAGCCAGGGGGCGGGGTGAGTAGGGAAAGGCAGGAGTCCCTGAGCCTTCCAATCAGCTCAGTCTAGGTGCCCACAGGGTGTCCTGACTATTAGCCCAGAGGAGGACCAGGTGACATTGGACAGAGAGCCCTGGGCACCGACAGTCAGGTCATTCCTGTGAGAAGGAGCAGCGAGGTGTGGACAGCAAGAGTCACTCTATGTCTCCCTCCAGGAGAAGCTCCAGGAAGCGGTGAGGAACCTGAGGCAACTTGAAGAGGAATGCGCCAGCCAGAAAGCGTTCACAGCTAAGCAGTTAGCAGAGTGGAATGTGAGAATGGGGACTTC